GTTTCATTTATAATAAAATAGTTCAAAGGAGCCGCTACAGATACGCTTTGCTCACTACCTATGTATACCGGCATAGGAGTAAAATATTTGTTTAACACAAGTGCAACGTTTTGTATGTGTCATTAATAAAATCATATCGTACAACAACGAAAAATGCAATAAAAAAAATTCGAATCAGTGTATTTTGGACGTAAACAGGAACTTTGGTTTATATTATAGAAATCCATACGTTATTATATTATATATAGGGGCAAACGGCGACAGTGATGAGTGTATTATATTATAACTTTAATAAACCTATCTAAAATAATTATGGTAATAATAATATTATTATATAGTCATCCGTGCCGCCAACAGTAAATGAGACTAGGGAGAAAAATGTGTTTTAAAAAATAATAATAACATATTATCGAGAATATTGTAAGGTGGTCGGATTCGAGTTGTGTGTCTGTTCTGTGTTGGTTCGCGGGTTATTGACAGCATAGGAAAATAATATACTGTGCTCTGAGGTAAACAAATAATATATTATGTGTCTAATACACACCAATTACGTCACGCCCATTAACACCACAAACACAACCGTTTACGTTATACACAGCTATATAGTTTTACTAAGGGAGATGCCAAAGTTGGCGAACGGAGCTAAACGTTTATTCCTTCGTCGACAAGTCAAACAACCAAACAATAATAAAAATCTGATAAAACCCAGCAGCCCCCGGAAGGTTGTCATTGCGCTTCTAGAAATTTACATTAATTATTATCGAATAACGTTAATACTTATTATTTGTATTACACAATATATTATATCTCCACACATATAGTATATGTAGTATAGAATATTTCCATTAGGTCGTAGGTATTTCCAAATAGAACACTAGATATTTGTTCAAATGACAAAGAGAGAATATAATTGAAATTCAAATAATTTAATTACAATATTGATAAAAATATTACAAAAATTTGATAAACTGAAAAAGTGCGGGGTGAGAATTTGAACTAATTTCAACAAATGTAAAATATTGTAAATGTGTTTTGAGTATAAAACGGATTTTTCCAGATTTTTAATTTTTATAATAATACTTTCTACGTTTTTAAAAAATAAGTTATTTCTTTTAATTTTATTAGGCAAAACAGGCTCACAGGCTCTAATCTGGTATTAAAGACCCACCTTTCTTTTACAACTATAAATTATGAGAAAAATAGATACATTTATGTGGCCGCGATGGGACTAGTCTTATAAACAAAATTAAACGCCAAAACGAACATTTTGACCAAAGTTGGTTTTTCATTGTTAATATTTTTCGAAGTTTTCAGTATGAATTTTATGCGATTGCAAAAAAATAGTGCTACACAAATTTAACATTTTTGAATGGGAATTAGATCTACATATATACAAAGCCGCAATTGTGTGACACCTCCTGTATACAATTTCGGAGTTATTGCTTTGTATTTGACCACAGTGGCCATAGATTTATTATTTTACTCGACTATAATAATTTATTATTATCGTTTTTATACCGGTTTGGAAGGAACAGAAGGTGTTGTACGATGATTTTATCGACGTACGTCAAAAATGGAACACTACAACACGGTTTTAAATAGACGTTCGTTGGTATAATAATATGATATTACACAGTTTAATTACTGTTTTTTTTTATTGCTCTTCCCGCCGACATAGTACTGCAACGGCCGGTGCACGTCCTGCTCTGTAGATGTATGTCTAAATTTCCGGGACAAAGTATGGTCAAAGGCAAAGAAATGGAAGCTAGCTGTATAACATGCGAACCTCTCATATGAAAAAATAAAATCATACATAGTTTGCTGACGGTTTTCCGGGAATCACAATAACACAACCCCCGGCGTTTTTAACAATAATAATAATATGTAAAATTTATTTATTTATGTCTGGGGTACACCGAAAATCGTTTACACACGACCCCTCGTATGTTGTGTATTAAATTTATTTATGGGGCTATGCATGCACATTTCGCCACATTATAGTACAATCCGCGGGGACGCCAGTCTCGCATGTACAGGGTGGACGAGATGGTCGATCGTGGCATTACAATACTTAATATAACGTGTATTTTGTGACAAACACTGCTGGACACCCTGTATACAGGTACATGTGTTATATACTCATATATATAGTGTGCGTTTACACTTAAGACCCGCGCAGATGGGAAATATTAAAATCCGAAATTAATCAACGCTGCCAACAGGTTTTCGAGACACACACAAAAGTCGGTGGTGGCGCCTATAATATTATGTATAAGGTCTGCGCCACTCGCAAAGGTTTCCCTTGAACGTGCACTTGTTAATACCTAACGATATTAACATACTGATTTATATATGCGAATATCGCGGGTAAAAACGTCGAGGGTGTTTTTACCTACAACGATTTGTAGACAAATAAGTCAATGGCTGTATAGGGTAATACGAAACGGTCAATGATCTATAATACACACACACACACACGTTTATCATACCATCGATTACCGCGTTAATCGGTAAAACTGTATATTTTATTACCTTAATTCGTCCATGTAAGACGTTCGGCTGACTTAAACCGTACGAAGAGTCATAAATCATAATCTATACACGTGGGATTGGAGTTCCAGCAAATATGTGAACAATTATATTATTTGTCATTTTGATAATTCTCTTGTACGTTTAGATAAAAATAATTTTATTGATTTAACAAAATCACCATTGAAAATACGAATTAAATGTTTTTAAATATTACAATTTTATTTTAGCTTCAATGCGATTGTTGAGAAGGTATAGAGTTTATACATACTACCCACGGATTTGCATCGAAAAGTTTATTTAAAAGTGATTTTATCACTTTCAGTTTTAATAATTAATTATTCCTATAGACCTGTGACCTCTCCCCATCCCCACTATGCCCCAACCCAACTGTACTAGCTTTTGTTATAATTTAATTAAACAAATTATCTAACATAATGTATTCGAGGGGACCGTTTAATACAATTGTATTAAAATAAAAAACAAATTTTAGCGTACAATAATAATTGTCTAAAACGATTCACGACGGGTGTGTTTTATTTTTTCTAAACAATTTACTTATTCCAATTGAAAAACAATCGGATACCGATACAAATGTACAGAAACAGACAACCACTAATTATTAACACTAAATACTAATAGTAGTACTATTAAATAGCGGTCGTTGAAAAACGTACAAAACTCAATTTTAATGCTTGCAAAATTAAAACTGTAAATGGTCAATCAAGTACAAATTTTAATTTCATTAAAATTACGCTTTTATCGAAACGAAACGTATACCTACCTAAAATGGTATCCTTTAATTTTTATATCTAATTTTAAATATTTTTTCATTTAAGTCTCATAATTTTATTTACTCGTAATAATCGAGTTAGCTTTATACCATAATTGCATTATCCGGAAAGCATTACACCGTCATTAATCTACTGCGTTAGTAACGTCCACGTCGTGGTAGGCGGGCCAATGTACCGATGGGAATTCTTCAACCAATGGGTTTAATCAGGAATGATCCTGCGCAGTATACACAACATCATAAGTCTCACAACAGTAAACGAAACTCGTCTATACAACTGTAAATAATAACAAGTGCACGCTATAACACCATCCAATTTTGGCCCATAATTTTAATTCTTCAGTTTTAATTCTACACAGGTACATATATATCTTCGGAATTTGTACTTTTCGTTACAAAATGACGTTAGAAATGATAAAACTCCATATTATCATTATCGTGCATTTATGTTATTAGGTTTTTAAGTTCTTACTAAACTCTTAAGTCTAACATACAGTTTTGTGAAAAACATTACGGATTCAATATTCTTTGTAATGTTTGGAAATTATATTTTAAAAATCACGGCACGGCTATAAAAAGTCTCCTTTTTTAAAAAAGTATTAAATTATGGAAATTCAACAAGACTTTATAATTTTTCACCATTAAACTAATAGATGTACAAATTTTACATGTGAAAAATTATGCATTTAAGCTAAATGCAAAATAACCTATCAAAAAAGTTTTATACAGATATGATCACATTTGTATGATACTATTTTGAAAACATGATTTTTTATAATTTCAAATTTTATAAAAGTCGAATTAAAAACCAACAAGCGTACGTGTAATATCAAAAAAAACCACTTGGGACTAAAAATACAAAGGACTATTATATATTATGTCAACTCGAAATATTTTCACTAGCTTTGGTAGACAATTCTTGTGTACACTAAATTATATTGTAATGATCAATATACTTGAGAGTTTTTGAACTTATGGCGTTAATATTGTGTGACGTGTTGAACAATATCATTATGTTCCATTTACTGGTATATCAGTCTATCTTTTCATTCCTTATGTGAGGGTTGCGCTATTTGTTCCGTTCAATTTGTTTTATTTCGCTTTAAACTTATTTTTGTTTTAGTATTATTAGAAAGAGACAAGTGATTACTGGAAATCCAGATAGACCAACTGAGTGAGGTAGCCATGCGATTATCATGAGCCGACGCCATGTTTTATCTAAAGTTTGTAAGTTGTAACGTTCTGTGCTTATTTTTTTGATATCGTGTATAATTATAAATGTATAGACAATAAAAATACAACTGAAAATTATTTGTGTGTGTACAAAGATCGTTAAAATATATAACATGTTTAACGTCGTACGAGAAAAACTACAAAAAAAATAAAAAATAGAAATTACTATCTTGAAAAATAAAAACGCCTAATCTATATTATCTTTGACATGCATTAGATTAAATATGTTATAATATATTATACATGTATCTGTAACGTCTTTGTAGTCGTGTAGTGTGTATATAATAATTATTATATTTTTGTAATTTTTATGGCAGTAAAACGATATGATATTCTTCAACGAACGCCCCCTGGGAAACGGATGGGCGGGATTTGCTGGTTGAGCTGAAACAAGTGGTCCAGCATTTGGCCCGGGCAACAGAGCTTCATTGCAGAATCACTCGAGCCCAAAGAACCTGTATGCTCACCACGGTGTCAGTCATTTTTCTATACCAGACAATATCGGTTTTAGTTTTAATTTTTTTTTTATATGTACACAATATACTGTATGCACGACTATTGGTGTATGAATATTTAAAAAATAACTTGTAGAAAACGCCATAACTAATTTACTGCAACGCTATATTAAATTACTCATCTTCAGTGCGGCAATGACCAGTGAGATATTGAATTATTCGCCTCGACACTATCAAGTCAACTACTCAGGTAAATCAATAACGATATAAGTATTCCATTGCCCCTTAGTATTTTCATTATGATTAAAAAACGTTAGAATTGAGTATAAATTTCAATATTTATTAAACAGTTAATCGATCAAAAACCGTTGACCGACGTTATTACATACAAAAGCAACCACACCCGTTCTTTCTCTCTCAAAACTGAAAATATGATATTCAAATGTCTAAACTTTAAACTTGAGTCTTCCAAAATACTTGCAGATAACAGTCAGATTGGGATACGAGTAAATTTTTTTTTCTGAATATCTAATGAAGTTCAAAATTATTTAAGCAAGGATTGTGTTTTTTCCTAACAATAACCATGTTATTCGTTCTATTAAACAATTATACTAGACTACCTTATTACGACTGTCTTTCTATGTGGTTATTTTCAGAATAGTTAACTTTAACGCTCCAATATCGACGCATACTTGTAATATTATAGTATCTAACAAATCTTTCTCTAGTAAGGACTAGTGGTTTACGCTCACAGTATAAGATAAATATATCTAGATAATATTTTAATATTTTGTCCATAATGATTTTTTTAATATTGGTTTTTCTGTTTGTTAGTACTGGCACAATAATTAAATTATTTATTTTTAAAAAGTAACACCCCTCAGGGGGCAAGAAGTATTCTAACATTTAACTACTTATTCATTGAAACATATAGTATCTAATTTTAATTTACAGATATTAATAGAGAAAAACTCAAAGTCAAATAATAGTTTAATGTTTGAGCTTGTTTAGTAGTAGGTTATACACAAGTATTCATATCTTGAAGTGGAAATGTAAGCGAAAAACATTGTAACAACAACATTGTACTTAAATATAGAATTAACCTCTCAAGTTAAAGAGTGCCGCCATTGGGCGGCTGCTTTTATTCATGTGTATCCAAGTCATTGTATTATTTCCGCTTACGGACTTATTGTAATATAATAATTACAGATTGTTTGTTTTACCAAAAAAAAAAAAAAAAATAGAATTAGGGTAAATACGATTAGGGTTGATGGTCGGCCGTCTGTCTCTAATTGAAGTCAATAATTCGTTGCCGCTGCTTAAGTCGTAATCCAAAATATAATGAAAATATTTTTCATTATATCTGTTGATTGTTGATTCACTCACGTCAGTGTAATTTTTCTGTTTTTGGTTTTTCCATGATAAAAAAAAATGTTGACTACAAATTCTTAAGAAAACCTCATATGTTATAGCCCCACTCTAGATATACCTTGAGTGTAGTTTTCAGACTATAAGCCCTAAAGCTACATTAAAATAGTTACAAAAAAAAAATATCAAGTGTCCGCCATTGCTAGGGAAAAGGATTTATAATATTTTTTTTGTTTGGCAACATTCATCGATAGTACTTTATCTTAAGAATATTTTATACAAATTTGGAATTGATTCGGCTTTTTTTTTTTTAAAAAGTTTTAAAGCACAGTAATTTTTAGGTGAAACATTTTTGTGGGGGTTTTTAGATTTTGAAATTTACTTTTTAATTTTTTTTTTGCCTTTTTAGGTAGGTTTAATTTCTGATCTTTAGGCTTACTACGCGAAGAAATCGGTTCAGCTTCTTAAAAGATATCATAGATCCAGACACATAAAAATAAAAACAATATTTCCTTAGCTCCATTAGCATTGAAGTTAATAAACACAAAAAAAAAGGATTCATGTAATGGATTGATTTACTTTGACGGTATATTTTAACAGTGAAACAAGAGTGCATGGCATCCGACGGCCGTATCGCCGAGGACCTGTCGTACTGGACATCCGGCTCTCACCAGCCGGTGACCTGCGTCAGCCATCCGGCCGGCAGCACGGCGTCCTCTTCGTCGTCATTTGTGGACGACGAGTCCACGTCTTACGAAGACATCACTTACAACTGTTACGGAACGACGACGTCCATCGTGTCCGCTGCGGTTTGCAGCTACGGCGGCGGCGGCCATTACGACAACGGCCAGTACAACAATAACAACAATAACTATTACGAAAACGGTTACAATTGTTCGTCGGTAACGATCGGCTACGACGAGAAAACTTACGACAACAACAACGTTGGCGCGGCGTGCAATTTGAACAACTCTTACGACGGTTTGTACGATCAGTCCGTCGCCGGCGGACAACAGGTTAGTGTAGATTAAACGGTGTAGACAAGTGTGTATTAAACACACTAAGACGCTTACGTGGAATAAACAGTAATAACTGAATTTGCAATACTATAAACAGTTGATATCGTTGATGTCCACAGTACAGAAAACAGTGTCCCCCCGTGCCGTCGACGATTTCGTCCACAGCGGTGCCGGTGGTACGGATAGTCAAGCGTCGCAACACGGCCAACAAGAAAGAACGACGGCGGACGCAAAGCATCAACAACGCTTTCTCGGACCTGCGGGATTGCATACCCAACGTGCCGTCCGACACCAAACTGTCCAAAATCAAAACACTCCGGTTGGCCACGTCGTACATCAGTTATCTGATGACCGTGCTGGACAGCGACGACCCGGACACGGACGGCTTTAAGGCGGACCTGTCTGCACACACGTCCAGGCGTTCCTCGTCCAACCATCAAAATATGTCGAGTCGCAGTACCAAAATCCAACAACAGGTCAGTGCCGTCAACTCTATCGTTTTGATATAAAAAAAAGAAAATTAAAAAAAATTAAGTAATATTACATGATTTAGATAATCACGAAAAGTGCAAGTTAGGCAGAATTTTCTCTTAGCGAACATCCAGTACAGTGGGGTTGGGGTTCAGCGGGAAAAGGTCACAGATTTTTAAGAAATCACTATAACTGAAAATGATAAAATCACTTTCAACCAAACGCTTCGATGCGAAACTGTAGTTGGTAGGAATATAAAATACCGATAAAAGTATTGCAATTAAAATAACGTGCTTAAAATTGTATTTTTTAGTATTAGGGTGGATAGGTACGATTATAGGGTTAAATGTCTGTCTATGATTATTAATTTCGTTGCTGTTTGTAATGTGCTGTTTTATATCGTAATTTACTTTACAATATTATGAAAATATTTGTTGACTGCATTTGTAAGTTGAAAAATATGTACATTTCTCGGGGCTTTTACTCGATATTGAAGTGGAAGGGGTGTATTTTTTACATGTTTGGCCGACATGGGACTCAAGACACCAAAAAAAAAAAAAACTGATGTAACCTTAATTCGTTAGTTGCTAAGATGCACGGTGTCTGATTCATCCAAAATCAATTACCAATTATTTTGTCGGTTTGATTGTGTGAATAGTTTGTGGTAAGCTTATTTTGTAAGCAATTGGAGTAAATGTATCGTTTTCTTGATTATTTACAAACCATACATATCACGTTAATAATATTTCGGTAATAATAGTGTCTAAGCGACGGTTAATTAAGTTGGAACGCATTATTTATTGACACTTTAAGGGTTGGTATGGTAATAATAATAAAGGGCCGTTTTATAAACGCAGAACGGTTATTGCGTGATGCACACATAAATAAACAGCGTTAATACAATTACACAGATAATAATATTATATACTTACCCTCTGAGTGATTATGGCGTTATTGTTGTTGGAGCGTTTGAAGTGCAAAAAGCCAATAACATTAAAAATCATTTTGACGCAATCTCCCAAGGATGTGTGTGCGTGTAAGCGTGAACCGCGGCTGGTCGGGCCAATATTATATTGTTGCTATATCCTGTGACACAAGGGGTTGGGGTAGAGGTCGAGGTTGTATAATTTATGGGGTCGGTCACGTGACACTATGATAGAGGAAACCAAACAGTAGGCGACGGTGTACACAGTATAGCTATAATTTAACAACTGATCGGGGTGTAACGCAAATGGGCGCAGAAAACAAAATATGTATGAAAAAACAAAAAAAAAAAAAAGGGTAGCGTCAGATTTTTGGATCTCTAAGGACTCTTATAGGATATTTACAATTTTCCACCTGTAGTATAATATTATTATACTTGAGGAAAAAAAATGTTTGATTTATGTTTGGCTTGTCAGCCTTTATCGGTGGTAGTGTTCTATGCCTAAACAACGTCCCATACAAACTTGAAACTAATTCGACTATTTTTGAAACGTATAGAACGCCGTACTTGTAAGTTGAAAAATATGTACATTTTTAGGGATTGTTTCTCGATTATGAAGGGAAAGTAAATGCTTTCGAAATGTTCAATACAATGATCTCGGATTAAAAAAAACCCGATTAATGGAAAATAATTATTTGAAGTTTGAAAAATACTTCCCTAAAACAGATTTTGATGGATTAATTACCGGTATAATTCTGACAAAACGCAAAATGCATCGCCTTCTGACCTTTAGATTATGAAATACAATTTTCATAATAATTTAGTCTATTGTGTTTTTTTTTTTGTTTTCTTAGTCATCACACAACACATGTCACATGTAAAAATGTCCGATTCTGACCTTGCACTTAATTAACTCGCTCACAAGCTTTACCTTAATTATTTGATTGATTTCCCGTTAAAAATGCAATAAATTTATTTTTTTTTACTTTTTACAGTCTAATGCTAGAAATACAATTGCGGCAAACGGCCAACACGAACAGCACACCAAACGAACCAAAGGAAGGACCGGTTGGCCGCAAGACGTTTGGGCCTTAGAACTGAAACAAGAACAAGTGTAATAACCGTCTGAACCAAATACTATATTGTAATATATTTAACTAGTTTTTTGTAAATTGTTTCGTTTAATACCGTGAACCGAGAACGCTGTTTAATATAGTATACTTTTACTTATTATAATTATTAGATCCTCCTCGTATGTTGTAAGGTCATATTATAATGTTTTATTAAAGCATTTGTCTATCTACAGCGCTAAAACGCAAGTGTGAATACAAAATATATGAGTATACTATATTTGACAGGGTCGTGCAATTATTAAATATAATAATAATTTCGGCCAAATACAATGTACTCATAGTGCCTTCATAGTACTTTAGTGATGCGCAATAATATACCTAATATATATATATATATATATATATTCATTATTTATATACATATTGTACTTTACTATTATTATTAAACGTGTAATAAAAATTTGTGTATAGATTTATTGCGTTTGTTTTTATTTATAACTCTCTCCGTAACACGGTGTTCTAAGTTCTAATTTAAATTTGTATAGGATATAATATATTTATTTATTATTAGCATCGGGGGATGTCGAGCATGAAAAATTATTATTCAAGGGGAAAAGATTGTTGTATTCGGAGACGACGGTGTTTTGTAAACGCAAGAAGACCTCATTAGAAGATAATAATAATATAATATATTGTAAGTATAGCTTTGTTTTTTTTTACAGAGTCCCGCCGGCCGTGTTTTTATTGTAACAACAATAATTTACAAGCATCGTTTCAACTGGATCCGATCTATTTAAATGCATACTCGCAATTTAATATGCTATTTTTGAATAACATATGATAATGTTCTGACAGAAATTGTCGACTGATCTAACTAAGACAGCTTTCCAGATCGGACCTTGTGTGTTTTAGTTTTAGTACGGTATTATATTTTAAAACCCATCACATTTATCTACATATCGCGTGGCCTAGGCGTTTATTAAAAGTGCAATAAAATATTGAGAAGAAATTTAATTATATTTATATGGTTTAGTTAACCATATAAATATATAACCCTTTAAGACCTACGGGTCTTTACAATGCGCTAATTTAAAAATACTTAAAAAATATTCGTCAAGTATGTTTTAAAAGTTGATAATTTTGTAAAATCAATTATTTTATGTAAAATGTGTTATAAATATGTACACATATGTCAAGTAAAGGGGTTTTAAGTGTACTCTCGTATCTTTACAGAGCTCAAATCGAATCATCCAAAGTAGTCAACATTTTGCCGGTGTTTTTGATCTAAAACGTCCAAAAAAACAGACCACATTGAGCATATTCAACCCTCCCCAAATCGGTATTATTCATAGCTGTAAAACTTTAAAATCCTGTCGACAAAAATAAAACACTTTGATTTTTAGAACACATTATTATTGTTGTGCCTGCGACATTGTCCATTGTAACAACACCCAAATGTTCTGGTGTTACACGCTTTGTAAATGGGATTTCATCAAGTTTAATATCATTCCACATAAGTCATAACTATTGAGAAAAATACCAAATTACCATTTGCAACATTTTAGCACTTCTAAATTTTATTTAACCTACTACAAACGAGACAGTTGTGTTGACTAACTAAAACTACACAATAATATAATACTATATTATATGATAAAAGTGTTCTCGCTATAGACATGGCACACTCGTCGTTGGCGGTCTGTTTGAAGGCAGCCTACTGATTTGGCGGCGGGGACGAAGCTTCGGGTTTCGGCGGAACACTCCTGGCGTCTCGCCGCAAGAACCCGGACGCGTTCTGACGGCCTAGACGCGGCGTCTGCACGGGACGCGCTGCCGAGTCCGCGTGACGTCCCAGGCGCGGCGAAAACGGCGGCGAGTACGGTGGCGACCTGGCCGAATGTCGCGTTGCCTCTTCGCCCGCCTCCTCCGAGGAAGAACGGCCGCTCCGGATGCTTGATTCCTGTTTTTGTTGGCTGTACACTGTGAAAATAATTCGCCCACGTTAATATCATGCAACACGAGTTTGCGTTTGGTAGCGTATTATCGTTAATATGTTATTACCAAAAACAATCAATCACGTGCCCTATTACGCCCCCATCGAGTCGACAAATAGCCGCGCTAAACGCTGTTAATGATTATTGGATTACTCACGGGAATTCTCGACGAGCGGTATGAGTACCCAAGGAGCGTTCGTGATCAGATCCACTACTGTCTGGCTGGCCGATGCCACGCCCGCTTCCGGGCCGTTAGCGTTCACGTCCATCACGTTGTAAGATGACCGGCGTTTCCTGCGGCCCAACCGTGGCCCAAACCATATGCCGCCGCTGGACTGGGTGGCACCGCCACGTTTGTCCAGGCCGCGCGACTCCGAGTATCCGCCGTCGTACTGCATGAAGTTTGACGATTTCAGCAAATCGGCTAGCCCCGTTGACGACCATGGCGGGTAGTCGTAGTCGACAGCCTGTTCCCCGTACTTCTGGTTGTCTTGGAAGTCTGCGTTAAAATATGTATAAATATTTATTTGAAAGTGATTTGATCACTTTATTAATGATAATTCCTGTAGACCTGTGACCTCTCCTTCCCAACTATGCTTTGATCCCATTATATGTATCGACCCCACGGTACTGGCTTACTCGGATTAAATCACTTTCAAATAAAAACTTTTATGCTAATTTGTAAACACTGCACCTGACTTTAATACTTTCTTACTGTGCTGATTTAAACTGTGCTTGGTTTAACTTTACTGGTTTGAAAATACTAACTACTGATTCGCATCGAAGAGTTTGTTTTTTAACGTTTCACCCCCCCCCCCCCCCCAAGTACCAACTAGATAAAATTTGTGATTTATACAGTTGCTACTCGAAAGAATTGGTCCAGTATTAAAAATGTTACAGTGCATACAGGCACAAAAAAATTCCGTATCATAGTAAACCCAATAACATCCCTGCTCTGCATCGAAGCTAAAATTAAACTTTGGTTTTATTAAAACGGATAAGTAAGAAAGTCTGTTCATCAAATAAAACTACATACTACATTAATAAAATCGGCTCAAGAGATAAATTGAGGTATTTAAAAATTAAAATTAAATACAAGTATGTACTGTTGATAAATGTAAAGTGTAAATGACATTTTTTGCTATAGGTATAGCGTATTAGGCTTTATGAAGTTTTATTTGTTTTAATGTATTTAACTATTAATTTATATCAAAAGATTGAAACAATTGTGGAACTTTTTCAAATTTTTAATTTTGAAAATTATTACTTATAAAAATAAAGGACTTTAAAAATATTAATTCTGATTCAAACGGAATCTCGAAAATACTCGAAAACAAAAATTGTAGTTTATTATTGCACGATTATTAACCATTGGTATGTTTTATAATATATTATTCTATTTTATGCAATAATTCTTTATACCTATTTATAATATAAAATTACACTAACAAATATTAATGTAATGATTATGGTAAGTCACGACTCTAGTTTTATCAAATTATAAAACTAATACATAAGTAACATTGTTTCCCTTTTGAGTTTATCATAACATTCTTTCTCCGTCCATCTCTGTCTATTGTAACATAATTATTATAATTTCATTAAAATATAAATTATAGATAATCGTGTTAATTATAAAAAAACACTAATTTTTTTTTTGTATACATAAGAGTTGCTCATAAGCTGTTGCTGTTAAACATCTCAGACAAAACAAATTAGCATTACCCATTGGCCATCTAGTAGTTAGTAATAGTTAACTTGTATCATTGATTAATTTTTAAAAAAACCGCGACTCCGTCTATACGACAACCATTTTAAATATAGTTGGCAACCATGTCAGTAACAATGATAACGGCCGGCGTATTATCATAAATAATTTATCAATTCACAATATTAAACTTAAAAAATATAAATTATAAAATTATATGCACGTGCATTTTTTGTTTTCTGAAGTCTAGATATTTATTTGTTTATTTATTTAAATATTTTTAGTGTTACGTGGTAGTTGAACTGCAATAAACAATGTCTGACTTATTCGGTAACAATGATGATTTCAATTTGTCGTCTGGTGCCAGCGATAAAGCCAAAGTAGAAGAGATACAAAAAATTATTTTGGTGGAACAGCAAAAAGCCCAGCTAAATGCTCAAGTGAGTAAACTAACATCCGGATAACTATTGAAAAATTTTCTAATTGTTGTATTACATGATAAGATTCAAGAAATTAGCGAGATCTGTTGGGACAAATGCGTGGACAAGCCTTCCGCAAAGTTGGGAGGTAAAACTGAACAATGTATTTCAAATTGTGTTAAAAGATTCTTCGATACATCCATTATCATCGCAAATCGGTTCAACCAATTACTTCAAAGATCCAATACTGGTTAGCCAAATTCAAGTGCGCCTTCTATTTTTTTTTTTTTTTACTGTAGTTTTCTCGCTGTATGATAATTATTATGTATGATATTGAGATTCAATACGTAAAAAATTTCAAAACAAATTATAATTTACCAGACGTGTTAAATGCTGGTTTTATGTAATTATAAATTTCTAGTTTATAAAATGACTTATTTATTATGTACAAAAATATAGCATATTTTTAGCTCTCAGCAACTTATCTACTGTTTGAAATGTATTACTAAGTTGTAGGATAATATAATGTTGTCGTTAGTACAGACACGTTATCTGTTACAATATGCAGTAAAATAATAAATACTTTTTGGTTATGATTGTTTATAATGAATGGTTGACAATGATCAATGTTGTTACGTCAATTATTATTTCATACCTTCAAAAGCTTTATATTTTTTTTTTTTAAATTCTTCAAGTTGTTACAAAAACATTTTATTATGAATAACAATATATTTCAATATTATTTATTTTAAAAATTCTACAGAAAATTAAGGTAATGTTTATCAAGAAATGTCAATCATAATTTGTACTATGAGTCAACATAAAAAATAACATTTTTAGGAAAAACATTAATCGTTACAAAATTAGTATAACCTAATGATGCTTAGTATAAACTATTTAGTTTACTTTTTATTCTAATTCTGTCAACTTGCAGCATCTTATTATTTTTTATAGACCTGGCGTCGTTTGTGAGGGTTCGGTTTTTATTTTTTAATAATAATAAAACATTTTTACTTTGTTCATATATATTTAGCCATCTTTTAAACATGGTTCCTTTTTGACACAGCACACTATGCGTAACCACATTCATTGATAGCTTATTAGATTAATCAAATCAAAAATAATTATTTTTAGGTAATTCAGCTTTAAAAAATCTAACTGAAATAATCTACCTATAATTAAATATGAATAATATAACCGTTTTGTCATTAAAAAAAAAAATCAACCAGATTACCACAATAGTTTTTTTAAATATTTAATAAACGTCTTACGTGTACTTCTATTGTTACAATAAAATCTAGAGAAACTTCTTATATCAAAAACCTACTAGCCTTAAGTATTAATAACATGAAATAATTGTTTAAAAAAGGATAAATTATAAACATTTTAACCCATGAATTATATTTTAAAAAAATTAAGAGTAGTAGAATAATTATGTAGATATCTAATGCGATTTTAGGTTAAAAAAAAAACGGTAATATATTTAAGAATTTTTATAAATAATCGATGTAGAAGTTGAAATAATAGTGTCATACAATTTATATAAAAACAGACAAAATAATATTGTGTTATCTGTAGGTATAGCTACTGTAGAATTATTTTCGTTGTTAGACTTACCATTGAAATAATTGGCCCTTGTCAATGAAATGAAAAACACGATGACACAAAAATTACATATAATAAACATTTTTTTCAACAAATTATTTATGTTTATTTAACGTTCAGCCAACTTGTATAGAATCACCGCCGGCTCCTATTGAAAAGTGTAAATTAAACTGAAATGGTTTTTGGGTTGACAAATCCTTTTATATGCTGGAGATACCTGAACAACGATCAATTCTAATTTAGCAGATACAAATAAACTAACAAAGGGGGGAAACTGGAAAGTGACTACTATAAATTTCGATTTGCTTCGACTAATACTTCCTCCTACAAACTCGTGTCTGTCGTTTGTTTGTTTGATCCATTTTTGTTCGACATTTTTAAACGTCTTACAACACAAAACAAGTTTTAAATGATGCGAAAAACATAATTTGAAAATAAGCTAAAAGATTTTTTTTTTGCTATTAAGTGATTATAAAAATACATATATGTAAAAATGTTAATATAACGAAATAAGAATGTGTATTCCCAAACAATTGGTTGGAAAAAAAACAATGAAAAATGTATATTTTATTTAAACAAATGTTTAAAAAATTAAACTATTTTTAAAAAAAAATTATTTAACATTTTTTTTTTTACTGTGTTAGTTATTTGTTTTTTAACTCAAATGTGATGTAAATAATAAATAATCGATCAATGACGAATAACACTCCCAGTTAGTATGCCTTTCTCTTGTATTTATTATGTATTCAGTTTCAAAGGCAGCATTGGGGGGGTTTTATGGTAGCACTAGACCTATTATTTAATTAATACCAATAAATAGTAAAACAAAATCATCAAACAACATAAAAACTTATGTGTTATCTAGGCAACAAGAAAATATTTAGCTCGTTGTCAAAAATAACTGTTATATTTGTAGTATTTTTACCATTTATAAATATTTATCATAATCGGTATCTATCATTAGACAAAGTACTATATTACTTATAGGCATAATTAGGTATTTTTACTATTTTATGTGACCGCCTCTGACCTCGCCATAATTATTTACCTATATTCGTACAACCCCACTCTCCACTTACCAGCTGTTCTTTTCTTATTTATTTTACATTGTATTGCACATTTTTAAAACCTTCCTCTAAGACTTCAAAAACGCCGGTACGTAGCTGAGAAGGTATTATTTTTACAATATCACGATATCTTGTAATTTATAAACAACTGAACCGATTTTTTCTTATCACAATTCCATGATTAGAAACCATACCTGAATGGCACATATTGGACAACACATATTTTTAAAAGTTCACCTCTCCCCCTTCAAAATCGACAAAAAACATTCAACAAATGTACCTACATTTTTTACAACTTATGAATAACATAACTTTGATTTTATATGTTAATTACATAATATTATGCTTTTATCGCTACATATTTGTATTCCTAGGGACCATCTATGGATTCACATCGAAGCGTTTATTTGAAAGTGTTTTTATCACTTTCAGGTACAATAATTCCTTAGAAATTGTGACTTTCATCATCATATGCCACTGTACCGGCATTTATTAAATTAATTTTTGTAAACAAAAAACATTTATTACAATTTAGTCGCGTTTATGATATGATGGTTTAATTAACTTAACTGCTATCATTTTTTTTTCTATTAGGCGAATTTTAAATGGGTTTGCCATAAAAGAGGTAAAACCATTTGGAAAAATCACAGAAACATTTAATCGCAACGTTACATAACATAACATAATCACACAAGTTTTTTTACAGTATAAACGTCAATGGAAATTCTCAATTTGCGTTTTCAGCAGTTAAGGGAAGGTATTTTATATGTACACATATACAATATATCTAGCCAATGCGAGTTCGGTGTGGCGCTAAACATGATTAGTCATAGTTAAACTTTTATGGGGTACATATGTCACTACTGTCCTATATAGACTATATATAGCTGTTTGTACAAAATCCGAACGGCGCACATATTGAATCGCCTGCGTCATCAGACGCCACCGTGACAGATAAATTGCTTTAAAACAAAATAGAGATTAATTACTTATAGTATCTACATACGTAAGAACAGAAACAATACTGTATTTGTCTTTACGTGCGACTCCCACATGGCGACAGTGTTTGTATTACTGTCGATAAGAGAACAAAATAATACAACTGACCATTTTTATAAATGGAATTAACATTGTGTAATAAACTCTGCGGATAATGCGAATATTCGGTATTATAGCTGGTAGGGCAAGTCATGACGTGACCTACAGTATCTCCTCACAGGTTCTGTATGTATGTATGTTATAACAAATTACAAAAATAATCTATCACACTCTGTGATAAATCCAAGTTTTATTGAATTTAATGTACCCGTGCAAGACAAATGCAAATTTGAGAATCTTATATAAATATACTCACCCTCGATCTGAAACAAAACTAAGTAATAAGGTAACAAATATTAAGTAACTTTTAGAAAATTTTTTACAAAATAACAAAATGAAAATTACATTTTCAGTGTATTCTTATGAGTAATGTACCTACCTACATTAATTTTCTTCAATATTTCCTTTAAAATTGGTGACAAATTATAAAACAAGCGCAGATAGGAAAAGGTCTCAAAAATATAATGTATGGTCAAAAGCTAGAGTTATTCTCATCACTTCACTGAAAGTTCAAACATAAACTGAGGGACAGTGGTACCCAAATTCTCAGGTAGTGAAATATTATAAAATCAATGATTTTTAAAACAATAAAGAAATAAAAAATTTGTTAAAAATAATTTATTTGTATAAACCGTTTTTTTTTTTGTTAATAGATTTGTTTAAAAAGGGGATCGCATTTAATTGTTAACTTTAACTTCAATAAAAGTAACTGTCATTTTATTTTATGTCTTATTTTACATACCTAATACAAATTTCGTGAAAACTTATCTTAAAAATATATTGTTAGTAGGGGTGGGGCTTTATATAAAAATAAAACTTCTACAGGCTAGTATAACGTTTCTTGCGTAAATTCAAATTTTGGTGCCCCAGTCTTATTGTTAAAGTATTTATAAAATAAAAGTTTCAAAATTAATTTTTTTTATTATAATGTTTGGTTTAAGTTTTTAAAAATACTGACAGTAGATTACACACTCGAGGATTTGCCCATATTGTAAATTATCTCTGTTTCAAGGAATTTTTCGTATTAAATATCTGCATTTTTTTTTCAATAACTTGATTTGCGGTGTATTAATCGGCTTATTGCTAAGAGCTTTCCTCAGTGATTTATAGAGGACTGGTTTACACTAAGTTTGAAAACAAACATTTTATCTATGAAATTTAACGCATTTTCTAATGCACGAATGGAATCGTTTTCAAGAAATGACGGTATTCATACCAAATTATGACGAAAACACTGTGGTAACTAGTTAATGTAGATGGCTTCAGATTAAAATATCTGATAACCACCCAATTGCTTTAAGAACTGTGTACGTAAACGCACTTCTAGTTGATAACTCTAATAAAAAATATATTACCTGTTAGGTAAAAATTTGTAAATTTTAAGCCGAGTTAATACTATTCAGTATGTTGTACGTTCGATATATGAAGTATATAAAGTCAGAAATATAGTTTTCTGTCCCAATTCAACGTGACATGTAGCTACAAAAAAAATCTGAGTAATCAAATAATACAAATAGAGAAATCTGACAAAATGTTATTATTATAAATAAGGCAGAATAAATATATTTAAAGTATTCTGCGACCGATTCATTTTCACCGCATATTTTCGGTACAACCAGCAAGTGGAAAACGTATAAGCTTAAGCAATTTAAACAAGTATTTTACACGTGAAAGAACCGTATTAACCGTATATATTTTAATAATTATAAAGTTAACCGAAATAAAATGATTTGAAGTAATAAAATGATTTGCACTGTGGTGTTATTCAGTTTACTGCCGTTGGCGTTCGCATTCAGTGAATTGACATCATCGGTTTCTAACGAAGAAAAACAAAAACAAGCTGACAAATTAAACGCTCTTCTGAGCCACCCCGGATGGAGTCGAATCAGCCACGTGAGGGCCCAACATATTTTCAATGCAGAGAATCCGGAATCGTTTTCTGGCAATGATGTCTTTGTGCCGATTGATGACGACAACGTGTTAATCGGTGTCGATAACTTCGACGGAAAACACATCATAGCCTCCTATTTGCTGGGATGTGTATACGTTCAAGCGGTTTTGAAATTTGTGACTTTAATAAAGAACATGTTACGCTTGTGTACGAAGGAAAGAAAGAATACGACGAATAACACAAAAAACAAATGGCCTCGTCGGCCTAGAAACAATAAAGGACATCATCTTATTCGAAACAACCCCCTCGCAATGTTCCATATTGTTTTACGGCAATTCCAAAATAGTCAGATTATGTTCGAGTACATGATTGACGCGATGGGCTCTTTAGTGGAATTATCGAACCCTGTGAAGTATGCGTTTGAAAAGACACTGGCCATACGAGATCTAACGGGTACCATTAGCCAACTGATAAACATAAATATTCGTCAAATAAATGTGACACAGTACAGCAGTGTAGGCGATATCAACGAAACAAACGTCGGAAAATATTCGGCCAGTTTACATAGATTTCTTAATGACCATATCGTTGATTACTTGGGTCTATTTAAAATCTTGTACTGCACACTACCGGAGAACACCGACGAACAAATTAATACTACACACGCGGCCATACATTCACAAAAACAAATATCTAATTATCAAGTCGTTTGTCACCTGGAAAGCCTAATTCAAACGCTCACAAAAGATGTCATCGAGAAGTACTATTTGGATTTGGGATTTGGCTATGACCAACCAACGCAAAACACATCCGTCCCTGAACTATTAACGGCAAGCTTAATACATAACAACACTACCTAAGCAATGTTTGAATCCATTTTCTTTTTACATTTACCGTATAATTATGACATAATAGTTTACTTAATAAATAATTTTTATTCAGTTATAATATTATTTTGCGTTGTAAAAAAAAAAGTCTGTGTCGAATGTAAAAATGTATATGCATTTTATATTATGTGAATCACACAAAATTTATTTTGTGGACCACGCCGTCAGAGTACTTAACAAACATATGTCAGTAAGTTTATTATACTTATAGTGCAATGAATAACATATGTTTTTAGTGTTGTCAATGTACAATTTTTTTTTTTATTTAAAGAATATTTAAAATCTATGCTACAAGGCATAATAAGCACATAGTAATATTAATATATAGGTATACAATATAAATAAAACAGTGTTCTACAATTAAGCACCTTAGTATTTAATTGCATACCCAATATAGTCAATATGTAGTGTTCAACAACAGTCAAAAAACCGATCTCAAGTTCAAAGTGTATTCGTTTACTTCTAATAATATAAACGTAAGCAAAATACCTAAGTACAGAATACACGTGTAAGAAAGAAATATTGTTAGCAAAATAACTAGAGAAAATATATCAAACGAACTTGGAGAAAGGGGTTTCCGTGTTTAACCCTCTCTCTCCAATACAAAATGTAACATTACTTTATTCCAAACACTTTTTTTTTGTTACAGGGTTTTACAATGATGATATTTATACTTGCTACGAAATGTAATTCATCGTGTGATACAATTTTACAATCTATATAGCACGTGTTTATTTTGTATTAAAAATTATAATTAAGTAGATATGAATGTAACTATTTAAAGTTATAACTTAAAAGCAAAAAATTCATGGATACTTATAAATTAAAGTTACCTATTAAATGGGTGTGTGTGTATCATATACTTTTAATAAGCGGAAATATCTGTTATGTCTATTAACTACATTACACGTCGTTGAGGGCTTCTGCAGAGTGTAGTGACCGACAGCGGCCGTCAGCCACGTTCCATGTAATCTTATCTCTTCAGAGTTGATAACAAATAGAATAAATCAAATCATTCGTTATCTGAAATGCAGAGTAGCGGAGTGCAGCTTCCTATTTAAACATGTATTTTTTATACAATCCATGTACTAATTATTGTTCCGGAAGTAGTGCTTGTAATATTTTATGTCAGTTTTAAAGTACAAATTTTTTTTTTTTTTTAATTAAACGAAAACTTTTTTATAGTATATACGATCAACGATGGTAAGTTTTAAATTTGAAAATGTTCAAGTTTTCTAGTTCAAACATAAGTATATACTTAAATTGAATTACAAAACATTATAATAATTAATTTCTAATTGTATATTGTAAAAACTGTTAGCAGGCGAATGTGTTTAAACTCGTCACATTTAATGTAGTGTTGTTCACTTGTTTATATTTTGTTTGTGGAGTCCCCAATCCTAAAGATCCTGCCCTCGAAAAGGTATTCTTTATTTTAATATTATATGATGTATTATAATTATTTCTAACTAATACTCTATGCTTCTAAAAAAAATAAAATGTAATGTAGTTACAAGCACAGCAGCAACATTTCAGAGGGGAAGAGCATGATCCTAACTATGATCATGAAGCATTTCTTGGTCAAGAAGCGGAAGAATTTGATAATTTAACACAACAAGAGAGCCAAAGAAGGCTCGGGTAAAAAAAAATGATTTTGCCATTAATTAAAAATTTCTTGTTTTACCTATATATTGTTTTATTCTTCTTAAACAGTCTGATTGTGAATAAAATTGATAAAAATAATGATGGTTTTGTGACTAAAGATGAACTAAAAAACTGGATAACGTTTACCCAAAAGCGTTATATCATGAACGATGTTGAAAATCAATGGAAAATGCATAAAAACAATGCTGATGACAAAATATCGTGGCCAGAATACCGTAAAGACACATATGGATTTATGAGTGGTAAGAGATGTATGATTTATGAGTGGTAAACTTTTTTTTCTTTATGATCTATGTAATTATTTGGAAATAAATTTATTAGATGAAGAAGCTAATGATGTGCAAAAACAAGACGATTCATATTCATATGCTAAATTGATAATAAGAGATAAAAGAAGATGGGCAGCGGCCGATGTTGATGGCGATGGTTTGCTGACTAAAGATGAGTTTGTTTCATTTCTTCATCCCGAAGAAAGTGACCATACAAAAGACATTGTTGTTAATGAAACCATAGAAGATATGGATAAAGACAAAGATGGAAAAATATCTATCGATGAATATATCGGTAAAATACGTATACCATTATATTTATATCTGATTATTAATATTGCATTTATGCTTAACATACTCAAAATTTATAAAAATTGTTATTTATTAGAGGATCTATTTCCTGGCGTGGAAAAAAATGAAGAACCAAGTTTTGTGATCAGTGAAAAAGAACAGTTTAAAACGTATAGAGACAAAGATGGGGATGGATTTTTGGACATCGGAGAGGTAAATGAAAACAAATTGTCACTTGATGAAACGTTAATGTCACATATTTAAAAAAATAAGATTGTAAAGTGGGGTCCGAGGCATAGTGGGGATAGAGAGGTCACAGGTCTACAGGAATGATTAAAACTGAAAAAGTGATAAAATCACTTTTATATAATTGCTTTGATGTGAATCTGTGGATAGTTTGTATAAACCACACGTAGCAACTTAAAATCTGACTACGGTCAAAGTGTAATTTTTCCCTATTTTTTTTTGTTTTTCCTTAATAAGAAAAGTTTGACTACAGATGTTATAGCCCCATTCTAGATCTACCTTTGGTCTAATTTTCATACCTAAACCTGAAACTGAATGAAAAAGTGAAAGAAAGAAAACAATTTTGAAAAAGATATGGAGCGCTGTTATTTTAAGTTGATGTAAATTTTTCTCGATTTTGAAGGGGAAGGGATGAACTTTTTTTAATTTTTAGTCTTAAAGTACACGTTACATGTACGATTCCTGATCTTAAAAGCTGCTACACGAAGAAATCAGCTCAGTGGCTTAAAACATATCTTTTAAGATATCGCGGGTACAAAAAAAAAATAAAAACACATCATTGTAAATACAATACCTTCTCAGCTATCGCGTTGAAAATAATATAAATGGTTTTAATTAGGTGAAAGATTGGATTTTGCCTGAGAACTTCGACCATGCTGAAGCCGAGAGTAGACACTTGATTTACGAGTCAGATTCTGATGCGGATGGAAAGTTAACTAAGAACGAAATTCTGGAAAAGTATGATTTGTTTGTTGGGTCTCAAGCTACTGATTTTGGAGAAGCTATTATAAAACATGAAGAATTATAATCAAGATTATTTTAAGTTAAATAATGCTAATATTTTTAATGGAATCTGTTTTTTTTTCAACTTACTATAGTTGCTATTAGTTTTATTAAAAATAATGTTTATAAAATAAGTAATATTTATTTTTAATACTTGAGTAAAGTAATAATAAATGAAATACTAAAAATCAACTTAAATATATTTCATAAAATATATGAAGACAATTTTGTATGTATCAATATTTTTTTGCATTTTGTAGTTGGAAATTAAATTACTTTTCAATTTTTTTTTATTTTTTTTATTATTTCTTAAATACCAAAGCATAGATTTTAAAATAATACTGCTTAAATAATATTATATTTTTAATAAAACATAATATTTTTAACAATATCATTTAATTATATAACGAACGTGTATTATAATTATGAACAATATTTGTACAATATTTAAAATTTATATAATATGTCATTCTTCTTTTTTTTTATGCTTCATTATATTTATTTATATATTTATAGATGTACTAATATACTAAATTAATTTTTGCAGTATACCATACATCTTAAAAAGTTTTTTTAAAAAATAACTTATTAGCAAACAATTTGACTCGCTCATATTTATGAGCTACTAACTCGTGTGGTTTGTGAGTAAATTTGAAACCTAAATCCTAATTATTGTGAATTCATATTTATAATTTATTTTTTCTGGGTTAGACGTCTTATAATAAAGAAAACCATAATTAAAAAAATATATATACAAGATAAATATTGATTTAATACTTCTAAGAAAAGACAATTTAAATTTTCGATACCGGTTTAACATTGACATTGATTTGCCATATTGACCATTTTTCATGTTCAGTTTTTTTATCATAAGAATTCAAATGACAAATCCTTTAATGTTCAGTTTACAATTTTGTAAGACACATAAAAGAAAACCAAAGAATATAAATATACTTTATAAATATTGTTAATTATATTTTTCTAAATTTTGTATTTATACATCATTTTTACACAGCGTATTACGCGCAGTCTAAATAACTAGTTACTGCTGTCTTTATATGATTATTTATAATTAAAATTATTACATTCATACAAACAATATTGCACATCTTCAAATAAACTTATTTTGTAAATAGCCTAAAGATATACACATAGTTTATAAATAATATTTTTATGTACGTAGGTATTTATTTGTATGTATGTATTACATTTACCAGTCGTCTTTACAGCTTTAAGTAAAAACACATAACCGCTTAGACATGTATAAAGAAAAACCACTTTTATAACGTCAGCCACTTATATAATTTTTGCCGTTAATCCAATTTTGCACCCATACGTCTCAATGCTAAAATTGTGTTTGTCGCCCTTATCCATTGCTTCTTAATGACGTATCGTTTCAATTTTGTTTTGCTCAACGTTGTTAGCTGTCCGGCCGTTTTCAACCACTTGTGTTTGACCGCTTCAGCCGCACTCATTCGGGCTCTATAATATAAATATATACCGGGTGTAATGTAAAGTTCTACCGAGCTTCAAATAAGACATCAGGATGCTTTATGGGTACAATAAATGGTGTTCATTTTTTTTAATTATTTAAAATAGTACTCTTATCTCATTGAAAAATTGTCTAACGAAAAAAATAATTTCAGATTTGAAATCAGGGGAAAAAATCTTGTTGAATTGATATGTAACATGATTTTTTGGTATCTGGCCACATGTACATCCACAGGGTGGCCACCGAGTGGCTACTGAGTGGCCGGCATGTGACTATAATCAACATATAGCATGCGAAACATAATTTCATAAAAAATAATTCTAAGCACACCGCTGAATTGAGATTAAAATTTTAACCCAAAATAATGTGTCACATGCCATATGTTGGTTTTGGTCACAAGCCGGCCACTCGGTGGACGCAAATGTGGCCAGATACCAAAAAATCATGTTACATATCAATTCAACAAAATATTTTCTTCCGATTTCAAATCTGAAATTATTTTTTTAGTAAGACAATTTTTTAATGAGATACCAGTTCTATTTTAAATAACTTAAAAATTAACAAAAAATTAATACCAATTAATGCACCCTTATACACCCTGTATAAGTATTATTATGCACACAAAGAAAACTTCGAACAAGAATATACACAGTTAGTAGCAGTTTATAACCAAAAAAATGAAATTAATACTATTCAATTGGTTACAACTGATTTAATGGTTTGTGGCAATCAGCAAATACAAGCCCATACTTATTTACCGTAGAAATATTTCTATATTTAAAACAATGTAATATTGATGTTCATCGCCCTTTGTTATGATAAATTAATTGAAAGCAATCCAAGGATCTTGGCTTAGTTTTTTTTATCCAAACACGCCAATTATAAGATTTAGTGGCTTATAAAAAAAAAAAAAATGTATTCGACATGAGTTCATTTAACTGCTTTCTAAGTAACCAATACGGGCATGAATTTCAAACTCTCTCGGTAGTTAAAAAACTCATAATAAATTAAAAATGTTTCATTTAATTCCCCAAAGATGCAAGAAAACTTAAAACACAACGAAAAAATTATTAATTATAATTTACATATAATATGGTAGGTTCTTAAGTCAAAACTGATAGTACAATTTTTTCCAATAATCAAATATTACCATTTTTGGCAAATAAAAAGACGATATGGTAAATATAGTTAACAAACATGCTAAGGTAATTTGTCAGTACATATTTTGTTTTGAGAGAGGGATTTAAAAAAAGTATATAGGTAATATTATGGACACTGGATTGATTGTGTTATAAACTTAAACGGATTTTTGAATAAGGACAAATAAAAACAAAACTGAAAACTATACCGAATCAATTTCGTTTATAAAGACCTGACAAAAAAAATAGGTTTTCAAATTCCAAGTTTGCTTGATGTTAATTAAAATTTTTTTTTTCCGTTTTGATCAAATTTTAACCCGATACCAAACAGTAGGTTTGTATATGAAAGCAGTATATGATTTGTTATTCCTGAAAGCATGACTTCAATTACCTATTTAATCCATCTACATTTATTATTTGCATATTTTTATATATTTTTGTAATGAACACAACTTATAGTGAAATTATTCCTTGGAATTGTGCCCAACACACCTGCAGTGCTCAGCCAAAATCTATCAAATTTCAAGAATGAAAATACAATATTAATAGAACAAAAGAATTCGTTTTAAAAACACATTTATTTTATTATACTTTTCAAAATTATCTATGTATCTATACATTACAATACCGCAGGGCGCAGTTACCATCTATAATTATCTAAGTGTATAAGTACAATAATTACATATTATGACAAATTTCTACACAAACCTACTTATAAATACAAGTTTATTTTTACTACTCATTATAACGAATACAAAATTTAAAATGCTTTATCACACAAAAAATAAACTTAACAAAATTCTACAGCCGATTCAATGGTAATTGTTTTTTGCTTGGTTTTAATAAAACTCGACTATCGTACATAAAATAGGCGTAAAAATCATAATTTTTATGGATAATCTGCAAAGCATCAATGAAGACGATAAACTAAATTTTAATTTAAAAATATCATTATAGGTGGTGCGCTAAAAACAATAATATATATTCAATTTTATTCAACATAAAATTATCAAAATATGCAATAGTAAAGTAGTGTTTATATTCGCTATTCACATGTCCGTCTTACAGGAGTGATCATTAACTAGAATTGGTAACTACAATATACATATATACCTCTATAGTATAAAAAGGGGTGGAATTACGTTTGCCTACTAATTATACTGAAATTAGTACATAGATTCTATGGTCTAGACCCCAAAAAAAAGGCTTAGGTCTTAAACTTCAAGAGTGACCAATATTGGACTTGGCTATTACAGATCAGACATACCGAAAAAATAATTTTAGTATGATTAAATGTGAAAGTTTACATAGACATGATCAAGGGTTTTATAGGAATAGACCCGCCCCAGTAAAATGTATACAATTGTAATTCATTAAAAAAAAATTAAGTACAAAGATATACAGGAATATCTGAATATCTGAATTTGAGTATAATGTTTTGCTAAATATAATTTATAAGATACATATCGACATGTTATATGTAAGCTGATCGTCGATCAGTTAATATCTCTGAACATCTATTGTGAAAATCATTCACCCTTTTGAGAGGATCATGTATCCTGCAACCTATACATTGTAATACAAAAAATACAAATGACGAAACAATGAAAAATATAAGTTCAGCAAAAGTCTTCCCCATATCAAAACGTTTGGGCGAGTGACAAAAAATAAAAATGCAATAATTAAATATTCAACAGTGTTGCAGAGATAGTAATCGATTCGAACTGACCAGCTGGCAAACAAATCTATAATTATACAAATTACAAATTAAAAAAAAAATTAACGGTGGCGGGACCTAACCTAAACCCGTTGATCGCGATTCACGTGGATAAGTCAGGTTTGGCGGGTTTGTTGCGATCGCCGTAGAACAGCCTGAGCAACATGTCTTTGGCCGATTCGCGGTCTGGCGAAGACAGTTTGCTGTGCGGCGCCGAATGGTACGAATCGGTCATGTAATACAGCAGGTTGCTGGCGGGTGGCGGCGACCCGATGGGCACGTCCCGGTTCATACTGGTCAATTTGAACTTGGGCTTGCGGTCCACGCTGAACGGTTGTCTGGTCAACAGCATCTTGTGCAAATTGTGGGCCGCTACATGCGGGTCTTCGTGTCCGTCCGCCGCGGACAACACCAGTTCGTGCAGCAGACTCGCGGACGACTTCGTGGTGGTCGTCGAGGTGTTTGTCGTCCTCGAGAACATGTACGACACGTCCGACGACCTACGATTGGTGGTCGTCGTGCTGTGGGTCCACGACATGTGTTGGGTGTCCACGGATTTCTTGGGTATGTCCACTAGTGGCGAAGTTTTGATGTCATAACGACCGGGCTGCTCCTTACCGGACTTTATAACGATATTAGTGACCACCGTTTGAGTAGAACTCTGCTTGGCGGGGGCCGGCTGAGATTTTCCTTTGATCGACCCGCCGTCCGCTGGAATAATCCCTAAAGCAGCCATGTTATCATTTTCGCTTGGCACAACGGTTTTGGCGTCCACCTTTTCGGTCGGATCGACTTTGTCAGTTGGTTCGATCATTTTATTATTAACAACCACCACAACGTTCGATTTCTGTCGATCTTCCGTCGGCGCAGAAATGTCGATTGATTTCGGTGACGCGTCGACACGGCCGCCGTTGTCCGGAAGAACATTGCCTATCGCCACGAACTTACTTTCGCCGTCTTTGTTTGCCACCGTCTCGTCTCGCTTACCGGGCATCACAATTTTGGTACCTGTAATTTGTGTCACTTCTGGCACGGACAACGGCGGAGACGGCGTTTTGGGTGCCAGGGTTCGGTCGCTGGCCGTCACCGGCACGACATCGGTCGGTGAATTCGTACCGGACTTACGTTCACAGAACTCTCTAAGGTTTTCTTTTGTCAAGTCCAGCGAGGAGTCTTGCCGGGCGACAGACAGCGACGGAGGGCAGTCCTGTTCCACCTTGATCGACTCTTGCCGCGACAGTTTCTTGGCGGGCCCTTTCTTACGCATGATCTTTTTTGTACTTTTCTTTTGCATCCAACTATGAGATAAACATTCGGTTGCAGTCATGCGGCTCCTACAACCAATTACACACAAAAAAAAAAACACAACATAAAAATTGCATCGAGGAAATGAAACACTATATAAAATAATTATTTGAAAAATAAAACTCATTAAAATCACTGATAAATAAAAATCGTTTTATTCCCGGCACGATTCCATTAAATAAATAAAAACACAAAACAATCAAAAAAATATCACGTGGGTTTTTTAAACGACCGTTTTTTTAGTCAGTGACGCACATAGGCCCACCGGGCTCACATAGCCTCCTCAAAAATGTCTAGTTCCTAGTTTATTTTTAAATCTACCACGCTATGCACATGCCCGAGGTAAAGTTAGAACAACTACTCAAAAATCATGTACGCACCTCTGATTTAAGGCACGAACAATAACGGTCAGGTGTCGATGGTTTCGTCTCAAGTATTCATTCAGCAAATATCCACGTCACGTGTACATAAGAAATTAGTTTTATAATTTTATCTACATACTTATCACATGCGGAAATTCATTGACAAAATAGAAGGGCTAATATATAAGGGCTCTTCAACATTCATCCTCAATTGACGTTTAGTTAGGCTCTTTAAGCCTTCTTTTAGGTCGAATTCTGGGTTAAATTTAATTTGCTACCCAAGTCTCAACTACTAAGTCTTTCCATAATTACCACTTATGCTACTAATTTTTTTTAAATCCAGGTTAGTTGAAATAAGTAGTCAACTATTCTGACAATACCGCGTCATGCATCAAATATGTTTTTGGAAATGTATTATTAGTTTTGTACATTTCTTTAGTTTTCCATATTTTCAATCAAACCATTGATTCCTATTTAATTTATATAGTGTGTGTTTTATTTTTTTAATTCTATTAGTTTTGTTTTATTAAAAAATACATAATACAGTATTTTTATTCTAGTTTTTATAATAAACGATTATTATTTACACAGTAACAGTCTAAGTATATTCTTATCTATAGATTTTATTTTATTTTGTCAAGCTAGTTAATTTTATTCAGAAAGTCTTTTGTAGAAAATAATTGTATATCATCAGTGTATGAAAGTTGCTGACGTATAAACAAATTGTTGTCTGATTATTATTACTATAACATAAACCGGCGGAGTACGATTGCGCGCGTTGTACCTTTTTGTGTATACGATTGCGCGCGGTGCCAGAATAACAAAGAACACGGTTTTGACCCTTCAAAGGCGTACTATTGCGCGTGAAATTGGATGCGACGTTGCCGCTAATGGTTACATAGATAAATAATTTAAAAAATATCGTTAAAAAAGTTAAGTTTAATTTATATTTGATTTAACCTGTGACCTCCTCCTAAACTGTAGCCTGCAAACCTAGGATATTTTTAGTTAGCGGAGCGAAGTGACGGCGCCGAGCGAGCGAGTGCCAAAGCACTCGGTGACCTGCCGTAGAATATATCAGCTGTTGTGGCTAATTTGTTATCACATGTGTCAGAGAACCAATCAGAACTCGCGATTTTCTACAGGTCCTCTAATAATGTATGGTATGCTTATATGCGTACAGATCGCCATAATTCGTATGGATATTTTTTATTTACCTATATACCTATGTATTTGGCAACGTTGCATAGAAGTACAAATAATATAGCGCGCGCAATCGTACGCCTAAAATGGTACCGCCGATAAGGACCGCGCGCAATCGTATTGCGCCCACATAAACGCCTAAGCAAAAGATTGGAAAATGTCTAGATATACTTATTAACGTTATGTGAAAACTTTATATTCTCCAATTATTTTTTGCAAGTTATAACCGTTTATAACTGGACGCACTCAAACCATCTCCACAGTAGGTATGTTATACCTACTATAATAGGTAGTAGGCACCCATCTTATGTCAAAGCTTGTAAAAATAGCAACGATGACTATTGATTGTATTACATGTTATTTTTACAAGTGTTGATCTGTAATTTATTAGAATAAGTACTTAATGTTTATACTTTATAGAATATTTTGTTATGAACTACAACAACAGACATAACAATACACCAACAAAACACAATCGACCACGTACGACACAACAACCTTATTTAAAATAAGAGCGTTCGAGACTTTTCAATAGTTTTTTTCGAACCCAGCAACCGTGATGTTTTTTTAAATGTTTTGTTCAATTTATTAGAAATAATGGTATTTTTTTTTATTCCATTCACTACACTGTTCGTTAAATGATAATAATCATCAGTGAGTTTTAATTAGCTTTAAGCGCTAATTTGTGGGTAACAAACAAGCAAAACATATTATATACCGAGTGATTTTTTCCAAAACGAAACACTACAAAATTGAAATTATTTTAAGAGTAAACTAGTGTAGGGCGTTGTAAAAATTACCCGGTATGTATAATTTATATATAGGTACACATTAAAACCGTACTTGTGGTCTTTGACTAGAAGCTTCTTGATGAAATCCTTGGCGTCGTTCGATATGGAATCAAACGACTCGTCGTCGAAGTCGTATTGAGCAATAGTGACGTTGGCCATGGTTTCCACGTCAGTTTCGCCCATGAAAGGCGAGAGTCCCGACAGTCTAAAAGTAACAGGAAATAAATGTAATACGTATTACATGCATAAACAAACCAGCTAGGAGTGATTCATTATATGTATATATAAAAAAAGTAAAGCCCCATTGGCCATTCTGCCCTTGTACAATAATGAACAGCAATTTTTTTTTTTTATAATTGACATTTCCAAAAATCCCAAGCACTTGATTTTCCTATCAAATACACAATAGATCACACGAAGTTATTGGGTTAGGTTACTTACAAGACATAGCAAACCACACCGACGGACCACATATCCGTGCCGAACCCGATAGCATCGAAATTCACCACTTCCGGTGCGACAAACTCCGGCGTGCCGAAAAGCACCTGAAGTTTGTGTTCTGGATTGAATTTCCTCGCCAAGCCGAAGTCGATGATCTTAATGCGGTTACCCGTTTTTGTCAGACACAATATATTCTCCGGCTACAAATCAAAAACCGTTAAAAAATGTAAAGATAAAATCACACATGCCAGTGGTGCATAGCTTTCCTGTATTACCCACCCCCAGCTCCTTGTATATCTTTTTAACACACACACACACACACACACACACACACACACACACCACATTATTGAATAATAAAAATAATTTTCTTACCTTGATGTCAAGATGTAATATATTTTTAGAGTGGATGAACTGCACGCCTTCGCATATTTGTCGCATGAACACAGTCACTGACTTTTCGGTCAAGACGAAATCGTCGTCTATAACTCTCTCGAACAGCTCACCACCCTCGACACTATGTAAATAACAGTTTGTTGATATAATATAACCGAAAATAAATTACAACAATAACTAAATAATGGTGTAGAATGTAGACACAATCAACCCGAATGGTGCCTAGTTTGTTTATCAATTATAACATAAGGTTTGACGACCACATTTGGTACTAGATACACTTAAATAATAGGTGTAATCAGTAAGCGTAGGTACACGTAATACAGCACTATTAAGTAATAATTAATAATTACAGTTCTAGTATGAAGCACATGGCATTGTTTGCTTCGAAGGCGTCGTAGAGCTGTATCAGACGAGGATGTTGGAGCTCACACATGATTTCCACTTCTCGTTCCACGTTGCGCCTGTCTTGTTTGTGCACGATTCCGACAAACTTAGCAGCTAACATGAGCCCCGTAGCCTTTTCTCGGCATTTGAATACCGTACCGAATTTCCCACTAAAAAAAAAAAATCATAAATTATACCAATTACCATCGGCATGTAATCGCTGGCGATTTCAATTGATTTAAGAACAAACAGTCGTGATCTAATTAATCAACGTTTATTAAATAATTTATGGATAATTTGTTCATTAAAATTTAAGAATGTAACATATTGTATTATTTATTATACAAGGTTTTATTAAACAAAAAAAATTAATGAAAAAAATTTACGAAAACTTTTTGAAAAAAATCGCCCCCTCCACGATTAATTTTTTATACGTTACTGCGCTAAATAGATCAAAATGTTTCAACAGTAATTTAAAAGTAAAACTGAAGTCAACTCTCTCATTTTTTTTCCGTTAGGTTTTCATTATATTTTTCTATCCAACTATCAATTAAATATTTAATGTATAAGCATCTCCTAGACACTTACAATAGGTTGGTTGTAGTTAAGAGGACCATATACACCCAATTTTCTAGCGTTAAAACATATATATATATAAGTGCTGCTAAAAAATTGTCACCTTTATGTATTGTACTTAAAGTATAAAAAACAAGTTTTTGTTGTAGATAAATGTATGGTACTATTGCTACTAAATTGTAAGTTTTATTTTAGAAAACCCTTTGGGGTAAAATGTATAACTTTATTTATTTTATAATTGTTATTATTTTATAATTAATATACTTTAGACTGACTATTTTACTGACTTATTTTATAATTAATATACTGACTTGATACATTTATTGTTATTTCATTCCATTGTTGTTGTTGTATTAGAATGACCATGAATCATTGATATTAAAAAGTAAGATCACTATTAGGAAAAAATCTTTTCACTGATTTAAATTTTAACTCGTTTTGTGACCCACGGGTCAACTGTAGTTGCGTTATACCATATTAGTGGTACCCGCCTAGTACCACACCATCGGAGGAGACCACATTGCACAGCTCATTTGTGAAAACTACACAACAATTAGAGTCATTGAAATGCCAAAAGATATTCAGTACAGAATATAAAACTAAGCGGTAAAATACAATTATGAGCAGATGAAATCATGGAGTCCGACGGGACAACGTCATCATGGCATGGTATTGTCTTGGGCGACCCTAACCGAAGCAGAGGAGGGTAGCCACACCACCACCACAGACGAAGAAGAGGAAAGAAACAGAATGGGAAGATGATGATGATGACGAAGACTATGATGAGGGCGATACGTCTGGCGATGAAAGTGGTAAGAAAATAAAAATAATAATAATAAACATCATACTGAGCGAATAACTTTGGTTACAGAAACCGGCACCGACGTCACTTCTGCTGATGATGATGACTACGGCAAAAGACGGGTGGACGACACGGACCACGCCGGGCAAAAACAAAACAAGTTGTTAACAAACGGATAAATATAAATTCTTAGTATATTGTGAAATTGATTATTTGTAATATTACCACCAGCACCTTTTTAATAAACCTAAAATTTAAAAACACATTTTTTTATTTTTTTTAAATAACTAAAACTTATTTTTACGTTATTATTTTAAAAATCTTATATGATAATATTACCATTAAAATATTGTTATCTTTTGATTTTATAAAAGGTCGGTGCTTTTGTTCTAAAATCACTATGGACTGAGTAAAACACATTTTGCGTGGCAATGTTTAAATGAAACATTTTTTTTAAAATCGCTGTCAAGGATGCTGCGATAGTAGGAAAAATAAATTAACAAAAAACGAGTCTAAATTACTAAACTAATATCACAGTTTAATCTTTAAATTGAGAATGCAAAAAAATTTCCTTTACCTAAATCCTTAATAATTAGGAGGTATAACGTCCTCTTTAAGAATACAATAATCTGGATTTTTATCAAAAACGTTATTCTAGTTATTTGAAAATCTTATAAATGCTCAATATAATTATAATTTGTAAATATGTATTAATATAAAAAGATACTCGTTGAAAATGTTTAAATAACAGAAAACTGAAAGAATTAATAAGAGATAATTTGAAATAAGAGTATTTTGTTTTCTTATTTTCATTTGTATTATTCACTAAGAATTAATTGCCTGTTATAATACACATATAAACTAACACATATAACTGCTAATTAATTGAATACGTTTATGATTTACTATAAAATATACTTAGTAAATAACAAGAAATTTACTTATATACATCACAAAAGATCGAGCACGAAATAATTGCATTAGGTACATCTTTATTCAAAATAGATTTATTGCTTAAAATAATTCTTCCGACTTCCTGGCAACATGCCATACTTTTGCCTGAATTGTTTAACTATCTGGTGCTTCTTAACACGAGTTCATCTTAAGGCTTAATATAAAAATACAGGGTGATTCATTAAGAATAAGCACTTAATATCGCTGTTAGATATACATAATATAATTTTTTCGCGATCGACGAGTTCGTAACAAATATCCCATTAGCTAATATTATATTATAATAGAAGTTTGCCGTTTTTCTATTTTTAGCTACACTGCAGGGTAATTAATATAATAAAAGACGTCCATTTTTTCTTAAATTAATTGCAATTATGTAGTGTTTCTTTTTAAAAACATTTTTAGTTTATGTTATTTTACAACATTATAAAACTACTAAATTTTTATCTTTTTTAGTATTTTCTAGAGCTTTAGAAGATATCTTAAAATAGTAAAAATGTTTATTACTCAGGGAATGGGAAAAGAAATGAATGTTGTATAAAAAGTAGAACGATATTCCGTATTTGACTCATGATCGAGAAACAGTGTTGGTGTATATTAAAATATTTCAAATGTTGGCACTACTGCAAAAAAATATGTTTCTTCGTTTGCTGAATAATGCTGATATCATTGTTTTTACTTTTGTGCGGTTCTTATGCGCTATCAATTATACCATTGGTACCCTTCTCGAAGCTCGAGTCAATTTGTCTTCGAAAATCAAATAATCCAACTTTAAACTTTAACTTTCAGTCTTCTTTTAATCTGTGTCTTTCTACATATTTGATGTAAGTATTTTTACAATATTTCTATTTTGTACATAATATGTAATTTTATATTTTTTTATATTATAAGCAATAGAAGTTTAACATTACCCAAGTTCTGAATAGTGACTCATCAAAAATTATGTTTTTTAAAACTACAATTAATTAATTTTATTAAATAACTCACAGTATTAAATGAATAGGTTTTTTTATAATTTATTTTTTACATATATTAAGTTACACCTGAATGATAACTTTATAATATAATTATATATATATATATTAGGTCTCACCCCCCAAATTTGTGTCTATACATTATAAAATGACCTACAAAAAATGTTGAAACAACCATGTAATGTTAACCCGTGCCTATGTTGAATTTAAATAAAATTAGTTCAATTTTTCAATGAACAGCGCTTTAGTCTGTAAATATTTCGTAAACTATTAGTTAAATAAAAAAAAATATTAATTACCAATTTTAAAGAAAATTTGATTTTCTAAAAATTACAATTTAATATATCTTCATATATAGGATTTAAAAAATATATATATATATTGGCTGCAATGCAGAAAAATGATATTTTCTCAAAAATTAACTAGTAGAATGGATAAATATGTATTTAAATTAAATATAATATTATTATTTTACCTGTAATAAATTAAAAAGTAATAAACAAAAAAATTATTATTGAATATAGTATTGTTTTGATTATAGTAGCCATCATGCCAGGACATGATAGCTATTGTGGACAACACCTAAAGAAAATTTTCTATTTAAGTAATAGAATCATAAAGATAATGTGTCTAGTGTTTACTATCTTAATGGTTTGTTCTATTGTATATATCTCATTTCTTAGCTGATGCATACAGCTTATATAGTTTTTTTAATTTTATTTGAGCTGTAAATTTGAATATTTGTGAAAGAGCATCTTTGGTTATTCATGAATGTGTAATTTTTAGGAAAAAGGCTTGGATACCAATAAGAGCTATACAACATTGCACTACTAAATTAATAAAATTGTACAAAGAATGAAGAGGCCTTCAAAAAAATTCTTAAAAAAATAGGGATTGTAGAAAAAAAAAATATCCTTTTTAATATTGTTCATTTTGATGCATTAAAATTAATAAAAATTGAGGTTCCTCAACTTCAGCACAAGTTTATGTAGTTATGGTAACAGAGCTCAGAAAGTGGTTAGATATCGAAATCAGAAAAAGGTACTGAATGTTTTTCACAACAAAATATAGAAATCTCGGTCCCAAAGAAATTATGTAGCACTTTACATAGGTGTCAAATAAGTATTCGGAACTTTATGTATATGTTACAAGGACTTTAGAAGATATAAAATTAAACGTTGATGATTGTCTTATTAATCAAACTTTCTCTACAGAGCTCGAAAAAAAAATCCTTTGTTGAAATAATAAAATTACATTTTCATGAATCAAAGTTAATTGCACATTGGGATGGGAAATTATTGCCAAATGTTAATGATAAAAATTTAACCGTAGAATGACTACAGATTGATTGTAACTAGCAAAAATGTAGTACATTTTTAAATAAACTAATAGTTAACTAAATATTTACGAAAATGTTAGACTAAACCGCTATTTACTAAAAAATTGACCTGAACTAATCTATTTTCAATTGTTAATAATTGTTATCGTTAAGAGTTAACATTGTTCTTGTCAAAAGTCGATAGTCAAGATTGACTGAACATTTTTTGTAGGTCATTTTATTAAGTATTGACACATATCTGAGGGATGAACAAAAAATGTTGAGTATAAAAAGTACCTTTGCTCTATATTAGATTGGTTGAATCAGAAAACTATTCTAAATAACAAAAAATAACTAGCTTTTAATTGACATAATAATTGACTCAAAAAAGAGTTAAAAGGGTTTCTGTATAAAACAATGTCTTAGACTTAATATCAAAAATCATTCACAAAAATTGAAAAATACAAGATTCCATTTCATTTGTAGGTGAAGCAAACGGCTTCAAAGTAAGCTCTACGTAATTATATACCAAAAATGAATCAAATGACATTTGTCTGATTAGTAAAATCCTCCTGGGTTTATTATGTAATTAAATTATATTTTCTAACATTTAATAAAGGAAAATTTGATTAAATAAATTCAATTATAAATGATTTAAGCTTAAAAAAATGGTTGCCTTAAGTACATAACTAATAATTGAATAATGTATTCAAAAATTGAGTACAATGGTAATGTTTAAATTGTTTTTAAAAAATTGGCATTAAAAGCTTTTAATATTTAAAAATAGATACAACTCAGCCAACATACTCGTGATGGTCATTATCAAATAGTTTAAATATCTAAACTACTTTTTGTGCCAGTAAATAATCATTTATTTTGTGCACTTTCTAAAGAAAATCATAGGTACTTTATTTTATTAACTATTTGCTGTACTAAAGATAACTTTAGTTAATTTGGCTGAGATGTTTTTGTACCTTGTTATTCTGTTATTTTTGTATCTAATAAAATACCAATTAAGCTTTAAAATACTGAAAATTAATAAGAATATTGTTAGTATCACATTGTTTCACACGAAAGGCCTTTTTTCAAAATGGGTTATAGATTTTTAAAGTATTCAGAACATTATTAATTTAATTATTCTTACCGTCCAATTTCAGACTGTAGTTCATAATGTTCTTTCATGTCCACTCCTTTGCGAATTTTTATCTCTCTGTATGGAAAACTAGGTTCCACTTCTATAAAACATTTTAAAATGTTTTTAGTAAAATAATTATCATATTTCATTTTTTGTATTGAAAATTATTTTTAAAAAAATGTATAATATATTGTGTTACAGAAGAAACATGGCACAACAGGAAATTGAAATGTCTGAACTAGAAGAATTGCAATCCAAAAAACTCTGGCATCAACTCACTTTAAAATTGTTGGTGTATGTAAAGGATCCCAATGTTCAAAAAAAAGTAAATTTGCTAAATTTCTATACCAAATTTGTTCAACCAATTGAAAGTAAAATGAATTATTTTGCATTGGTGGAAATTATCTCGTATATAATTCCTTTTTACAAAGACCCAAAGGAAGCAGTCACTTTTTTGGAAGGCATCGAGACAAAAGTCAAAGACAAAATTGAAGCGTTAGTTTTTGCAAAAGTCCTTAGAGGTGAAATTTTGTTAGACAAGTTGAAGAATCAGCCAGAAACTTTAGTTGTTATAACCGAGGTTGACAAGCTGTTGAGTGATTTGGATGAAATATCTCCGGTACATAGTAGATACTATTTGTTGGCTAGCCAATTGTATCGTCTCCAAGGAAAGCACACTGAATACTATCGCACCTGTTTGAAGTATTTGGGTTCAATAGACTTGTCAACCATTAACCAACAAGACCAATTGAAAAATGCTTTCTTATTAGGACTGGCTGCATTACTCAGTGATGATATTTATAACCTTGGTGAATTATTAATGCATCCTATTTTGGAGTCTCTAACGAATACGTCCAATTTCTGGCTGGTAGAACTATTGCACGCGTTTAACAACGGTGACATAACAAAATTTGCCAAAATGAAGCCACAATGGGCATCCATACCTGACATCGCAGTCCAGGAACATAAACTAAGACAGAAAATATCTCTACTGTGTCTGATGGAAATGACGTTTAAACGACAAGCTAAGAACAGGTGTTTGTCCTTCCAAGAAATCGCGCAAGAAACTCAATTATCATTGGACCAAATTGAAATGTTGGTAATGAAAGCGCTTTCGTTGGGCCTAGTCAAGGGGAAAATAGATCAAGTCAGTGAAACAGTAAATTTGGAATGGGTGCAACCTAGGGTGATGAACAAAACACCAATATCAGGCATGATAAACAGACTGGACTCGTGGTGTACAGAAGTGAAAAATATGCAGTATAGAATGCAAGATGAAGCTCAGGAATTTTTGAAATTTTAATTTGTTTATTTTTTGTACGTTTAAAGTATTTATTTAGGATTATCCCTAATATTTTCATACTAATTGAAGCAAACCTACTGTCAACGTTTATATATAAATATATGTTTGTAATTCAGAAGCTATATGTTGTAAAAAAAAATGTAAAATTTATAATACATTGTGTCTGCACAAACTAACACGGTAATATCTTTTTATTAATTAACAATGTTAATTAATAGCTAGTAGCCACGTGAATGACATTTTTTGAGTTTAACACTTTCGCTTGGGCAACATTTTTGGCGTCAATTCAATACACGTATTAAATGTAATTGGACTGTGCGTGCTCAAAAGTCAGAAGAGCCAATTATTTACCTACAATTTGTGATCTACCAAGCGGTTTGAGAAATACGATTGCGTGTTATTGCCGTTATTTCCTAACCGGTGGTCAGGAGTATCGGAAAAAACGTCACCGGTTGGCCAAAGCCCAAACGAAATAGGTGTTGTAAATTCCGCCATGACCACGTTTTTTAATCGCCGTCCATTTAGGGGCCTCCATATTGTGATGCACATATTTTATAAATAGGTGGACAACATTTTTTATTATTTTATTTTTTACGTCCGTCGAGCGACTCGTCGACCGGCGTACAACGAAAAATAAAACGCGCGAATGATGCCAACAACAAAAAAAAACATTAGAATATAATAATTACGAAAAAAAATATATATAAAGATTATCAAATATAAACTCTTACAGAGAACGTGGCAGCTCTTCGAGGTTAGTCTAAATTTAGCGACATTTGGCTACCACTACCACCATGTCTCACCCACAGTCGAGTCGGCAGCGCAAATATTTTACCGACCGCACGAGCCCGAACGCGAGCAGATTCTCTGTTGTGTTTTCCACGTCCGGCGTTCGCAAAACACCGATTGTTTTTGATAGCTAGTATCTATTTTTGGTTTGTTTTTCGTCAAACGCCCACACACAAAACGACATGCTCACGAGAAGAAAAACGATCGCTTGTACACGCGATAACAAATAACTACAAAGACATTGTTATATTGTTTACCTCCAACTAGATCAGATTCGTCGACTTTAATCATTGTGGTGTATTCCGGCCGCCGCTGTAACACACAACAGACGCGAACGGTGTGGGTACAGTAGTACTGTGGTCACTGGAAAATTATTACACACAAACAATATTGTTATTAAGATTAAATTGATGGTACCTACGTTAAAACACAAAAGGGATCGCGTTAAGGGTAATTCATATTTTTATGAAAATTCAAATCTCGGCTTAACAATATAATATTATGTAAAAAAGTTTTTTTTTAATTTTTATCTCAGTTACCGTTAACGGTTATTTTATGTTTTAAAATTGCGTTACATAAATTATTATTAAAAATATTATAATAACAGACGCGCTTTCGGTTTGCGCGCCTATACGGGAAATCTTCATAAAAATAGCTTTAGCGACTATCGCCATGTCGTTTTTTTTAGCTTGGCTGTGTGATTTTTTTCACAGTTGCTTACAGTATGTCAAGAATAAGGTGACACTCCTTCGGTCCGACTTAATAATAATCTTTCCACCTATTTTTGCTAGCTTTAATTTAATATACTAAACCGTGAACAATTGTGGAGGGTTCTCGCGGTTTTTCAAGATATTGTGATTTTCGAGGCAACGATTTGTTAGTAAATAGTAAGCGAGTTTATTTTAGAAAGAGTTACGTTATTTTAAACGTCGTCCAAACGGTAGCAATTCTATCTTTATCTAGTTTACTCGACGCGGGTGTATGGCCTGCACATAGTATACCTAGTAGGATTAGGTATATAGTAGTAGTTGGTAGGTATAGGCATAGACTAGTGTATGCACAAAACATGCTTGTAATACCTGAGCACGCAGACGTGTGTCTACTACTCACCTATTGTATATTTTTATAAATATATTAATATATCTAATATGTAATATCAATATGATATATGGTTATAGGTTCAATGAGAGTTTTGTAGTGTACCGCCGAAGAAATTTGCAAAACAAAAAACCGCGTATACACCGCACGGACGATAATAACTTTGAAAAAAAAAAACGTCTGCGCACAAATTCAGACTCGAATGAATAACTGTTGAAAAATATTATAATAACCGTTGTTGTCGCAAAATGCCTGATGTTGCGCGGTCCGGCACGACGTTTAATTAATATTATTGTTTGTGCGGTACCACGGTACAACGGCGGCGGCAAAGATCTTAATGGCACGGACTCGGCACGCCGGCGGCAGCGGTCAAGCACGTCGAGCGCGAACCGATATAAAATGAGACAGCCGTGGCACCGCGAGTGAGCGTGGCGTGCGCTTGTAATGTACACAATATCTGATTATGACAGAACTAACGATACGCGGCCACAACGTTACATCCTCAACGGCCGAAAAAGTCCACCGCCTCCGTACCTATCGTTGTGACATACAACCGCAGGGCAGTATGCCCGTGTACATTTTTTTCGGAAGGGATCCAAAATTATTTTACAATAACTCAAGTCGACGGTGAATTAAAAATTAATTATTCTATAGGCACTTTTATCAAGCCTGTTATTATGATGCTTGCATATTATTATAGACTTACAGGCGTGGATCTATTAGATTGCAAGTAGAAAAAGGACTATTCGATTAAGGTTATTGTAAAACAAATTGTTTCTGTTGTCACCAGTTTTATACAGTCCTGTCAAAAAATTTAATCAAATCTGACAATATTTGTTTAGCGTAAAAGGCTTAAAGCTTTACCTACATAAAAAACAATTTTAAAAGTGAGGGGCTTAAGTCTCAACTCCTTCCCTGGATTTGCGCTTGCATACGGACTTCGACTTCTGGCAATGAGTGTTGGTATTTCACTATTAAGCCTGTAACACTGTACAGTGTATTGGAAAGGCCCGTAGCTCCAATACATTTATGAGAAAGATTTTGAATATTTTGTCATAGAGAAATAATAATAATGATAAAAATCAATAGTCATGAGGTTAAACGCAAGAAATATCTGGGAGGACTTCAAAGTTCAACTACATAAATGATAAATCTTCCTTGAATAATGCCCGAACTTATTCCTCTCTTTCCACCAAATTTATACTTAAAAACCTAATAGTATAATGAAACTTAATTATACTTTAAAAATCCGCGTCAAGTGATATACACAGTCATTTAAAATAAAGGATAGCTGTTATTGAAATATGGGAACCTGATTGAAAAATGAGATACATAGTCTAATTTATTAAAAGGTATTTATTTTGAGTAGCATTTAATAAATAAATAACATTTTACAAAAAAAAAAAAAACAGTTTGTCAACATTATTTGTTGACAAAGGCACATCGTATTTCATTTAAGTTCCGATAAAATAAGTAATGCAATTTGAAATACTGAGAACTTCTCGATTAGAAGAGTTAAATAAAAGTGGTAGCCATAAGGCGTAATGGATTGGTATAGTGCAGGGTTTTAATTTTTTTTGGCGGGAGAATTTTAAGGTTATGTAAAATTGTATTCAAATAAATAAAAATAAGAGAAATACTGATAACGTAACACTTGTTGAAACTTGTAACGTTTTTTTATCATTTACATTTTACAGAAGCAAATTTTTTTAATTTTTACACTAAAAACTGATATACCTAATTGTATGAAAGAAATATTAATTAAGTGGTAATAAACCGCTTGTATCCTAACGACTTAGAGTCAACTCACAATAATTATCAACATGTATAACATCATAAGTAAGGACACTTTATTTTTACTTATAAATTAAAACTCAATTCAGATTTTTCATTCTTAAAAGCTTATTTGTTCAAAGAATTTAATTTTGATTTACATTTAAGTGTATATAATAATAATTTTTTTTATGCACTGATATTTTATGTATATATACAAGGTGAAAATTTTATCATAAACTACTCAATTGGGTTTTAATTAATAATGGAATTTTTTTTTTCTGTCTATTCATACGATATTATCTCAATTTTCTATACATTTTTATGTTCCAACCCCCCTCTCAAATTAATTATCCTCTCCCATCCTAACTTTTAAACTCTTTTAACTTAAAAAATAGTTGTTCAAAACTGGTTATCAACTAGTCAAAATATTCTTAATTTAAAAAGTTAATCAAATATAAACGTTACCATTTAAGTTTTAAAAATGAATATAAAAAAAAATAATTTTGGAAAGAAAAACAAAATGTTGAAAAATTGAGATTTCTTATTAAACCCTATGAGTTATTGAGCAATAAAATGATCACCCTGTATTCTATACTATTTTAGCTTTGTTACATTCTCTAGAAAATATACAATACAAAAATTGATTGATTCTATATTTATATGACATGTTAATGATTTATTATAATGTAACTCACACATTTGACATGAAGGCAATCTTCAGTTAACCCCTTGTTTACTAACTTAAAATCTATGGACACCATGGCAACATACAAATGGACATTAGGTAGTGATTACAAAACAAAAAAATGTGTTAGGCACCATAAATGTTAAGAAAAATATCCATTGAAATGGACATTAGGTGTCAGAAAGACAAAATACAATTTACTAAAATTTATTAGCTATTTTATAAATGCATTATTAAAATAATTCAGTATAATAGTTAGAAAAACAATAATTGTTATCCACCAAAGTATAATATGCTAAATTATATTATTTTTATGAGTATTAAATCAATAGTATCAGTTTGTGTTGTATGACTCGTAGAACATTAATTATATTTAACGGTGTGTGAGCTGTGAAGAAATAAATAAAACCATAGCAACACTAGCTTATTAATAGTGGTAACCTTTTACTAAGATATTTATCATTTTTCTATTAGTGTCTATACTCTAATGTCATGCATGCGTATTATGTATTACTGTGTTAATGAAATCATTTTGAACTTAAATATTTCTGTGTACTGTTATTAAAAAAAATTGTATTTACAGATTATTAAAAAATAAACATAATAAAATGACTACAAAAACTACTAGTAAAACTAACCGCCGTCCAAACCAGGCGCAGTTATATGAAGCTCTACACAAAAAACATGCTGCTGAATGTGAAGCCAGAGAACAGTGGGCTGGTATTACTCAGTATTTTAAAACTTGGGAAAATAATTCTAATAAGTTTACTACATGGACTTCTCCTGAATACTACAAAAAAAGGTTATATATTATTTTAAATTATATACAATAAAATTCTAAGAACAAATAATATCTACTATTTGTATTACTACTTCCCTATCTAGTTCAGAGTTACAATTAGAAATTCGAAAGAAACAACAGCAACAAATTGATGAAGAACGTAAGGAAACAGAAAAATGGCTTAAAAAAATTCAAGATAGACAAAGGGAAGATGAAGATTTTAAGGTAAATAATATTTGTATATGGCTAGTGACGGTATTCAACAATCGCATTTTAATAGTAACTTTATCGTTTATGTTTAAAGAAAGAACAAATGAAAAAGAAACCTGTACGTCTGTCAAGACCTACTTCTGCATCACACGGAATTCCAAATGAAGAAATGGCTAAGGAACTGCTGCGTAAGCAAGATGCTGTAACTAATAGAGAAAAAGAATTAAAACTCTATGCCCGATCAAAATCGTGCGATCCCAAACCTAAAGAGGTTAGAAGATATTGATTGTCTTAATTTATTACAGGTGGATTGTAGAATTCACACCTGTCTGCTTAGCTGTAATGCACTTTTCCTATGAGAGAACGGGATATCAGTATAAAAATCAGTGACTAATTTTATACACAACACTGCTTGTTTGTATATTTTAAAACCATTGCTATTTGTTATGTTGCAGTATGAGCGTCGACTTCATCAACGTTCTACAAAGTCATCTTGGGATGACCAAATGAAAACTAAACAGCTTGCAAAAGAAAAAGAATTGGAAGAATTATGTATGAAGAAGAAAGCGTTTGAAGAAGAACTAATCAAAGAGAGGATCGAAGAGGAACAAAAACAACAATACAGACTCGAAAAGATGGAACAAATAAAAACTGATCTTATAGAAAAAGTCGCTAAGTTGAGGTACCTATGCATCTTTTTATGTAAATGTAAAAGTACTTAACAAATCTTATGTTTAGAGCATGTTCAGATAGATGTGAAGAATTAAAAAAATTAGAATCCACTTATTTAAATTTCCAAACTCAATTGAGTAGTATGGAACAAGTAAAAAATAAGCAAGAACAACTTAGACTAAACAACATAATGAGGTGGGCATTAAATTCATTTCTAATGATTAGTCTAATTATTGCCATACCTTTTTTTTTACGGCTTATTTTAGATCAAGATCAGTTCGACAGTATCAAACGGTGCTAAAACAGAAGTCCAAAGAAATTTTGGAGTGTATGCAAGAGGATGACAAACTGTTGAATTGCCTTATTGACGTGATATCTTCTTCAAATATTGAAATACGTATTTGTGAAAAATTAAATGAATTAAAACAATTATTCAAACATTACGAAAACGAAGAATCACATAAATTGTATTTAATGGACTTTATGTTCGAGTGAGTAAATACATTTTTTATACATGATTTTTTTACCTTTCAAAAATTTGTTTTGAAAATTAAGAGAAGAAGCAAAAAACATGTGGCATACACAAGAAGAACGTTGGAAAAATGAACACACAACAAGGAAGAATGAATTGAACAATTTATTTAAAAACATATACATACAGGCAAATATATTTTAAAAAAGAAATACGCTGAGAAATATAATTTTAATTCCTGTTTTTTATTTGTCAGCTAGAGGAAAAAATTGAAACATGTTTGGACGAACAACGCGCTTTGATCAAAGAAAGAGAAGAGCTAATTGGTATCATTGAAGAAGGTAATAATGAATTGAAAATAATGGAAGCAGAGTCTGTAAAATTTCAAAAGTTATATCCAAACTATAATAATAATTCGGTTAGTATCATGAGATGAATAACATTATTTGATGATTAAATTAAATTTGAGTATTAATGCATTTATTTATTTACGTTTTTTTTCTCTATAGAATTCAACTGAAAATGAAGTAAAACTTAGGGAAACTGCATTAAAATGTTTGACTAAAGATCAAAAGTTATTGACAGAAATGTCACAATTATATTTAGCTGATAATATCAAATCTTCAGTGAGTGTTTATTTAAAGTTTATAGATTATCTTATTTAATTTTTTTATTAATATTAATTTTGTCATTCGTAGGATCACAGAAGAAAACGAGCTGTTTGGTAATATCATATTTTTATAGGTTTTCGTTTTTGTTTTTTAAGAATATAAATGTGTTTCTTTTTTGTACTATTTTTTAGTGGAATTAAATATTTTTTTTTAGTTTTAACATTTTTCAATTATTTTTTATTGATTGATTTATAGTTAACAGTGCACATGACAAACGTGTGACATTTTTTTAATTCCATATATTTTATTTTTGGTGCAAGAAGTATTTTTAACTTGAATTTGTTTTATAAAATAATTATTAGATAAAAATAAGAAAAAAAATATTTATATTTTGTTTATTTTTTTTAAATATTTTATGTGGTTGAATAGTTTTTGTTAGTGAATAGAATTGAATTTTTGTAATTTACTTAGCCATCATATTATGTATTTTGAGATTAATTTTTTTCTATTTTTACCAATTAAAAGACTTTCTTAATAATCAGTATTAATAAGAGAGATACATATTTTAGAAATTATTATTTTTGTTTTTTAACAGATATTGAAGAACTTTAAACATATTTTTAAATAGTATCATTTTTATTTTATTTACGTCTTGTAATAATTAAAAAATATATATTTACATTATACAATTGATATTTTAAAATTTATAGTCTTCTATTCTATATTAAGTAATAAGGCTTAAAAAATATAATAATTGTTATTTTGCCAATAGTTGAGCGTAATGAAGGATCTCAAAACCTACTTCGACCATAATCAATATTATGATCATCCATTCTAATCTAATGTGATGTCTGTCACTTAAATGATGCGACAACAACTCTACAAGTTCTAGGCAATGATTTAGTTTCATGTTCATGACCTGTAGGAACAATAAAAAAGAAATTAATTAATTCACTAGTATGATGTTGAAAATTACTTCAGTAAATGTTTAAAAAGACAATTACTAAAAACCTTTAAACGTGATGAAATACTAAAATAATTGCAAGTTGTACGGTAAAGAGTTTCTAGATGTTCTCGTTCCCAGTAAAAGTCTGGTAAATCAAGAAGATCAGAACTTAAATTAATTGAATGTCTTAATCCAAACAGTTCGCCGGTTTTCTTCATTACTTCTTTTCTTGAAATACTTAAACGTCGTCCTTTTTGTAAATCCTAGAATATTGAAGAAAAAAAAAAATGTGTATAAGATAATTGTGTGCATTTTAATTTTGATGTACGTATATTTACTTGCGTAACAAACTCGACTGAATCTATATACTGATCTAATAACGTTTCCCAAGTACCCAACTTGACACTGTGAGCCATGGCATTGGAGAATGTGTACCGATCTAAATCTGTAGCCATTTCATTGTCTTTGATTAAATGCAAATTACCTTTTTCGATTGAACTTTTCCTAAATAGCATATAAAATATGATTGTATTAAGAATAAGTAATTCTTCGACGATTGGTGGGGGATAATTACTTATCGTTTGTGTAGGTGTAATACATTATTTCACGTTCGTCTACAACTGTGCCAGTGTCATAAGGTAGGATTTGATATTTGGCCAAAAACTCGATTAAAATATTTACTTCCATGTCTGATATATTCCATCCTACTACAGATCCTTCACGGAAAAAGTATAAATGCCTAGGCTCGTTTGTAACATTATACTTGGACACGGCGTGAATGACATCGAGTGGTATAATATCTGAAATCTGGTGAATCGTCAATAAACCTGTTAATATTTTATTATTAATTAAACACATTAACTCACCAGCACTATCATCAGAGCCGCTATACAGATTTATAGGTTCATATAATTTTGTATTGGAAAGAGCTTCTTTCAGTTCTTCAATTTGGAACTCCTCGGCTGTCGTAAATGCCGTCACACTCCAGAACTAAAAAACAGATGTTATAATGTTATAGTAACAGGATCATTTCAATGACTGCATAAGCTTATTGAGTCTCCGAGACTAATGGTTTTCTCCCTCCCCCCCCCCTTATACTGTCAATGAAAGTTCTTTTATTTGTTAAGTGATAGTCATTAGTTTAATTATGGTATAATAGTACATGTAATATGATAATAGTATAAATAAAATAATATTTACGCCTTGGCGTTGCCCAGTGTCTTCAATAGTAGTAGTCTTTCTTCTTTGAATACGCTTTTTAATACTAGGACTTGAAAGAGGTTTTGTATTTTGAGAATAATTTGCAGGCAGAAGCACTCCAAATCTCACGAAGGATGATGGTTGTTGAAATAACGATGAACAAAATTTCCCTAAGCCGGGTCGCAAAGGCAAAGCAGACATTGTAGTGCAAGTAAAGCAAAACATTTTTGGAGTAATAAAATGTATTTAACAAACTTCCAAAAAAAATAAAAAATCAATGGGAATTTGATGGTTCTAAATTTAAGTTCTTAAATTTACAATTATTACAAATTATTGGGTAACTAAAATAATATATTTTAACCACTGTGTTTTGAAACCACTTGGATCATATGATTATTGATACCATGTGTCTACCAGTCCACGTGATAATCAGCTTTTTCAGCTCAATTTTTTTTTTTCCTATCGCAGATTTTAAAGATAACCTGATAAAAACACATTTCTTATCCATTATCACATATTATTATAATTTGTGTAAATAGTAAATACCACAAGTGACAAGTGTTAAAACTTAAAATTTGTGAAATAAAAAAACTTAATTAAAACGTTTTTTTTTAATTTAAGAATAATTGGACAATCATTTTTATCAGTTCTAAAATTTAAAGTAAACAAAAACATTATTTGATTTTCTTTTTATATTAATATTTCCAGTTTGTAGTTGAAGATTATTATTTTACTTTCTTAAACGGTTTGTTGTTTTACATATTTTGTTTACTATTAGTTTTACAAAATTCCCTATTAAATTTGAACGAATAATTTAACACAATACAGTGTTACATGAAAAAAGTATTAACTATAGAAAATAATATACACGTGACATTTCCCTATAATACTAAGGTGGAAGGTAGCTCAGAGTTACCTCGATAATTACTACCTATAATAATATCAATATGTTACTATCCATTAATCGGAACCTACCATTTAATAATAAGATGACATGAAAATATTTTGCAATATAATAGTAATCTTATTGTTTATTTAGTGGTTTTATAAACATGAGACGGCGTGCCGGAGTTGGTGCAGTTCATAAGCAAAAACTAGAACAAGAAAAATATAAAGATAAAGGGACAGTAATTCAAGAAAATCAACTAGAACAAATGACCAAGCAAATGGATGTATTCAGAGGTAATTTAGAAGAGTTTGCCACTAAATATAAAAATGAAATAAAGAAAAATCCACAATTCAGAAGGCAGTTTCAAGAAATGTGTGCTTCGATCGGAGTTGATCCATTAGCGTCTGGCAAAGGATTTTGGTCAGTGCTCGGTATTGGTGATTTCTATTATGAACTGGCTGTACAGATTGTTGAAGTTTGTATGGCTACCACATACAAAAATGGTGGTATAATTGTATTAGACGAGCTCAGGGAACGTTTGGTAAGTCGTTTTTGGACCTAATCGTTTTGTTCTATTTCATATGAAAAATATAAGACTTGTCTTCCGTTTAGATAAAAGCCCGGGGTCGTAACAAGCAACATCAAGAAATCTCGGTTGACGACTTGTTATGTGCAGCAAAAAAACTGAAAATTTTCGGCAATGGATTTAGTGTTATTCCCGTGGGCAAAGGACAATACATTGTTCAATCTGTGCCTGGAGAGTTAAGCATGGATCAGACAGCCGTTCTTAAGCAGTTGTCGACATCAGATCAACCCTTTGTATCTTTAACATCATTACAAGAACAACTTAAATGGGAAGAAAAACGAGCATCAAATGCAATCGATCAAATGATCGCTGAAGGCTTGTGTTGGGTCGATAAACAAAACAGTAAAGAAGTATTATATTGGTTTCCGAGCATGTTCACAGAGTGTATATCATCCTAAAAAAAAATAGGTATAAAATTACAAACCTAGATATATATATATCGTTGTTTATTAACAATATTTATATTGTCGTTATTTAACAAAACCAAATAAATTATATTGTGTTTTTACTTATTTACATATAAAACTCAGAAAATATTGTCAGCAAGAGATTAGAAACACTACTTTTTTAACAACAAAAGAAACTGTAATAAACAACTTATTTATTCATTTTAAATTTCAGAATCTTTACACTTAAGTATATACCTACAGTAGATAATTATCATTAAATATTAAACATGTACAATCAATTAAAAGACGGATGTGTATGTTTAACATAATAGAAAAAATTAAACTAACAATTTATTATGAATAAAATCAATCATTTTTAGTATTTTTATTATTGTACAATAATAATATTGTACACATAACTAACTGTAAGAATATTTACAATAATGAAAAAAGGTGCGATTATAAAAAAGTCAACCATCACAATTCACAGCCACAAACAGTTACATTAAATAGAAGTGGCAATTAATTTGTATTAATCTTTTCCTCACTTTCCGGACGGATTAGTCATATCTATGTAACTCACAAAACCTATATAGACGGTTTCTGTATCAATAAAATAATTGCTTTTAAAAAGAAAAAAAATGTAACAAATAAAGTGTCTCACTTCCTTTAGGACATTATATAGTGGGAGATGAGGAAGATTTATAAATAGATATATAATATACCTATATTGTATAAAATAATAATAATAGATTAGATAATGAGTAATGACGTATTGTAATTTATAATTGTATACATGCCAAATCGTTACAAATTAGTTTCACCATAATTGTAATTTTAAATGGTATATTTAGCAACACAGTAACATAAAAACATTACTTAAACATATAAACCTATTGTGAAGAAAACAAGACGAGACCTATTTTATTCAAACAAAAAGTCTAAAGTAATCGTAGTTGAGAAAAAGAAAACGAATATAAAATAAATCAGTCTTAAGTAAACCTCTCGTCATCCATTAATATATTAGGCAAAAATTATTATAAAAAACTTTTTTAAAACAAACACTTTGTCCGGGGTTAAATTTCAAAAAGATTTGTTCAATAAGTTCAACTAAATACAATAACAGTATTTCGTAACAGCCATAATTCTAATAGCAACTGATTTTAAAATTAAAATTAAATAATTAAGGAGTTTTCACGTGCTTAGTTTCAGTATACATAATACATGTTTGTTCAGAAATAATAACATACAAAATTACACGGATCATTGACAGTTGATTCCAGATCTCATATTAAACGTACAATAATAATAAAAACATTTTTTTTTTATTGTCTGCAAAAAAGCCGACACTCGTTCAACAGACCTTACTATTTAGTATTTAAAGAATATAAATTGTTAGATTATTGCACAACATACATAGACACAAATACCATATTAGGTCTGTTGACATTTTTTAGGCCAACACAAAAAGTATAAGCATTTTTAAAACTATTTATAAAATGAGGAAACAATTCGAGTTTGAATTTTGGAAATTCTGAGTTTGTTCATGTCCAATATCCATCATTATCATTACTCATCGTGTAACGGGGTTCATCGATTAAAAATAAAACTATTACAAAACAACTAAAAGAAAAAATTGTACAAAAAAATACTAAAAATAGATATACAATTTTATCTTAATCACTAAATAAAGCTATACGTCCATGTGTTTGGAAGGCTGTTGTACGATAAACGGCTCGCTCCACATCCGCCTTAAATCGCCCTAAATATGTGTACCGGTTTTAATGCTATACACAGTTGTGGAAAATAGAAAAATATTATTTGAACTGATGGTTACCTTTAAATAAGCCATGGTAAGTAAAGGCAACAACGTAAATGGAACTAAATAGAGTAACGCTGGTTGGGCAGCTTTAAACACCTCTGAAGACACGGTGGCGGTAACTAAGCCTAAGAAGTATCCAATTAGAGAACAATGGAAATAACTGAAAACAAAAATCAAATAAAAATACAGTCGTCTATTAATGTACTATTAAAAAATAAGACCATTGGTCTTACCTAATTTTACTAAGGTGTCTCGGAGGCGGAACACCAGTCTCGCCGAAATGCAAAAGCTGTGATTTTTTGTACGCATCATAACGCAAAACAAAACATAACAACAAACCTGGCATTACCTAAAATTATTTTTAAAATATTTATTAGTTTAAAATAAAGTGTACACAAATTAACAGACTATTACAATATAATAATAATCTATATGAAAATACGACGAGTCTTGTTTTTTGGTAAAAACATTAATTATTACATACATTCAAAATAACCTTTTTCGACATTTTTAGCTATTGAGTAGTTTTTGATAATAACTTTTCAATGTTTAAATCAAAATGGAATTATTAGGTGATTTTCACACGCTCTCTCCATTAATGATAATTTACTGCACCACTCTCTGAGCGGGTATCTTTAGTAATATTGGCTGCCTTATAAGTTAAGCGACCATTTACACAAGAGCTACATAGAAGTTTGGAAAGGAAGGGTCATGTGAAATAAGCTTTAGTGTGATCATTAAAAATAGTTATGGTTAAACAGACTTTTGACCCACGTTCTATAATTTTGGACTAGTAACATTGATTTCATGCAAGATCATCACTATAAAAAATAATAATAAAATATACTGTATTTTACAGTATGACTGTTGAGCACTCGCTGTCGACGTCACTGTAATTTAAAAATTAATATTGTACATAAGTAAACATTACTCACTATATCGCCAAGTCCTAGCATTGAAAAACGGCCATTGTGAAGACTAGGAAATACTAACTTTCCAGGAAGTGATAGCCTTGGAGCTTCTCTGGCAACACCGCCAATGTGAAGCTTACGAGCTACGACCCCTACTGGATTTTCAGCCGACCTAGTTGCGACCTTAATGAAAAAAAAAGTAATAGCTGGTAAACATCACAATTATCAGCTTAACAGGCCTTTAAGGCCCAACGATGCTCATGAGATAATGGTTTCTAGCCGGATTTGCTGTCCGAGAAGGGTTGTTTTTCTATCTTCGGAGAGGGGGATGGTAGCTCCTTTTCACTGGACGATTGCTCGCCCGGCAAAATAAGCTCCTGTGACCGAGAGTCGAACCGGCGACAGTGAGCACTAACACACTGTCGCCTTACCCACTCGGCCACTCCTCCTCCTCCTCCTCAATACAGGGATATATACATTTTTAATTTCAATTTGTACTTCTCTACACTTACCTTAACCATTACATTAGTGTTGAAAATGTACGATGAGAAAAATACCCAAAACACATCATAGATTAACAAACCAGTTAATAACAAAGTGGAAACTTTTAGACTGGGCAGACGAACAAAAGCAATGAAAGCTACACAGAGCCCCATTCCCATAGCTAAAACAAAAAAGGAATAATAGAAACAATGCTTTTATTAAATAACGTATTATTTTAAAAAGGAAAAAAAATTCATTTTTTTTTTTTGTACTTACCGTCCATTAACAGCCAATGTCCTGTTAATACCCAAATACAAACTATAAACAATGCCATGGAAAAAGATAATAATTCTGCAGTGGTAAATCGACCACAAATACCGAATGAGATCCTAAAAAAGAAAAAAGAACATTTACATTAAACCCAATACAAATAAGCAAAAAGTTGTAATTATTACTTATTTCCATCAGAACATGGATTGATAATATATTGACACATAGGAAGTAGGAGGAACGCTAAAGCCACTGTAGCAATAACTAAAAAAAAAAAAAGTTATATTTTAGTAATATAAAATGGTATATAGTTGAAAATTAATTTTTTTTTCAAGTAATACATTATCTATTTGCAACACATTTAACCGAGGGGTCTCCAACGATATTTGAATGAATTATGTTAATGTTGAAACAAAGTATGCACTTTATTTCTCCAATATATTTATAATAAAGAAATCAATATCAATATATTTATATAAATCAAGATATATTATTTTTAATTTACAGTTTTTAATTAACAATTAATATTAATAACTCCAATATTGATGTAAAAAATGGCCAAAACATGGGACAATATTGTAATAGTATGTTCATTCAAGACCCCTAATAAAAATTTGATAAACTTAACTTTTACTTACTAGCAGTGCATATAGCAAACAACATTTGCATGGAGTCAAAAAAGAAAAACATAACTAACAATGATACAGAAGCTCCTATTGGCAAACATAACGCCTGCATTGTGTCCAGTGTTTGAACTTCTGTAAGTAAAACTGTTTTTAATATACAATTAATGTGAAAATCATGTTTCTTCACTTTCAATAATTTAATATTTTAAAAAATTTTGCAGTTTAAAATAAACTAGGATAATAATATAAAATTTGTTTTAATTTAAAAATTACTTGTTTGTTTTCAGTAAATCGAACTGGGCGATGTTAATTTTTCTAACTAAATCAACCACAATGTATAAAAAAGAATATAGATAAAATAAAGAATAAAGAAAAAATAAAAATAAAAAAGATATTCAATACTTAATTTATTGTTTTACATGTATAGAACAAGAATACGAGTTATTTAATTTTTAAGAACACTGTTATTTTTCAATAAAATAAAGAAATGATTGGGAAAAACATGTTAACCTTGTTTACGCTTACTAATATCAGTTAAGCACACTGCACTTCCGGTAGACCCTTTGGATTTTTCTTTCTCTCTCTCTCTTGCTTCTTGTTCCATATTTAATGACCTATAGTATATATAAAAAAAAAATATATTAATACATAACATTTTTTAAATAGTTTGTAAATAGCATAATACACTATTTAATTGTTTAAAGCTTTAACCTGAAACTGCCGTAAACAATCAGTAAAATGGAAATCAAAAACGTAGATACTCGAGATGAGTCCATTATATTATATGCCCTAGAAACAAATTTAAAAAATACAAACACGATTAATTAAAATATGTTAATTATAAATGAATTTTCTATATTACCATTGGTAATCAACTTGAGTAGCCATTCTATTGTTTATATTAAATACTGTTGTTTATCGGGTTATCTGTAACAAAAACAAATAATAAAAAATTAGTAATTATCAAGAACAATATAGAATATATTATTTTTAAAAAATCTCTACCATGCGATCTATTTTTAATTAATTGCAAAAATAATACATCTTTAAAAAAAATAGTAAATACTTCCAAAAAGTACAAATATAAAATATCTGATAAAATTTAAAAATGGTTTGAAACCAAGAAATTTGAAAAAAAAGTTTTTTTAATGATGAACAAAAACAAAAAGTTTTATTGGTGGTATTATTATTTGATGAATAAAAAATCATAGAAAATAAAATCTATCATATAAGTAAAACGTTAGATTCTAAGGGATTATAATAATATTTAATTATTCAAGTACGTTGTGAAATGTTATTTTAGAATAAATAACATTAACATTCTAGAAAAAACAGAGCAAACTTGTGGTTGGTAATAACATAAACATTTTTTATTAACCTAAACATTAAAATTATTTTATGTAGAACATTAAAAAAATAACGTCTTCATTTTAACCACAATGCAAATAAGTATTTAATCTTTAAATGGAACAATATAAATATAAAAACTAAAATATAATAGATCTAGTGCGCTTAAACATAATAGGTTCAATTAAAGTAAAGTAGGTTAATCTGCCATGTAAACATATAATTCATAAAAATATAGATACTTACGATACCAATATTGAAAGTATTGGACAGAAAATGAGAAATCTAGCATTTTAAAGGCTAATACAGAAGTGAAATCAAATACAAATATGCCTGTTGCAAAACAATTGGTGTTAAAAACTAGTGTTTACATAACTGTTAATACATTACTTGGATAAAATAAAAACTTGTAACAGGTTTTACAATTTTATCTCAAGTTATAGAACCACACAAATGAGTTAAGACGTCTATGTATAATTCCTTGTTTATGTTTTAAAAACTATAATTATTTTACTCAACTACCAAAGAGTCAAATTAAATTCAAATAAATTAATTTGTATGTATACAATTAATTAATTTTAAAAAATATACACAATTAAATTAACGAGGAAAAAAAAATCAATAATTATTTATCATTTAATCTCATGGTTTATGTAAATTGCATTTTGCTAAATTTTTTTACTTACGTATAAATTATAATCATAATTATAATTGTAAACTTTATGTAGGAGGCCATTTCAAAATAGATGACAACAAAATAAAACAAGTTTGATACACTTTGGATCAAAATGTTTATAATAAAAAGAACTATAATATAAATTTTAATTTTAATTGGGTTGCAATTTAACAGTTGACAAATCATCTTGAAGATGATGATTGACAATTAGTTTAAAACAATAAATGGTTACATAATAAGTAATATACACCAATTACAATTTCTCTCTCTCTCATACATTTAATGGCCGTTATTCTCACTGATCGGAGCTTAGACGGTTTAGATTTGGCATTTTTGAGCTTATAGTTGGCTGCCGACCTAACGCTACCAAACAAGTTGGTCTCAGAGAGGTGCAGGTGGCCATTTTTCCCCCCAGATTTACAACCACTACAAACCAAATACAAATTATCAATTACTATAATTAACAAGTTATCATAGTTAATCAAATATTAATAAAAAATTTACTTAAAAAAAAAAAAGTATCCTGATTAGGTTGGGTAAGTCTATTATGTAATATATATATATACTTTTGTCATTTTTTTTTATAATTTTAACACTGTAACAGCTCATCATCACCGAGGGTATCAAATATCACCTCCTAGGTGCTAGTATATTTATATTACATACAATTTACAGGCAGGAAGTGTTAGATTGTATAGTTAATAATGCATTTGTGGGTTGAACGTGCAAGACCAACAAAGGTTGAATAGAATATAATAATTAAGGGCAATTCCGTGATATATAGAGCACGCGGATAGGCAATATCGCCAAGGGCACTACAGGGCACTTATTGGACTCAACTAGTTCGATGTTATCAACGTACTCGAGTAATTGCTTTGTTTTTTAGGGCATGCGGTTTTTACCGTTGTCGCGAGACGAGAGAAAAACACAGGAGAAAGCATTTTGGGTCATCCAAGACGACGAAACACTTACGGGCACTCGGCAAATAATTAATGACGATATTTGGGCCAATGCATCTGCAACGAGTACACGGTTGTAGTCTGTGGACTTTTTACAGCTGACATCCGTATCTGCTGCGGTGCATGATCACGGTCGGCGGTGGACGCGCACAAGGCGATTTTGTGACAAGCTTCGGCCAAGGGATGTGATTTTGTTATCACCGTAGTGAGCCCATAATGGCGACGGACAGCCGTTGGCGGGGCGCGCGACGGGTAGAAAAATTTGTAATGAAAATAATCCAGACGACGACGACGACGACGCTTGCTTGCCGTTTCGCTTGTCCGCCGACGACCGCTTTTCCGCAATATGATGTTGTGATAATGAGGACGACGACGGTTCACAATAAAGGCGACGGCTGCTGGCAGTGCGGCGGACCCGACTGACGGCGGCGAGCGGCCAAGTTCTTTTGTTATTGTTTTGCGGTTAAAATCGGAACGGGACACGGTGTGCGGTGTCCGCGGACGACTGTGCTGGAATAATAACGCATTCAGAGCGACGGCGGTGGGATGGGCGCAGGCGGGGCGGGCGAGAGAAGTGATCCCGCGATGGAGACAAGTGGAGGGAGCGCGGACTGTAGTGTAGGCGATAGCGCGGCGGTCACGGTTGCAGAGTTTTTTTTTTTTTCATAGCAGCAGACACTAGACAGTACTCACTACTCAGCGGCATAGGCGAGTATTAATACCAAGTGCTCAGTGCTCAGTGGTAGTGAACGGTGAAAAGTGATACTCGACCATAATAGAAATGTTCAGCGGTTATCAGCTGACGAATTGGGGGTGATGCAGGGACAGAATAACTGTTATTCTGTGATGCAGGGATGTCATCGGTTATCACTCGTTTTGACGTGTTCACTATTCGTCTAGGCCCGCAGATGGCGCTTTAGACATCTCAATTATTGTATTTTGTATGTAATTTATAAAACTCGATTGTAAAGTATCATTGATTTTACTCAATATAGCTTATCTGTCAGTATAATATAAAACAATGACACCGGCTTAGTTATATAATTTAGTATAATATATAACAACATAATATGCGCGGAGGTGCATAAGCCCCTCTCTCCTTCCATTGATTGTTTATTTACATAAGTTCTATTACCTTTTATTTTTCCCTTGCATGAATGGTCGTTATAGTAACCGAGCGCCGGAATAGTTCCATATTGGTTTTTTTTTTGCAACTGACCATTTTAAAAATATGTTTGGTATTGTTATTACTATAAAATATTATACGTTTAACAAAGCACAATGGCGGATCTAAAAATTAGAAATGACACTTGGGAAGGGCTAATTTGAGGAAGTCCAGTTAAATAAAAAAGTTATTTCTTAAAAGCCTACACCAGTGTCTATAAGCTATTGAATAGTCGGGACTTGAATTGAAATCTCTTGAGTGTTGCTAAATATTAAACTGTGAACGTTTCCTAGATTCATATAGAGTCATGCCATTGCAAATTGAAAAAAAAAATTGTATGATAATCTTATGATGGATGCCAATTTACGATTTCATCTTCGACTCGTTGTACAGGTATTTTTTATTTATAGATTTTAGCCGTGACATTGGCAACTTCGGTCAATGACCGTCGATTATTATTCATTAGATATCATATTTTGTTCAGCTATAAATAAATATATTGCAGCTATAGCATTTTCAAGGCATTATATAATATTAATAAAACAAATAAACTAAATACTCGACCACAAGCATAGAACATTTTACGAGGAGGGTCGTTGAAAATAAAAAAAAACATCAATCAATTATTATAATATGCGGTTTTTGTGACTTCTGAGATAGTATACCTATAACAATATTATTTTGTCTCACTGCTCAAATAAGTACTATGTGAAAACGTTTTAGGCTGTATTCTCATAAGAAAACGCCTACACCACTTGTATTAATTATTAGCCACGGCCACCAATCACCATACGCATAAGCATAAGTAAACGGATAATAATTAGTGTTAATAGTTTTACAGAGGTGTGTTTAATTGTTTGTATAAATAACTGGCTGCACTTAGTGTAATCGAACTTTAGCTCAAACATGACTAGCCGAGCCACAATTATTATTTTCACGACCAAGAGAAATCCATTCTATCAAGTAGGTATAGTATTGTATTGTGCTGCGTGTGTTGCCTTAGCTTACACGCAGTCGCTGTAGCTGTTATTAAATTTAAAAATTATACAATTTTCAAGAAAATATGCAAATTATAATTTGTAGAAAGTAAAATCTCATTTTCAAACCTTAAAATTGGAAATCTTTGTCTGGAAATAAAAATAATGATGATGTTTCCACGCAGTTGTTGTCAATATTTAAAAGTAGATCAATCAGATTTCCAAACTGTTTGTGCGAAATGGGCTTAGTTGATTTAAAATTCACCAGAGCCCATCGACGACATCACACACAACATTATTGTTATTTCGGACTCAGGACTGTGTATTTTTAAATAAATGCAAAATTTTGATACCAACATACATAGTTTCTAATGCGAATCAAGTTTTAATTGTTTAATGAGAAATACCCAAACACGAGCCTCCTAATAAAACCACGACATTGAGAAGCAGTACAACCATCTCTTCAGTCCAGAGTCCTCCTCGCGTCTACTCTACATTATGTAAAACAATTTAATTTTTTTTTATTACCTAATAAAAATGTCTGAGCTACCCAATTTATATTCTTAGACAACGGTCGCATAATATGCATAATATGTGTACAGGGTGATCAAGTTAACGTGAGACACAATTGCAACTTTGTAGTTTTTATTTTTGAAAACATTTTTATTTATGTTATTTTAAAATATTAAAAAAATACTAATATTTGCTAGAGCTCTATCGACTTTTGAAACCTAAGCGGTATGTACATTTGAAATTTAAAACTCTAATAAACTGAAAAGTAATCATCCAAAACTGCGGTTATTGACCTGTGAAAATATTCAGCAAATTATTCTGAATTTAAAAATTGAATTAAAGATTTACTTTACCGTTTTTAAAGTTGATAGAACTCCAGAAAAATACCAAAAGATAAACATTTGAATATTATCTAATTTTCAATCCAAGGTCATTGTTGCGATTCACATAATATAACAGGCCAAAAACTCAAATACACACAGTAGGCTTATCTGTTTTTAAATAATATTATAGCAGACATCTGAGTATCAATTGTATGGACAATGACACCAGAGTATACTGTCGGATACCTATCTATAATAATACAATTAATATTAGCGCAGGTACCATGTCGCAAGTAGCAAATGTTCTTTTATTATTCGGTAGGTTAAGTAGATATCTCCATGTAGTAGTTATAGCAGTTAGCACTAACAACAAACGACCTTGTCAACAAGGTTTTTATTTCGATGAAAAAAAATTATTTTTCATTTTGTTCAATACATTTTTCAAATTACACGCTTCATTATTCTCTTGTAATGTTCATTTATTAGTACCTATCATTGTTTGAAAATCCAGTGGTCTGCATTGATAAGTACATACATTAAAATATTATTTCAAATCATATTTTTAAAAGTAAATCATTCAAGAATGAAAACATTGAAAAACCGATTATTTTATATAGACATTTTTTCTCGAGGGATTTAATAGAATATTATTAATATTCTTGGGGTCGAGGTAACTGCCATAGAAATAAGTCAATCGCCGTTCACCGAAGACCTCCAATCTAATAATATAATCATAAATTCCTAAGTGTTGTCTTTTGGCACATGCCAAATCCCGCTAATGTATCAAATAATGTAAGTAAAGGTATTTGTTTTTTTTTTTTTTTTATTGTATCTGTTGGTCTTTGTTTTTGTCATTATTATTCCGTACGTTTGCGGCTTGGTTAGTGACAACAATAGATAACTGTTCAAATTTATAATTATTTCAAGTGTATGATAGTTGTAAACACATACTTTTGACTACAGTCTATATCATATAGTAAACGATTATATAAGGTCATTATTATAGTCGAAAGCTCATTAAACCTGGAAATTGAGCGAAAGTAATAATAGTTTCCTGAATTTTTGGGAATTGTCCAAGCCCTCCCCTTTTTTTTGTTTTTCTATTTGCGCCACATTCATGGAAAACTGCTTTGGCGAAAATCTATTATAAAAAAAATAAAATCAATATTTATCATAAATTATCTAGCATTTAATTATTTATAAGAAATGTTCTAAAAATTGTGCCGTTTTAAAAAATAGCATATTTTAAGGATAAATACCTACGTACAAATTTAATAACTTAGAATCAAGTCGAGTGCATGGACATTCCTGAACCCATCCACAGACTAGCAATAACGTAGAATTAAAGCAGATAGTTTCACATGTAATTTCAATATTTTTAAGCTCCTGCGATAGCTTTACAATCCTTTAATATAAGAGCATTGGAAAGCGCTATTTAAGGGGAAAAGGATAGGCAATATTTGACAAAAACTTACCTAGTAGCCATTTTTAATATGTCGACTAATTTTATGAAGACAAAATATAAAGTTTTTTCTAGTTATAACACTAAAAGTTATTTTTCTCCGAGTTATGGCGAAAGTGTGACAAAAAAATTACTTTCGTAGAAGTCATTTTCTGGCGTATCTATTGGACGGATAGCAATTTTTCTTTTTTTATGTGAGGCTTAATTATTTTTCTATCGGGTCTAAAGCCGATTTTTGATTTGTTAAATTTTTTAGAGAAAACTATAAAAATTTAAATGCTTATATCATTTTTTTGAAACCAAATAAAAAAACCAACTTTTTGGCCTCCATAGAAAAGATGTTAAACTTAACAAAAAAAATAATTTTGAAAACAGTCCGGTACTCTTCAGAAAGTGACTTAGTCTTTATTTGTTAAAAAAATTGACACTTTCCGTTCCTCTTAAAACATAGACGAAAACGGCTATTAACATAATTAAAAAAAAAATAAATGGAATATTCCTTTTAAACCAGATTATTTTCAATCCTGCAAATTTTGAAAGTAACTAAAACCGATATTTATTATGAAGGGAAAACGTAGGCAGTTTTTGCCTAAAATATACTAAGATTAATTATCTTGATGCTTACTTCCCAATTTTTTTATATCAAGGCTGGTCTTTAAAGAACCATTTTTGTTGTACAATTTTCATGTTCAGTTACTTACTTCGGTAAGTTCATTAGTCAATACATATGTTTTATTTTCGAATGACTAATAAAAAAATGTAAGGTTCTCTGAAATTGATCAATATATTTTTCTCAAGACAATTTCTGAAAATATGAATGAAACGCAGCAAACTATTGCACACAACAATCTAGTTGACAAAATCACATGTTCTTGTTTTCAACAGCCGAGGAAATGTTAAGTACATGATTTTCTGCACTAATGTGAAATAAATAAATCACTTTTAATAACAATTTTCTTGACAAACACTAGCGATAACTTAAATTTTCAGTAAATTATATTACTTGCATAACAAAAGACTGAAATATATATAAAAATGTAATGAAATGGCGCACATTATAGATGAAATATTATTAATTTTATTATTTAAGAGACAAATAAATAATATAAATCTTAAAACTGTATGTAAAAAAATTACTGACATGTCTATTAAATAATACAGGTAGGTCAGGAAGGGCAAATTAGCTCCCCTATTACACTCACTCGTTAATTTTAATTATATTATGCAATTTTTAAAATATATATACGATATAATATATTACAATTTATTACCGGCAAAGGAAACGCTCCGGAAACACTGTCAAATAATTTCATTCAATATTTTTCAATAATCACGTATACTGAGAAGTAGAAAAAAAATCTACACAATAAATAAGACTAAATAATCGATAAGTGGCTAAGGACTACGTTAAGTTTTTCTTTTTAAATTTTAACTGTTAACATTTGGTCCGTATTCAATGTGATGAATACACAATAAAAAATACACGAGTATTGTCAGTACATGAAGTTAAATAATTATTACAGTAAATAATAATAAATAAATTAATAAAAAAAAAAAACATATCACAAATAAAAAAAATGCTATCAATATATAGTTTTGCGAAACAAAGTTTTCGTAGCACTACAAACACTGTATTTTAATTTACTCGCAGAGTTCTATTAATATAATAACACCTTGTTTTTATAATATATAAATATAAGTTTATACAACGTTATATATATAAAAGTTGCAGTTTATATAAAACAAACTCCTTGGGAAACTTGATGAGAAGAAAGCATTATGACTTTTTTTCTTACAACAAAACTTTTTTATCGTATAGTAAATTAATATAATAATAAACCCTATAGTAATAATAATTCTATATTAAAACACATAACCTACGATTTTTTTTTTTTAGTCTAAGAAAACGGAATGACAAAAACATATTTTAGATGTAGCTCTTGTTTTCTTGTTGTTACAGACAATTAAAACCATTAACAATATTACAATTAATTATTGCTGAAGTAATTTCCAAGGGTTAAATTTTTAATAAGCATACTTGTATATATGTAAATTATTTGTATTAATACAAATACAGACACTCTTATACATATATATAAAAAAGGCAGGGGTTTAATTAAGGGCACGCTATGGGCTGTCGTTTATTCAATTCAAATGTTTGTTATAAAAGTAAAAACTAATTGACGTAAATATTTGAATTTTAAATGGACTTGTCCATTAAGTCAAAAATAAAAAAAGTTCCGACTATAAAGAAAGAAAAAAAGTATGATAGTACACTTTGATTCCAATTTTATTAAATGTACAAATGCATACATTTTGCATGTAAACTATTTGTGATGTTGGAAATAAAAATGTAATGAAAACTAAACAGCAATAAAATGTTTGATTATTATTGGTAATGTAACAAAGAAATATTGATGTATATAAATTAAAACAAAAAAAAATTCACTGGTCTAATAACAGGAACTCTCTTTTAAGGCATCGATAAACCTATATCAGTGTTGTAAATGAGATTTACTTTTAATCATGACTTATTTGTATTTAACATATATTTTATCAATATATAATAGAAAAAAAAGAATATTATCTAATGAATATATAACACAAACTATTAGGTATACTATTGTTTTTGCTCAACTATTTCTTTTTCTAAAAAAAGGAATAAATATAAATATAAATATAATAAAAGCCTTATAATTTAAATACAAAAATAAAACTTTTAACACATAATACTGAACAAAAAAAAAAATATAATAAAAATTTGAATTAAGGAGTGGTTTAAAAACAGAATTACTATGCCATTTTCCCCTGCCAGTAAAATAAAATAAAATCAAAGTGTACGAAAAAAAATTTGACAGTCTTGGAGTGAGTCATGATAACTTTTTAGAGCTGTTACTATTGAATGCATAAATTTTGTTTTCATACTTGATATTATTAATATTTTGTACAATGTTGACAATGTTTTTCGATGACAAATTAATTTTTTTAATTTAAATTTTAGTACAGTCGCCAATTGTATTTATGAGACGTCTTGGTCTTCAACGTCTTGAAGCTGTTCTTTTGGTTCAGCTTCTGTGCCTAAAATAATAATAAAAACAAGAGAAAATTTTGTTTTAAAGACAACAAATGTGACGTGTTGAGACATTCGTTAAAAATATTATTTCTCACCATCCCCTTGCATATCTGAAGTCCACAAAGTTAGGTTGTCCCTTAACAATTGCATGATAAGTGTGGAGTCTTTGTAGCTTTCTTCAGACAATGTGTCCAATTCAGCAATGGCTTCGTCAAATGCTTTTTTGGCTAAATGACACGCTCTATCTGGGGTGTTAAGTATCTCGTAGTAGAACACCGAGAAATTCAATGCCAAACCCAACCTAGAATAATTAAAATAATCAGTAATAAAATAAACAAAAAAAATAATAACATGTATGTTACCTTATTGGATGAGTGGGAGGTAGGTCTTGGTTGGCAATATCACTAGCAGCTTTGTAGGCAACCAGAGAATGTTCAGCAGCTTCTTTCCTGTCATCGCCAGTAGCGAATTCAGCCAGGTATCGGTGGTAATCACCTTTCCTAATTTGGGCGAAAAAATATAATATATATATAAATATAACAATAATTAAAATTCTCATTAACTTACATCTTATAATAAAAGACTTTGGATTCACCAGAAGCAGCACAAGCTATTAAGTGTTTGTCGAGGACATTTAAAATGTCTGAACAAATATCTCTTAACTCCTTTTCGACCTATAAACAACACAATTGTGAATATTTTTTAATTCAATAAATTTAAAACAGAATGGTAAAAACTCAATGATAATACTTATGATAATAATATGTTATAAATGTAGTACCTGTGATCTGTACTGACGGATCATTTCTAACTTTTCTTCAGCACCTTTATTTTCTTCTTTCTGTTCAATGCTTGAAATAATGCGCCAGCTAGCACGCCTAGCACCAATCACATTTTTGTAGGCCACAGATAACAGGTTCCGTTCTTCTACGGATAATTCTACGTCTAACGATGCTACTTTTTTCATGGACTCGACCATTTCTGAAAAAAAAAAAAAAAAAAAACCATTAATTTTAAGTTGTTAATAAAATATTTGACTCAGTAACTAGCCGTTTTATTCCCTGGACATGCAACTACTGACCAGAAAAATAAATATTTATCATAGTACAAATTAAGTTCAAAATACTTTCCATAAAGAATCATATTTTGTATGTAATTTTTTCGAGAATTACTAAATACAAAATTGGTCTTCCAAATCAGTTTTTTAACGGAAAATGTTCAATGTTTTATTTATTTTTAGTTCTTATATATTTTTTTATTTCTAAATCGACTGCTATTATGTGGACCTTAACCAAATATAATAATGTTGATAAAAAAAAAAATCCTAATTGGTTTGTAAATAAAATAATGTAAGTGTATCACACCACGAACAAAGAACTCATTGGACCAAATTTGTGGCTTATAAATATTAATACAATGTAGATTTTCGAGTGGGCATATCACACATTACTTTGCAGGTATATTATTTGTTTTGTGTAAGGCCAGAGGGGTGTGGGTTTTTTTATTACAGGTCCCATTTTGCGACAATACATCAAAAGCGGGAGCATTCTTTATTGGCGACAAGTTCTATTATAATAACTGTTGTTTAAACAACAATGGTTACCTCCGTACACTAGTTTAAACGTTTTAGTCGGTCGATATAGTGTATTCATTTAAATTGCGTTTTACATAAAATAAAATAGACATTATTGTTAAAAAAAAAATGTACCCAAGTTTTTAATATTGCGTTACACGATTGTGTAGATGTGAAATTCATTTGGATTACCTAAAACTCAATATTTTTGGATTAGGTCGGTTTATTAATATCTCCACGTTTATCTCATTTGCGGAGTTAATCGACTACATCAGAAGGGACACGACTTGACATAACATATTATTTTCTTTATCATAATGTATGCTATACTTTACACTAATTATTATTATTGTGTCTAATACACAAACACACGAGTGCGGCGCATGAATTCTAACCAATTGGAAATACCCGTGTAACGGCGGATTAATAATGAACGATTGATTTTTTTCCCCCCATCATTTTAAATTTGTAAATACCGGAAATCGGGCATGAAGAAAATGCACGGAAGCCATCGAGAATTCTTCTCCATAAATGTATATAATATTGTAATAAACGATTATTATTGTTGTTGTCGAAAAATTAAATTTAATATTAACGACCGTTCTATATTTATTTATTTATTGTTATTCGATGATGCTCCTTAAAAGCATTTTCGGGTGAAGGGAACAATATCGAAAACGTTTTCATATTAATAACACAGTAGGAACACTAAATATACACTATAGTGTACGTCCGCCCGTTTCTAATAATGGTATAGCGGCATCGTATTATGGGCAGTATACATTATTTCCGTTGTATGCTATTCTAATATATATATATATTATATCGATATCTTATTTTTCGTATCAGCAACAATGTCTGGGCTGAAGTTTTAACTTGCAGATCAATAGACCATTGGGACGTACATGAGGTGTACACTTTGTACGTGTACGTTGACACGAAGAGGGAGACCATCGCCATGGCAACACCAATGTTATATGCCGCCAGACTGGTGGGCGCACCGCCCCTCATCCACTTTAAATTAAATACATTTGGCTTAGTAATGAAAAAACAAAGCAAAAATTCCATTTTTTTTTTTTTAGACAAAAATAATGGACATCATAAGCGTGTTAAATCCAGCCAATCGGGAACCTCGTGTTGTTTACGCGGAACGAATAAAAAAAAAAGAATTTCTTGTGTATGCGCTTAGAGCTAAGTAGAACAACAAACTCGGAAGGGTGATATTCGTCTTTAAATTGTAATAAACTTTTTAAATAAAAAGAAAAAACAGATAATAAATAGTAAGGCAATTTTGTAAATCGTTTAGTCGGTTATTTTACGTCTTGGCTCTCTTCTAGGAAAAAATCAAAATTGCCTTTTCTTTAGCTTTAAATAAATTTAACAACTATCACTGGATATTATAGTTTCAAAAAAAAATTGAAATGCTACACAGTTCAGTTGAATTTTTTATTTGACTAAAAATAAAAATGCCTAGCTAAGACCCCACTCCCCATTCTAAAAATATTATTTCTTTTAAAACTTTGACCCAAATAAAAAAAAAACTATATAAATAATAAGAATTTTTGCAAAAGGAAAACAACGTTACTTTATAAAATTAAATAAACGTGGGCATGACCACCTCAATAGAGCATAATTTTAAGACAAAAAAATTGTAGCACACTACTCTTAAGTACTACACAATTATTAAAACTGAAGCAGGCATTACTTTATCATAAATATATATTATAGAATAATTACAATGTACATAGTAATATAATTTACACATAATCTGGTTAATTACCACCTACTATAAACCCACTTCTTTTAAATATATTTTTGTCCCTAATTAATAATTTAACTATTAATAAACGTCAAGATTGTTAAGTTTATAAGGTGCTAATTTGGCAACAGTTACTTTTGATAAGCGCAAGGGCTCAAGATATGACAGTGTGATGTACCTGACTAAGTGCATCTATTAGACATAAAAACTAAAATTATTTATTAAGTAACAGAAGTGTAATCTTGGTTTTTTTAAACAAAATAATACATACAAAAATCAAATACTTAACAGATTCTTTAGTGTTCACACTGTTCAGTCAAAAATAATAGAAATAAACTAAATAAAAATCAGACTTGTTTCATGTTTTAACATTTTTTTTTTTAATTTAAGCCCTACTAGTAACAATATTTTGAATTAATTCTAGTAATTTAAATTCAAAAAAGTACTTGTTGAAAAGCATTTAGTAAAAGTGCAGAAATTATTGGAAATCAAAGGGGGAAATGCGTGTGACAGAGTCGGGTGATTATAAGGATTTTAAATGGTATATTTTCATGTACACTAACCGTTTACTCGCAGTTTTTATTTGTAAACATTTTTGTTACTAATGCACTCAAAAATGCCCAAACTAGGTCTTTCTTAAAAGTAATTAATCAAAGAAGTATTTGGATGAGAATTTAGTGTTGCTAGACAGCAGGCTTGTAATAACACCACTTTATCCAGGTCTCAGGCCTGTATTGGCTACAATTAGAGGCCACAAGATAAAAAAAAAAAAAAAAATTCAATCAATATAGCGACATCCAGATTCGCCAAAAATCATATTTTACTGTTACACTATAAAAAGTAAGATTGTTAGAAAGAAGAAGTCAAGGGTATTTAGAAAATGTTAGGCATCTAAAATGTTATTTATACATTTCATTTTCAGAATGAAACAATCTCTACCCTAAATTTAAAGTGCAATTTAGATTATTCTTACAATCCTATTTAATTATACAGAAGTTTAAAGAATTACAATTTTGGAAATACATAGAAAATAATATTATACACGTGTTTTTTAAATTCACTTATTTCTGTTTAAAGAAAATGTTGAACCATTGTACAAAAGAAACCAACAATATATACAGTCATATTTTATATTATTTTTGTTATCAACATCCTTTTATTTCCCTTTACCAAAATCGATATATCAGGTACCATTTTAAAGATCAAGTCCCCCGCATCTGGAATAGATAGGTTTCATATTGTATGGTTTAATTCTGCTAAAAACTAGACCTTTGAACATACAGAGCTACTTAACAGGTTGAGCGTGGTGCTGAACCTGTTAAAATGATTAGTTACGTACAGGCACAATGGCTACGTCTGGAGTAATCTAGCTTAATGCAGTACGCTGAACGCTAACTGTCTACAGTTCAATCTCAATTATATTAACTTTTTCAATCTGTTATTACCAATTTTATCCAGACCATTCAATCAATTTTGTTCAAATAAAAACTAAAATGATCCCTAAAATCATATGAATATTTTTTCTATTATTCTGCTAAGTTTGTTTCTTATAGGACTAGAAGTATTGGCACAGGATAACTGGTGTATTTCATATATTTTATGGGTTCTACCAAAATTGTTTGATTCAATGACCACAACAAACAAAATAGGAGGAGACTTAAAAAAGAACTAATTGTAATAATGAAGAAAAATGGTGGAAAACTTAGAAAATAGATGCTAAAATGGTCAGATAGACAAAAAACACAAAATTAATACAATTAAGACGCCTTATTGTTTTAATAATACATTTTCTCTCAAGCTTTATTTTTAAACTAAGAACATTTTTTTCAAAGATTTTATAATTTGAAATTTGCAGTTTTAAAACGAATTAAAAAAAAACAAATTATATTTGAGTGAATGAATTTTAATATATATATATATATATATATTTTTTTTTAATTTTATATATGAACACGACTGAAAAGTAGTTCAATTTTAGGGAACTTAATCAATTTTTTATACCTACTATTTAACTATTTACTGTAATATTATGATACATTGACTAATGATTTTTAATTAAAAATAAATAACCAGAAGAAATAAGTGCTTAAATATTGAGAGGTATTACATAAAAACAATAAATTTCACATGACTGGAGGAATGAATGAATATGAATGACTCCTCCATCAGCAGCATCGAAAAATAAGATAAAATATACCATAGACAGTAATGCATAAGTGCTTTAAAGTACTATGAGAGATAATTTAAATAACTTAAGTACTTTCGTTGTATTGCACATAACAGTAATTTATTGAATACAGGTGGATAGTACCACATGTTAGGGTCTGCCAACTGCAGAATTCACACGTGATGTGCTTTATTGCAGAACAAATGTATAAATTGATAAAATATATTAACATTGAAAACAATTTTTCATCCATAAGTACAGGCTTGTACACATTGTATGTTTGGTGAAATTAATTAACCTCCGATACGAAGCTGAGAAGGTATTTAAATGATAGTGGTTTTTTTTTCAGTCTACTTACTATACATTTGTTTCTCCAAAACTGACTTATTTTATTTTAATAATTTATCAAGAAGATTATAAAAACTTAACGAAAATTAAACTAAGAATTAATAAAAAGCTAAATGTTTGGAGTGTCACAATAGCTATAATAATAAGTTAAATTATTTTAATAGCTACAATATCACATTAACCGTGTCGTAGGGGATGGTAACCACATGTGCCCCTATCCCCCCCCCATTTTTTTTTTACAATAATAAATCTGAGTGCACACAAATTGTTGATTGTAATATATAAATTAATAACGGCACGTCTTCCCAAAATAAATGTCTGGCAACAGTATTGCATTTACCATTATTTAATTTTTTATTCTTATATTATTAAAAAAAAACTAAATAATATATAGGAACATATTTATAAATACATATGTCTATTAACACATCAGTTATTTTCAATGTCATTTTTAGATTCTTTTTCCTAGGTTCCTAGATTATTACAAAAATTGTTAATGTATATAAATTGAAACGGGACTTACTAGAAAGAATTTATTAAAACCACCGGAATACAACATCAATATTATACTTTTTAACATAAACGGATATCAAATAGATTAATTTTGAATCAATTATTATTTATAATGGTGTTTAAAAATTACACGCAGCAAAGCAAAATGTTCAAACCTACATCCAAAATAATATTATGTCATATTATCAAGTGATAATAGAATATCATTGTTATCGTGCATAAAGTAACCAAGTTTTAAATATTGTGTAATTTTATTTCACCCAGACACTTTTTGTAGAACCGACATTTATTTGTCATAAATAAAATGAGAGGTGGTATGGTTTCTTTAATTTTTAAAAATAAAAAGTACCTATTAAAATCAAAGAGGTTGGAACATTATTGGATTGAATGTCATACACATTATCGTACACTCAGCCTCTGAACCAAATATGGAACACTTAACTGTTTAATTTGGAATTGAATTATAGGTAGGGTTTCCCTTTAACATTCCGGGTTTTTCATAATACTTAATTTATATATTAAATACGAGGTTACAAACATATTTTGTTTAAACTAAGTTTCTACAAGATTATGGTATTTTTGATAATATTCACGATATATATATATATATATATTATTATTTGTCATAAGACTAATAATACTACACTGTTGTAGACGTCGACATTTTGAACGAAAGGAAAGTATATGTATATGAAAAAGAAAAACGTATTCACCGTGAAAATTGGCGTCGGGCGGTTACAAATTCCAGGTAAGTCGTGAAATAATGCAAAATCAAAACCAGCGGCTGCGGCAGCGACGCAATAATGCATAACGGTACATATGTACGTACGTACGGGGAACAGCAGAAGCGGCTAACCTATAATATTGCAGCGCGCCTGATTATACGTATTGATTATTTGGGTGCGAAACCGAGGGCGACGGCGGCGTTTTGCCGAAAAAAACGCTTTGAAGCGGGCGGCGGCCACCCCTAAAGCCACCGTTTTGAACAACCCCCCTGCCTGGCAACGGCATTATTATTAATACACGTCGTGCGATTAAAATAAAAGAAATAATGACAAAAAAAATGTTGATCTTACCATCGTATCTTTCCGCCTGTTCGGCGAGCTTCGCCTTGTATACGTTCTCTTCCCTTTCGGACATAGTGACTAAATATGATTTATATTAAACCGCGCGTTGATGTCGGTATATATGAACGCGTTTATGCGCGTGTATTACTACGGCCGCCGACGCGAACGATTCACAGCAATCGTAGATGAGACAACGGCGTGATCGTCGTCGTTGGCAAACTGAAAAAAAAAACAAAAATGCGTCGCGTACTAAACACACGGTGTTGCGTCGTCCGCGGGGGTAACGGTGGCGGTGCGAAGAATAAATATAATATGGTGTGGAAGAGACGCCGCGGCGGTTAACGTACGTACGGGCTATAGGTGCGATGGTATACGGACTACGGTTACACACAGTGGATGCGGTTTGTGAGCGCCAGCGGACGTTACGTCGTTTCCCGTCGCCGACACACGAATGATCTGGAAAATAATATGGCCGCACCCGCCAGGCCGCCAACCTGACGCCACTCATGGAATAAACAACAATGCGCCGGAATAATCGATTGCGAGCGCATAACGATTTTTTATTACTTTATGTCCTATTTATTATTTTATTTTCATTAGATTTTCCCTGTTCTGAATGTCTTATATGCCTCTGCCGCGAGCTTTACTCCTCGTAATTCGCGCGCATAATACCTATATGCCCCAAAGCGATATTCGATTGCTATTAATTATTAACAATATAATGTTGCATTTTTCGTCGGTACAAATAAATCGTTTACAGCAGCTTTTTTGCGGATTACGGATAGTCTACGATTTTTTTTTCCCAGAAAATGAATAAAAAAAAAAAAGTCCCAGAGCTACTTATAACTACATATAATTGTACTTTTTTTTGTCGAACCTTAAAAATGTAATCAGTAATAAAGTTAACAAACGTATAAATACTATATTATAACATATATAAACAAACATTTTCACGAATAATACGTTAAATAATAATAATTCATAGATTGTACTGTAGCTATTGTGACAGTCAGGGCCGTAGCGACGGCTCTCGTGGCCCCCGGACGAAACATGGGTCGCCGCTCTGACTGTCCCATGCTCGCTATGGCCCTGGCTATTGTTATTTTTAGTTTTCTTTGAAATAATCTTTCTTTTTGAATCGGGAGAATTATCACAAATTATTATTTGATTGTACCTAAGTATTAATTAATTGATCGATCCCTCGTGTGTAATTTTCATGTATTGAATAACCAACAGGCAATACTTGTTTGTGATATTTTACAATTTTATAAAATTACTGAATATTTTTAGCATTTCCCAGAGCTCTGTTAACTTTTAAAACTTAAATGGTAACGAACATTTTTTTTTTAATTTTCAAAAAACGTGCTAGTTTTGAAAAGATGCATTTATATTAAATAAAAATATATTATAATATTATACACAAATATGCAAAAAAAAACTTGATAATTTTCGATTCTTTACATTATAAAAGCCCATTTTTTAGCTAATGCAATAGCTTAATACTTACTAAGTTAAACATCCAGGCCATATTGATTATTAAATTCACACATCCGATCAAAGAAAGCGTGAAATCATTTACTTCTTTTTTTGGGGGAGGGGGAAATAAAATTACGAAAAATCGTAGGCGTGCTTTCTTTGAAATTGTTTGCTATATTAATAATATCCCTTAAGTTAATATTGCTGTGTTTGCTGAGCTCACAAGTTTATGTATATTGTACTACTTAGTGAACGTAAACAAAGTTTTAAAACTATGTCTTGAAGAAATAGTCTATTATTTTGTTAAAATTCACCGCCAAGTTATTAGAATTTGCTTGACGGCAAAGATCATCATCTATACAGCGTTTAAACGACTATAATCACCATGAGATAAAAATATACTTGAAGGGGCACATTTTTATTCAACATAGATGAAATAAAAAAATTGCTAAAAAATAAAAACCACGACGCTTTATGCAATCGGAAATTGCAAACGATTGCACTTCCAATCTTAGTAGACGTTATTTGATCTATACATAGATCAATAACTACACAGTCTAGACCGTCATACCAGTATATACATGGCAGAATTCTGAATTACCTACACACAACCCCGTTGGCACCCTACACAAAGGGCTGTTAATAAACTTTTCTGGGTCTGTATATCAATTGAAGGCGGAGTGCAAATCACTTTTTCGCCGATCATTCTGTATAGCAGCAATCGCACATTGAGTGTCACAATCTGTTCCACCATAATCTGGCACCATAAGAATACCTAGTGCTGATAGGGTAGTTTCCTGATATTTATATCAGCAGGGTTGGTGGAATAATAGATAGAGATGGCTGAAGGACTGATGGCTAGGGCGAGAGATAGGATGATAGCAAAAAAAAAAAAAATATATATATATCTAAAAAGATTATATCTCACAAAACAATATAAAATGAATAATATTAGTTAGTGTATTATTTATGTATTACATTTTAAATACTTAAGTAATATTGTAGGACTATTTGTTTGTTGAAATATTTGATTTCCTGCCAAAAACATGATGAAAAGTAAAAATAGTTTGACAATATTATAATTAAATAAAATATTGTAATTTTTAATAAAATAGGAAAACATTTTTTTGTTGTGTGGGAAATACAAATACATTTATTTTTCTTCCAAATTTGTGAATTGCTGCGACCAAGGAATAATAATAGGTTTTTTTTTTTACGGTGCCGTTAAAGTATTAGCTATATATAGCATGGCACGTATGAAACAAAGATTTTCCCCAAATATTATGAAAAAAGGATATCCTTTGACTTCAAAGTAAATAACAATAAGTACACGAAAAATGAGATTGGTTAAGCAAATATTTTTATGTTCAACTTTTATTTTTTGATCTTACTCATGCGTAGAAATGCCTCGACAATATCAAATTTTTTTTATTTTGTTCAAGCTAAAAATATTTGTTTTAAATTTCCATCTTATAAGTTAAGTAGATAATATAATTATTATTACTTCACTTATAAAAAAAAAAAGTGAATATTACAACTAGTCTTTAAACATAAATACTTCTCGAATTTAAAGAGTTCAAAGCTATGCACTTTTCTCCCCATTTAAAATTATATCATTAAATTCTGAAGACCCTGTACATATGAATACAATGTCTTCTGAATATGTTAGGTTAGTTAGAATCGGTAGCTGATATCAGATACTTGGGGTGCTTACCAAGTCTTAGCCAAATATCAATTGAACTAAAAATATTAAAAACTGAAATGAAGTAAGTTTTATTTTTTAAGTCTTCAACGTGTATAATATCTAAATATCTAGTCATTAACAATTTTCTATATAATATTATAATACATTGACTAATGATTTTTAATTAAAAATAAATAACCAGAAGAAATAAGTGCTTAAATACTGAGAGGTATTATATAAAACGCAGTATTAAAAATAATACATACAATATACCTAAAAAAAAACATAATATAACTATTTTAATTTTGACTGTGCTGTCTTTGGACACATTATTATTTATAATTTATACATATATATATATGTGTATAATATTAATGGGCAGTATTTAAGTATAAGTCATGTTTTATTAAATATAATTAATATTGCTACTTTGATATAAGTACACCTGATTGGTAGATACAAAGGTAAAATTTAATAATCATGCAAGTTATAAACAAGTATTGCATACTTAAGAAAAACAAATTAGAATACAATATACGTATAGGAGTATTATAAAAATAAAACACGCTATAAAATTTATTTTTCAAGAGACAATAAATATTTTAGTGAAAGAACCGTTTTGCAATTACAAAATATAGTTCATAAATTAAAATCAATTATTATGTCAAAGCCTTAATATTTTCCCGAAAATGGTTTAAGGGTTTTAAAAGATGTTTAAACAAAATTTAAACTTTAAAAACGAGTAACAACAATGTTTAATGCCATTTGAAACTACTAACACACATAAGCGTTTATTCTTATTTATATTTTAAATTTAACAAAAGCAACTCACACAATTCATTAAATGTTATTTACAAATTTATGGTATTTTTTTCATGGATAAAGAAAGCCTACTATGTATTAGTTGCACATCTAAAAAAAAACCGAGATTACGAAAACACATAAATGCAATTTAATGGTAATTACAATAGAGAATCATGCGAAGATATTTAAATTAAACAATAGACACTTGATAAACCCTAATACGTTTTGGTAATATTTGTAAGTAATACAATAAGGTGTCAACATGTATTACAAATTTACATATGTAGATTAAAATTCAACAATCTACGATGGCCTTAGAGAAATAAAAACAAAGGTTCTACAATTATTACATTACATTTTCTATTTAATCAGACAAGTAACCATTGGTTTTACGTTAATTTCTAACCAGAAAAAATTATTATTGACAAAAATGTAATAAAACAGCTAAAATGACGACATTCTATTGAATATTAATTATATTAGTAATAATTTATTAATTATAATTTTCATCATTATAATAATAATATTATTGTCAAGGTTATCTCTCTAAAAACTGCAGTGCAATAAACTTGTAGTAATATTTTAAATGTTTAAACTATTAAATTTGCATCTAAGTTGACCGTTTGTTTAAACACTATTTTAAAATGGTAACCACAAAATTAAAACCTACTCAAGGCTGCTTCCAAATTATAAAAAAAAAAACATTTTAAAAATGTTTTTTTTTCGAACATAGAAAACATTAAATTCTGATAACTAAATACCATTGGTTATTCTTGTTTACAATCACCATGAATACTCGTAAAAACTACGAATCCATAAACCAATTATTAAGTAAAAATTAAATACACTAAAGGAAATACAGAATAGAAAGTGGAATGATTTGCTTTCTATGTAAATGAATATTAAGTTATTGGTTTCTAGAAGATATATGAAACTGAATTTTTAGAAAATTACTAAAAAGCTAAAACAGTTTCGATTGAAAAGACATACAGTCTCAAAACAATGAAAAGCAATTATTGGAGATAGAATAAGACTGAACAAAGACATGTTTTAGACTGGTTTCTAATTCAGTTAATTTTTTAGAGGAAAATTATGGCTTATATTTTAAATTAAATTAAAAAATTTTGGTTGATTTCTTTAAATTTTCTAATTTTTTTAGTCAGCATCGGCTCTCATTCCTCTTACGGTTCCTTCATTTCTTTGCTGAAACACAAAAATATTAAATTAATAAGCACAATTAATTAATGGCGAGCGGCAATAATAATATAATATTACTTTATCTAATTCTTCTCTAGTTTTTTCTTCAATCTCACGAATATCTTGTAATGTAAGTCCATGCCAGCGATCCATCCAACAAAACACTTGCCTAGTTATATATAATAATTATCAATTATATTGGTAATAAATGTTTATTGAATTATGAACTAACACAATATAATTTAAATTCATACCTATGGAAGTTAGTGAATAGACGACGTTCTGATTTTTGGATTAGGTTTTCTACTCTGTTTTGGAGTCCAAACCATTTGAAATCAGCAGATACTAATTTATAGCAAGTCATTACTGGGGTTGCCTAAAGGTCAACAAAATATAAATACACAAATATTTAATTAACATAAAATAAAAATACAATAATAATAATAATTAATAAAAAATAATTACGGTTTCTATCCAGTTTCCAGAAAGAGGACCTCGTCCAGTTTTTTGACTCTTAAATTTTTTGGGATCTTCGTGTTCTTTATAGTCCGAAGATACAATGGCATCATTGCCAATGTCAATCATTTGTACTTCCCTTTGCTTCAATTTTTCAGGAGGCAATTCATGAACCTGTTTTAATTAATAATAATGTATAAAAGTAATAATTACTTAAATGTATACGTAACACACGCATACATATGAGTCGTGTTAAAAACAATACAATACATTTCGATGGCTTAGCACTATAGATGTGTTATAGTAGTGTAATAAAAAACTATTGTTTTAGAGCAACAATGTTTGGTGAATAATACCACTAAAATTATCCAGTGTTTAATGAACTTGTTATATCAATAACAATAGAAATTCGACTTCTAACATTTGCACACAATGTGTAAAAGGCTATCTATAATGAAAAATGCACTATGCCATCGATTTGGTTTGTTTCTTATGTAAGTTGACTTTAAAACATAGAAAATGCCAAGCGTAACCAATAGCTAAATTCCGAAGTCACAAACCCATTTTTTAATACAAATTTAAGTTTAATAGTTAGATGATATATGTATGAATATTAGTACATTTTAACATTATAAATTATAAATAATATTCGTAATTAAAAGTTATGACATGAATTTTGTTAAAAAAAAAAAAATTACCAATACCAAAATAAACTACATCCAAACATCAAAAATTATAAAAAACAACTGTACCAATATTAATGAAATCACAACTTAATAATTATTTGGATTGCATTAATTATTATTTTTCCATAGTGTTAATTATTAATATTATATTCTTTTTTTCACCACTGTTTAGAGTTTTTTTTTAATAATAATAATAATTTTATATTGTTTAATTGTAAACCTTTAATAAATGTAAATTTAAAAATTACTTAATTACATTTTTTTTCCCCATAGTACTGTACTATTGTCATTATAATTACTCATAGTGTAATTATTTAAGTCTGGACTTGTATGCATTACAAAACTATAAAATACTACTCAATTGTGCACTAAATTTTTTGATCTATACCTATGCAAAAAAAAAAATATGAAATTATTTGCAACTTTTTTTTTCAATCATATATCCAAAATGAATGCTCTTTTTGAAAGATTCTTCATAAATCATATAATAATATCATAAGTACATAATATACTGAAGCTCATTTATATAATAATAAAAAAAAATACTGCATACTGTTTCTCTGGTTTAAATTCAATAAAATAAAGTAACTGCTTGGACATGAACATTAATTTAACAATCGTAGAACAATATTTTTATAGGTCTTCTTTTGAATAATTTATTTAATCCTACACATACACACAAATTTCCCCCTCAGAAGAGCACAATGTGATATGGGCTTAGCAACCCCAAGCTTTAATAGTGGGCAACAGTACCCAGAAGTACTGAAACGAGGCAAAAAAAGCAACTTCTGGTATGACTTGTTAACCGACTATTGTGGGCAAAGTTTGAAGCAAATTTAAAGGCTAGAAAACTACCTCATTATTATTTCCAAGATAAAGCGATGAAAGACATGAAAAATGGAAGTCTTTTCTGTGACAAGGTCTAGCCTTTAGGAAAAGAACAAGAAGACACAAATTTCATAAAACAATATTTAACATATTATAGAAGTAATAAAAGATTAAAAGGTTATTATTTTCAAAAATCTGAAAAAAATGACTCCTTATGAATTTTTTAGCTATATATTTTCAAATGTGCATGATAAACTTTTTCCGATGCATGTTAAAACAAATTGTGCACTTTTCTTATTCTCCTTATGCCACACACACACACAAATGTAATATCATACAAATCCAAACTCTAGTAATTACTATTGAACATATTATGCCTTTTCAAGGCAACCCAAAATGGAAAATGAAAAAAAATATATACTTTAATACAATAAAAAATTAATTTAGATTACACTGTACTGTGACTTTGGAAACCTACTAAAAATACATTTAACTTGCATAAATAAAGTGTTAAAATAAAACTTAATTATTAAATAAAATTATATAAGCTAGGTAAAATAATTAAATTATAATTTATCATTAGCATAATAAAGAAAAAAAAGTCACGAAAAAAAGTACTATTAAATGTAATTGTGTTAACTAAAAAAAAAAACAAGTGTTTTTGTTTATATCTCACTTACATTTTCTTGTGTACCTCTATCGGCAATATGATACGATTCAATGATTAAACTGAAATTTTCTTTCATATAATTTGGATTCTGTATATACAAGCAAAACCACCAAACAAATAAGCATTTACAATAAATAATATTGCATACACTATTATAATATGCATTGTATACTATTTACAATAGTACACAGGCTATATCTGGTTCAAACGTCGCGATGTGTAGGATCATACACTTTATTTTATTACCTTATAATTTTTGATGATACAAATTTTCTTAAATAGTTATTATTGTTATTAATTATTCTTCCATTGTACATTAATTATGACATTTGAACCAGATACAGTCTAAATATACTATAAACGATGTCTTATTACCAATAAATTTGTAATAAGCGTTATTAAAAATAATCTGCCTGCAAAACACAAAAAGCTTTGTTCATATTAATGGGTGTTTGATATCATTTAATATTGGCAAAAATTGCTCATATGAAAAATTATGTTAAAAGAAATAAGGACTTATATAAGGACATATATTATCACTAATGGTATATAGAATGCAAACAATTTTCCCTTAACTGTGATGAATGACAATTAGATTTGGCCCATGTTTCCAAGCGAATAGAAAATATATTAATTTGCAAAATGCACATAACATCCTTTTTATACACTACAATAATTGTCTTTCAACAATTCCTTCACCTTTGACCCATTTTTTTCACTTACATTATTTTGTGTTCCACGATCAGCACAATGGAAGGACTCTATAGTTAGGGAAAATTTTTCTTTCATGTAATTGGGATTCTATAAAAACATAATTTTATCTTTTAAACTCAAATACTTTCTTGTAGGCGTACCACATCATCTGATGCTTGTTTGCAACATTGAATTTGATGGATTCTATAAGTTTTGAAGGATAAGTTTAGTTAAGCTGTTACATTAGGCAATAAAAAGTCGACATTTATAAGGTTTCTCAATAGATAACCTCATAAATAGAACTGAACAAATTTGCTTAATATTTAAAAAAAAATTGAATTATTGTTGTTTAAATTAACACAAAACACAATTGAATTGGATACGAGTAAGATAAATAAAAAACATTTCAAATGTATATTGTCTATTATTTACCTTCTATTATAAAGTAGACCTTTTTAATCCTTAATACAAACATTTTTGAAAAAGACAAAATTGAATTAACTGATTGTAAAGAAATAAACTTGATATTGTATAGTCAATAAAAAAAAAATCAATTATTTCTATAGGAAATCTAAGTCATTTCTCATTTTTTCAGTGGACATAATAGGTTTTTGGGTATGATATCACGGTTATAATATAGAGAGGTTTGGCATCTTGTGTGTATTAAACATATGGCAGCAATGCCTTTTTTAGGTCTCTATTATAAAAAATAATTAACAAATACAAAAATGGTTAATACCTTTAATTTATAATTTACTAAATTATTATGCCTAAATCCTTATTTTTTTCAAGTTAATTTTAATTAACTTCTACTGCAGTGTTGCATACAAATAAATGTATCTACTGTATTTGAGAAAATCAAAACATTTGTTATAATCTAAAAAAAATGATGACTGCTTTAATATTAAAATTAATTTTTTAATTATTATCAATACATTTTTTATGTAATCTGACATTTTATTCAAAATTAAAACTAGTAATTACCTAACTAATTTCTACTACTCTAAGACTTTGTTTTTACAAAGTTATTTAACTATAAAAAGTCACAATACACATTTTCAAATTAACTAGGTATCTAATAAATTCATTTCTTTGGTTTTCATAAAGGTTTTTGAAATTTAATCAACTTATATTCTGCTACATTGCAAATTAATAAAATATCTTATGGAAAATCCTATATTTATATTACAATATGGTCAAGCAAACGTATCATAATCAAAAACTATTTATCATCTTTACACTTTTATGATTTATACAATTTGTCTAACTATTTTTTATTAACAATATAAACATTTTATCCTTTGAATTAAAAAAAAAGAATTTTACTTATGGTTGCCCAGATTTCTTGTATGGGAAGGCCTAAGCATATTTTACACATTTGACATGATTTATATGGCTCGTTTCACACCTAACGCACATAGTAGACCCGTTTTTTCATATGCCACATATGAAATTGAGACCGATGTATGAATATATATATATATATTTGAGTAATGTAATTTTCATACGCAGCATATAAAAACGCACATACTTTACGCAAAGGTGTGAAACAGGCCTTAATGTATCGAATGTAAATAGTTTATAAAGTTACACCAATAGAGTGCGCCTTGCAGCGTAGCCATCGTTGCCACTAAATAAATAACAAATAGAATATAGACAGAGCCAGGATGCCTAACCTCTCTATATAGTAAAAAATATAGGTAAAACCGTGCATATATATAATAAACATTTAATTATTTATAATTGAATTCTTACAGTTATCACGGTTCGGCAGTAGGGGTAAGCATTCCATGCTTCTTCGTGGACTTCTAACGCTCCTTTTGGTGCTAAAAGTTTTATCATTCCAGGAACTTTGCTAAAATTTTTTTTAAAAAACAATGATGTATTAAATATTATAATATTAGTAATTATGTACTTATTTTCAAAAGTCTTTTACAAAATGACCTTGTTAATATGTAATTTTGAATGCTATTCATTGGCATTAAGAGTTGGCCATAAAAGTTTTTTTTGCCATTATCTGTAGTACAAAAAAAGACTTAAAACTAAGTATCATAATTTAACTATACCCTGTTTGCTGAGAGAGCATGCTGCATGTAGACTGAAGACTAAGCAGCAAGACTAAGGCTGGCAGACAGGGCGGACTCCGGGGGGAACGCTAGTCACACTGGGTGCCGCGCGGGGATGCGCAGAACGGCCAATTTTCGTCGGGTCGCGGCATGCTCTTTCGGCGAACAGGGTATAGTATGGTTTACTGATTGGGTTTAGAGCAAAACCGTCTGTTAGAACAATTTATGGTTAATGAGGGTAATTTTATAAAACATTTATATAAACCTTTAACCAAAAAAATAATATTTTAAAGCGTTTACGTAATTTGGCAGCAATATTACCATCTTCAGCGTATAACAGACAGTGACCAATTACGAGCAAACACCTCCCTTTACACCTATACAGCGTCATCATATCGGAAATTTTATTTATATAATATACCAAACATTTCAATTTTGGTTTTTAAATTTAAAATAGCTTTAAGCAAAAACATTATATCAATTCTCATCGGTGCTTTAATTTGAATCTGCATAATATTTTTTTATTAAATTCAAAATAATATTTCTTTTTAGGTTTCTGAAATTAAATGTTTTTTTTTTTTTAAACACAAAACAATAGCAATTGAATTAAGTGTTTGACTGAAATAACAATCATGTACTCTCTACATTTTATTTCATACATAATAATTTAAAAGTGGAAATAAAAATACAATCTAACTATCTATAGTACCATTACTTAATGACCTCCTTCAGAAACATATTAGTATATCATTAATTAACTGAGTCTGAATTGTAAGCTTGAAATATTCTTCATAATAATAGAGATTAAAATAAAACAGACTTCATACATTACAATAATAAAGATATACAATTTAATGACTGTTGTTATTAATGACATCAAATAATTACCCAGTTAATTATTATGAATTTTAGATATATTAACTGTAAGTAAACAATGTATACATAATAATTGCCATTCAAGGTGCCTATATTATGTTATAGAGGTAATAAGTCTACAATTGATTACAGAATGTTCCAAGGTTTTCGTAAAATATTTAAGTACTACTATCAGAAACTGGAAAAATCATATTATACAAGTTTAGCCAGTTGATCAGAGGTTTTTAAACAGTTCATTGTATATTCTTTCCTTACCATTTTTGCATAAAATGAACACAATATTTAGTATATTTAAAAACACAAAACCTAAATATTTTCTAAAGTAATTTTTACAATACATTTTATTAAAAACAAACTATTTTCTGACTACTTAAATTTTTTTGTTCATGAGTCATTGTTGTATTTCTTTAAGATGTTCCAATAATGTCAGTATGTTGGCTTTAGTGAGAATTATGAATATTATAATATTTGAGTTTATGAAATAAGTTTTTAGTTAATACTGATAATTTAGTATTGTTTTATTCTTATTAAAAAAATTAATAACACACAAAATTAATGAAACACAATTTTTTTCCCCATTAAATTAGCTTAATGCTTATTCATTTTTTGTTTTTTTTCTCATTTATTAGAGAATAAAGCTATGTTATAGTGTGATGTGTCATCCATGATTACCTAATTACTCACAGATGGGATGTTAAAGCTTAATGCTGAGCCCATCAAGGTTGTAATAAAATGTTCGTATTTAATTTACAAATAATTATGCATGTTCTAGTCAGTAAAATACCAGTTTATTGACCTTCAAAAACAAGTCATCCAATGTCACAACATATTGAGTTTTCAGTAGGTCGTGATTCAGAAATATTAAGCCATCTAGACTAACTACCGACACAATACTTGTTTGAGTTATGGATACGATTTATATAAGACTTGACAAGTGTTTTTTTTTTTTTTTAAATTTATTATTACTACTAATAAAGAATATGTTGCAAAAAGTCTGGCTCAAGCAAGTTAATCAACATTTAAACTAGTTAAAATTAAAATTAAAATAATAATCAAGTTATGACTCATTCAAACAATTTGAGGTTTTGTTTTATGAAATGGTACAGTGAAATGTTAGTATAGCAAGTTTTTAATTTGCTTATTGTCAATCGATTTTAAAAGGTAAATGAATCGACACAAAAATTTATTTTTATGTAGAAAACAGAACTATTCAAATCAGCCAATTGGCTACACTTTATATGAGGGAGACAAAGTAACTAAAAAAAAAATCAGTTACCTGGCCAAATGATAAATTTTGTAGGTGTACTGCCCTTCAGAATATTTTCCACCCAAAAGAGGGTAATTGGAAAAAGGTTCATTTTTTAAAACTTCTATACCTTCTCCTCCGCCAGTTTCATTTTTACTGGCTTCAGCAACAGAATACAACTGTGCTATTTGATACTGAAAATCACAGATCATTAAATATTACATATTATTTATTAAAATATTTAACATTAAGTTTGTTAAAAAAAAAAAAAATCTATATTTTAAAAACAACTGTATTATACTAACTAACTAAATTTCATGGAGGTATTATTTTTTTATTTAATTTTAAACTATTACAGTAATTTTTATAGATAAACTATTTTACAAACAAACATGTTTTTCAAAACTAGAGGTTTGCGATTTCACGTATAATAAACTACATGTTAGTATACCCGTGTAATTGTAATACCCATTCATAAACGTAGTTCTTCGTAAACTGTTTTAGAAAAATTAATTGTTATAGTTTCTTTACATCTATTGACATTTTTAGGTCAACAGTTAGCAAGCCAAATTTCTCTGTATCAAATTTTTACTTCATACTAAGACCTAGTACTTTTATTGTTTGACATAAAATCAAGGATATTGAAAGAATTTTAATTTTTATTCTGATCAAAGAAAGAAAGAACTCTTCTTTAGCATACAGTAAACATTTGCAGTCGATCTGGAGGAATCTTGGTACGTCAGCCATTGACTAAAACATATCAACAGATATAAAGAAATTGTTTAAGCCTCGGTGTCTCTATTCATTGATATGTTAGTAGGTATTTTGTGTAGGTGGGATCAACACGCATGGTACGGAAGAAGGCACAGGACGCTGCTAATGATCGAGCTGCGACGGAAGAAGTTCACTTCAGATGCCGAATTTTATCTGAGGTAATTATTGCGGTACACAGAGAAATATTATAATACCAATTTTTAAGAAACAAAAAATATAGTTAAAATTATACGTGAAAATTCAAATTTATTTATTAAATAGTTTATTTATAAATAATTCTAAAATGGTATCATTTCAAATCAAAACAAAAAATTAATTTCCTTCTTAAGCAACACTTCTAAAATTGTAATCTTATTACACGATACTAATTAATTATTAACATTAGAGTGTATACATACTTCTTCGACTGTTAATGGAAGCACAACGCGACTGAAACAGAAAGTAAAATACAACTAAGTTAAAATCAAATTTGCACTGTTATTATATTATATATTTATAATGTTGGAAATATTTTATATTCACTAATTTTACTCTCAAATCTGTTATGTATGTAGCTTGTTTATGTGTTATTTTAAACCACAAAATCGAGCACAAGAAGAGTTTTTCAATAAAGTAAAAAGTTAATATTAAAATAGAAATTAAACATATTTCAGAGAAACATATTTGAAACAGACATCTGAAGAAATGCATGCAGGGGTTATTTTAATCAGCTCAAATACATTCCATACTCATATAATATTTCCATATTCATATAAAAATAATACATTTTTATGAATTACATTTTTGATAAAAAATTGTTTTCACAAAATTCTTCAAAACTAGCAGATGCGACTTTCACTTATTCACTTGTTTATGATCATCATATTATTTGATAAATTTATAAGGGAACAATAAAGGAACATATCATCTTCACCAATCCATACCCGAATTTAATTTTTTTTTCAATCAATTTATTTATGAATGCTGAAAATAATGTTGCATAAAATAATGATTGGAAACGCTTAGTTTTAAAGTTACAGATACTTGAAATTAGAGAATAATTGTTGAAACTATATAAAGCGACTTCCTACGTCTGCCATCTACGGGAGCCGACTCGAGCTCCTATAGAAGCTGACGTCCTCAAAACCCCAGAAAAAAAATAGCTCACCTAAGAAAATAAAAAAAAGCTAACCCCATACTGCTCTGGAAGCGGTTAGCAACCTAACGAGACCAAACCCAGCTTTCCTACTAGCCCTGGTAATTTATTGATAACGAATTTGTAACAAACTGTTGTGTTTTTCAATCGCGATTCACTTCGCTAATTGCTGTTACTGAATGGTCCTGAGGACGCTGCGGAGGACCACAGGCGCCTCGCAAAACAATAATTCTTTAAGTTTTTTGTAGCTGTAATATCAAAACTAAGCGTTTTCTCAATTTTTTTTAGCATGGAAAAACAAATCGATAAAAAAAAAAAATTGAAATTTAGGTATGTGGGGTGGTAGTTGGTTTAAGCAAAAGAAAAACACGACTATTATTATAACAATAACATACCTTATTCGTATATTTAAAATTAAATTTATAATTTATATTACATAACAGAATGTAATTATCTATCAAGATAAATTGGGTAATAATTTTGTTTTTCTATTACAAAGAAGAAAAAAATGTATTATAAAATATACGGTGTGATCAATTGAACCAATAATATATTAGAATTTAGACCATAAATAACATTACAATAGTCAACTGTTCAAAACCTTATCTCTTGTAATTTCTTTCTAAAAGTCCATCAATAAAAAAAAAATAGTTATCCCTATTTGGCGAGAGGCACCACCTGGAACCTATGTCTATAATTTTCCGGGAGAACAAAAATGTTGGTTGTGTTGAACATATTTACGTAAAGAAAGAAAATAGGGTCTTTAGAATATGGCATGGGTTCAAGAAAACGTAGTTTTTTCTATTTCGAATAATCGCTTGAACTTTTATATTTTTTTTTATCATTTACAAGAGGATGCTCGTGGGTTTGGTTTACTAATAAATTGAACAAAGAAAAATTCTACTAACACCAATAATAATAATATACGCGAAACTTACAATTCTTTGATGAGCATTTTTTTCTCTTGTCAGTGCTTAAACTGTGTTGGTAAATATTACACGTTGGTAAAACAGTCGTCGCTAAACTGACGGGAGTCGCGTAAACCGTACGTGTAAATCCAAGTACAATCCGCAACGACGAGACGTTTTGGTAAAATATCCACAAACAATAATTAATAATAATAATAATAATAATAATAATTAAAAAAAAAACAACAAAACAAAACGAATAAAATAATATAATAATTAAACAGAGCAAGAAACGCGAGAAGAGTTTTTGAACTTAAAAAGCACAGCAGGACTGAGCGTGTAGTGCCCACCGTGTAACACCCAGAAACACTATATTTTGTGTGTGTGTAAAACTAACGATAATAAATTTAATGTTGCCAAACTGCTGATAAGTGAATTTCCAGGAGTGCGAAAAATGTAGAATAAAATATACAAGCGCCGCCGAGGCCTTCGAATCGATTGCCAGACCTGTTTTGCCCGTAGCCGCCGTAGCGTCGTCCCTAGCCTTGGCTGCTGCTGCTCGACAACATAATAATATTATATAGTACATCAGCCGCCTCCGCAATACCGGCTCGGCGAAAACGCAGCGACATCTGCCCAAGCTACCCAAAACTACAAGTTATTCATTTTTTCAAAAACATTTTTATTACGACACCTTTTTAATCATAAAGCACAGTGTACACTAAATCCTAATTGAGTAGGTATGTAAAATTATGTTATATGACGTGTACAAAATTTACGAAAACTCGGTATACACTGCACTTATGTAGTGGTCGTTTTGCCAGCTGTTATTTCAGCTGCATATTTCATATTATTATAGTTGCACTGCACATACATATAAACACTATCCTTCGGATACTTGGCCCCGCTAATGCTTCACATGTTTGTTTTCGCTTAAATACAAAACGCTGTTAAGTATATATGTACAAAAAAAATGTTACTGTAACAGCAAACGGCTACATGAGTTTGACCGTTAAAACTTGATGTAAGAGGAAAGTAGAAAAAAAAACAATTTCGCGTTGGCAGGCTTAAGAAATAAAATAAGAGTCGACGTGAACAGTTGTTTGTGGTTGACCTCGGCGGTTAAACTAAAAAAAAAAAAACTAGAAAAAATCTTAGTTATAGCTAACATACTTGTTCACTTTTCTTTCAAATAATTTTTATCCGAAATTGGGTTTTATCGTGTAAATCATCCGATAACGATGCGATTGCATGCGACTGTATTTATGTGTATAATTGTAATTTGTATTGAGTATTGACTAATGTCCTCATTCGAATTCGATTGTTGTTTTTTATTGAACACTAAAAAAAATATTTTACTTAATAAAAATAAACTAAATTGAAAATACGCAATCAGCAGAGATAGTAAAATAATTGTGAATGATATACCTATATAATTATTAAGTTCATACAACATTCATTGAATATATTTTGTGAATTTCGTATAAACGTATGAAAGTAATTATTGTTTTCGAAGTTATTATAATTTTTTTTTAAAGTTCAAGTATTTTTCATGGCATTTTTTTGTAATATCATATTATGTTTAATCGATGGTAAAAGCTTACGGATGATTTACAATTCCGAAGCCTTCGACAATAGTTTACGAGATACAGCTCAATTTAAAATTACCTACTGATGATTACAGAATAAAAAAACGTAACAAAAGACTAAATAAAAAGATTGGTTCAAAGTTTTTAACTATCTGAAAAAAATACAAATGATATAAATCTTATATATATATTATGATTCAATTTATAAGCATTAACATTGAAGTTAACCATGTACTAGGTGGGTCACTGATACTTGTTTATAATTTTACAAGGCTTGTTAGTTGTAATCCCCTTACAAATTAAACCCTTATTATCCGGATAAGTTCCAGGGACGCAATTTTGGGAGGAGTGTAAGCAGAGTGGGCTCTCCTATTCGTAATGACCTGCCAACAAACAACTGTTCTCAATTATTCTCAAGTACAAAGTTGTATTTAATATTGGTATTTGTGGTAGTTAAAAAGAAATGAGAAATAACACAGATAAAAAAATGACCAGTTCAGATTTTGCCCACTCTATAAGCCCCTACTATTATAATGTATTTCAGGAGAGGAGAAAAGGTCCTGAATGGCATTGTTAGTCTTGTTTATTTTTTGCAAATCCGAAATTAACCAACGTATTGGTAACATCAAAAGTATCATTATTTGTTCACAGACTCGCTATTTTTTTCTCAAACAAATAGAGGTATAAATTGTTGAAAAGTTCTGGATTTGGGGGGGAGGGGGAAAGAAACGGCCCTCGTACCCAACCTGGCTACAGTAAGTACTGTTTTGTAATACAAATGTGTTGAGTGTCTTACACATTTTTTATAATCGATTCGCAGTTAAGTAGTATTTCCGTACATCAGGAATTATATCGGCTTTAGTATTATTAAATGAAGTAGCCGTTCCAAGGTTTTAAGTCAGAAAAACTAGTTTAAGGTAGTAAGCTATACCTATATGATATATCAGGGTCGACGAGGCAAGATATTTTTTAACATCACTAATTTTACGGGAAGGGCTTGTACGTTTTTTTTTTGTACTATACTAAAGGCTGTAAACAAACCCGAAATAAAAACTTAACACGTAACACAGAAAAAACGGAAAGGCGAATGGTGATATTAGTAATGATCCATGTAAAACTTTCCTTAGATATTCATTGAATAGTTACAACTTGATTGCGATTTATAACAGGTAATTATTATAACCACTAACAGTAGATAGTTACAATGTGTCTTAAAAAAATATTTAATTCATTCCTATAATTTTATTTTGAAACCTTGTATAGTTGTGTACAATGTCGTATTACTATTTTATATTTTTTGCTTTTATATGCTAATTATGGTAAATATTTCAAACAAATTATAATTTGTTATGTAATTGATGTGAAACCGACAGAAGGTAAAATATGCATTTGAAAGGCATATATTTTAATATTTAATATTTTATATATTGTTTAATTTAATTTATATCAAAAAGTCTACTTAAAATTTTATAATAGTTAATTATACATTAGTAGTAAATTTATTTTTTTATCGATGATAATAATTTACCTACCCCTTCCAAATGAAAATCGATACCTGAAAATTGAATAATAACTTTTACTGACCTAACCAATATTTGTTTTGCAGTTTACTGGCCATTTTTGTTCTACATTTTTTTTGTTACTTTCAAAGTTTTAATTTTTTTTGTGTTATTTAGTTTGATTTCTCAAACCTGACCAACTTCCAAAAAATTTAAATTGTAATTTATTTCTATAAAATAGTGTTCATAATAAAACCAATCCGTTAACGCTATCGACTGGTCTATAATTAATTTTTGATAATTATATTTTAGTATGGAACATGTGTTTAGCTTTGGCCTCCCAGTTCAAAAACAACACAAAAAATCGACACAAAATTGCCCGAGCGGCGGCTCGCTCTACTTCTGTTAAGAATTGATTTTATGCACCTATACTCATATTATGCTGCACGTCTGAATTCACTAATTTATGTAGTTCTTATAATTAAAGTTTTTATAATGTATTGTTTTTATAATAATTACGTATTGTGTCAGAAAAATAAAAACTTCTCATGATTTTTAATATGCTGTTTGCATACAAATTACTTGAAAATTGTAATAAAATAATTTCCACGGAAGCGGTTTGATGCAAATTTGTGGTAAGGTTATTCGTTTTATTGTGTTGGTTTATAGTATGCCTAATGCACTGTTCTTTTTGTGTTCAATTAATTGGTAAAAATTAAAAAACCTCCCTTAAAGTGTTGATGTTATTTTTTTGTAAATACAATTTTGGGACATATATAATACATACAGGGGCGTATTTTGATATTTTTTTTGGGGGGGTGCTAAGGCACAAACTCCTAATAAGAACTTTACAATATTAAACTTCTATAACTCATATCCCACAGGCAGACTAAAAAAAATTCGGGGGTGGGGGTTGGAGCCCCCTCAGCAACCCTCATAAACGCACCCCTGAATACATACAATATTAAGACTTCCTAATCGACTCATTAAATGTTTAGTAAATTATTCTTAATTTAAAATGTTAATTTAATACATAGTATGTATTAGATATCATGGTATTGAGATAATCGTCACTTAATCCAAAGCTAAAATGAACAATTTTATCTCATACAAAATTATTATCAATGATAAAAAAAAAGAATCACAAATTCTAATTGTGATCAAATTTAAATGGACACAACTCTAACAATTTTCAGAAAAAATATAAAAACCTTTTTGGTAAAATATAAATAAAAACCTTTTTTTAAAATTTTTGTTGCTCTTGGATTTTTAAATATTTCATTTCAAAAGTAATTGAAAAAATGTAATCGGTACATTTTTCTTGTAGTAAAATTATTTTTTACTTTTTAGTTCACTTTTGTACTATTTTTTAGAAAATTATTTTTTTAATTTATTTTTTTTTTTTTTGCTTTTTAAGAACTATAAATATTGTATATTACTTATTAGACATCATTACTACACGAACTACGTTGTTTTAAAATATAGTTGTCCATTTGTTATTATAGTAAAAGATAAATAATAATGTGTATATTACATTTCAAAACGATGAAATAAGTATTCAACAAAAATAATTATGACCAAACTATATAACAAGTCATACTAGTTACTAGTTAGCCAACTGTTACAATGTAGAGCGAGTGCTTAATTATAAAATTCCTAGGGTATAATATTTTTATTATATTCATGCGTTTAAAAAGAATATGAGGTAATAGGTTTTATTGGTGAGTTTTTTGAACCAGTATATATTACTATTCTAGGACGGACCAACGACCCGTCCCGGACAGCGAATTCGTCAAATCATTTCACGATGGGAGCGTTGGGCTTAAAAAGCCTGTTTGAGCTACACGATGATGATATTACTATTATAATGTATAATTTTTTTTTTATAATTAGAGGTTAAATAATAGTTACACAGCGTTGGATGAAGCACATTTTCTCCATCCAAAGCTTAGACCCTTTTGCCCCGTGTAAAAATGCTTAGCTTATTAAAAAACAAAACCATCACACCTATTATACTTTTTTTTTAATTAACCCAATCGCATTATTATAAACAAATGTATTGTCTATAAAATAGTTTATGATTATCTTCACTCGATAGTTTTTTTTATACCATTTATAGTTCCTCGTGAAAATCGCGTTTTTTTTTCAAAGTGATTTTATCACTTTCGTTTACAATGATACTGCTAAATATCCGTGTGACCTCTCCAACAACAAAAACAAAAAATTATGCGTTTAATCTTTAATTATTGTTTTTCATTGTTTGTGCGATAGGTAACGACGTACTTTACTACCCACACGGTGTACGCCACGACGTTAATTAGATATTATTTAATTGTTATACACGTTGAACGTCTAAAGTGTAATTAATTAAATTTGTAATTCAATTGGTTTTACAGACAACTTTTGATAACGTTGGTCTGAGATAGAGAAAAATAACGCGTTCGTGTGACGAAGGTTTTCGCGGTTTCACGGTCACATCACATTAATAATTATTATACGATTAAATGTGAAAGTTTTTTGTTTTAATTGGGTATTCAACGAATCAACCGATGGCGAATGGTGTGTTGTGAATTTTAAAATCGATTTCGTAGCATGCGATTTATTAATAACGCACAGAAAAAAGCTGCTGGTCTAGCATTCCGTTGTGTAGATACTTAGTTTTCCTACTTTGCTTTCCACAATAACAATATTAACTAGGCTACACACATTTCGAGGAGATCTCCGTTATACACGAAAATCAAAATTAAATTACATTTAAAATAAAATACTGTAATTCATTTTTAAGTTGAAAAAGTTTAAAATTTAAAACAGGAGGTGGATAGCGTTAGACTAAGATAAAAAAAAATACTACACTTTACTAGTGTTGCCAGAATTCAAAAATGAGATTAACGTTCAATGTAATTACCGTACGTCTGGCAACACTGCACTCCACCCTTCTTGCTGTTCTAAATTTTAAACTTTAATAACTTGAAAAGTAATTATCCAAAACTGGTTAGATACAGAGACCAGTAAAAAATTTTAAGAAAATAATTTTTAATTTGAAAAGTTAATTAAATATATAGGTACGTTACCAAGTTTCGCTGGTTCGATACAAAACTAAAAAAAATATTGAGGTTTTCTTTTTAAAATATTTATTTTTTTACAGCCTTTAAACCGTAAAAAACAAGTCTTTTCAATATCAAGCAATTTTTTGCGAACGCAAATTAGTGTCATATGACACTTGTGGTTTTTATAGATTTTTTTTTTTGAAAATCATTTTCGAAAAATTATCGGCATATGCGTGGACCAGAAGGACGTTGGAAGCTTTTTTGTTGGTATCGAGTATGATATTTTACTTAGGTATGTATTATAAATTATAATGACAAAAATGATTCGACCAAAAATAAAATACAAAACAACGCCTGTGTTGCCTGAGACCTCCAAATATATTAATAACTCTACTTGCAGTTATACCTGTTATTAAAGGTTATTGGTCAATAACTTCGTTCTAAACGTTCAACACTAAACACATTGGTAACTATCAAAAATAACATTTATCAAAAAAAAAAAACCGAGAAATATGAGTCATATATATGACCGATGATATTTTCCGGTTTACGCTATGTAAAAAGATAAAAAAAATGTCTTCGATTCTTGTAATATATTGTACTACATTTTTAAATTAAAAAAAAAACCCCCTTTAAGGGTTCCAGTTTAGTTTTCAGTGTTTTCAAAAACAGAGTTTTCGGGAAAGCATACTCACCACCTGGATAAGCGAGGGGCTGTTTTTAGAAAATCATAATATTGATAACTGCTGTTATTGTCTGATAAAAAAAAACTCCCTTGAAAATATTTTCAATACAATCGTGTAATAGGTAAATATAACAAAAACAATTTTAGCTCTAAATTCAATTTTTACAATAAATTGCCTATACTAAACGCCTTAAGAAGTAGTATATGAGACGTATACCATTTACTAGTTGTTTTACTCATTTACTAGATTTATTTAAGAAAGCCTATCATGCTTTTACATTTCTAGCTTTAGCTCAAAATCTCACAATTTTTGTTTGTTTGTTTAAGACCAGCAAATGGTTGGGATGTTATTCTAAAATATGGGTTTTATAGGGTTTATGTATACCCAAGATACTGAAATGGGTCTGTTTTTTTTATACTCAGATACTTAAAACCACTCTCAATAACTAATTATGTCATTCGATCGATTAGTATTCTGTGTTGTGTATTGGCCACCCGAATTAATGGACAGCTCGTATACATCATATTTTATATTCGTTTTAGTTGCACTATTTTTTTTTTTTACGTGGTAGTTAAATCTAAGATTGTCGGTAAAAAAAAATGAATTGTATAACGTTTCAAAGGCGCGTTTCCTTTTTATTCGCTTGCTTAAGACACGAGTAGGTGTCCTATCTGGCCAACCTACAGAAAATCGTGAACAAATATTATTTTTATAACTATTTGTGTTTTAACACGTTTTACGAACCTATTTGTATATAAGTTACACAAATAAAAACTTTATTATTAGTATAGCTTATATGGTTTATAAATAAAAAATTATAAAATAGCGTGTTACCGAAATGATATGTTTTGAATTATTTACATAAATTTAAGTGCGAAGGACACGCAACTTTGATAGCCGAATAGATATCATGGATAGTCTACTGTAGTATACATATTATGTGAAAACTTCTTTACCGTCCGATTCACACCTGAATATTATATATTAACCCGCTAGATAGGGAACGATAAACTTTTTTTATTCGGGTCAGCATAATAATTATACTTTTTTCAACGAGACAAATATTGTTTGTATCGTTTTCGCACAAGTCGATCATTATAGGTTTTAATATTAACTTGGTGTGTATCGATATTTTCGTCTCGGTCATATTTTAGTCACAAAATAATAAAACATTGTTTTCTTTGGCATAAAATGCATACAGTTAGTTAGTTATTTATGCGTGATTGATGATAATAATAATAATAATGGAAAACTTACAAGTATTTCGGTATAAAATAAAACAAATTACAAAACAACACGAGTTTCAAGTCCTTTAGAAGTGTCCTTAAGGATTATATAATTACAAATTGTTTGTTTTGTTTCGAAAGTGTAGGCAAGTGGGAAAAACAACTATGGAACGCGAGAAAGCATCCGTGACTCGACCTATCGATTAAACTCGATTTCTATAAGTTTAAAAATGTAATTTGAAACTTATTTTTAACACTTTTGTGCAATTCGATTTTTTAAAACTTTTTCCGAATTACTATTTAACAGAGAAATATAAAACCCTTAATTACCTACGTAACATTGACTATCTATAATTTTAATTATTACAGCTGTTATCAAAGGCATCATTGATGGATATTTAAATTTGAATACAGTCGTGTATTATTTATTGACTATTTCGTTGTTCTATATTTTTCTATATAGCAACAGTATGAATTGATCTACAGATCTACCGTTTGTATGGGTTCAAGCGTAACAATAAAAACAAAATATTATTTTGTGCGTTTAATAATCCAAGTACACAACCTTGGACCGTTCTGATGTTGTTTTTTGTTTCCAATAAATAATTTAAAAAAAAATAATAACATAACAAATAAGTAACATTTAGTCGTGTAGGTGACGAACGAGAAATATTACAAAATATTATAAAAATGTTGAACTACTATAAATAATAATAATATAATTAATATATTAGGAAACCAATTTAAACGGTACGACAGAATATATTTTATGCGAGTTCTTAAATATTAATTATTAATTTCTAAGTGGGCACAAAAAACAAAATCATTTTAATAAAAATGGTTTTAACACAAATGGTTTCTGTATAATTGGTTTCAAACACCGACGGCCGACCGAGGGCGTCAGACGTTCGAAGCGGCGTCCAGTTTCTTTTTGATCGCCTCCAGTTCTTTGATGTCGGACACGGTGGACTTGCACTTGTACACCACGATGTTCCTGTAAAAATAGAACACGAAGAACAAGAATATGACCAACACCGGTATGACGACGATGGTCGCGGCCATCGCGGCCCGGACCGAGTGGTCCCAGAATTTCACCCAACACAGTATGGCCACCTCGACCAGGAACAGGAACAGCCCGAGGACCGTGGAGAACGCCCAGGCCAGCTCGACGAAGCCACGCATGCGCTCGTGCGGCGACTCGTGTATCAGTCTGGTGCTCTGCAGCTTGCTGATGGCGTCCACGTTCGGCAGCAGGTACGTGCTGATCATCAACGCGAATATGTGCACTGCCACCAACACGGTCGTGCACACCGCGAACATGATAAACAGCCATTCGGGCACCATAGTCGGTTCGTTGATCTGTAGTTCCACCATGGCCACCTGAGCAAGGAACATCACGATTAGCTTGTATGACATAGTGACATACATTATATTGTATATACAATATGAGTTGTAAAATATTGATTGCTATATGATTGAACTACAATATTTATTACAAACGACTAATTTTGATTAAATTTCAATCAACAATCGTTCATTTATTTTTTAAGAGTTTATTACAATTATTAATCAGCTTACAGTCTGTCCAAACGAGAATATGTAAGTAAAATACATAGAAATGTACTGTTGTAGTCTGTAGGTAAAGTGAGCTATAATACGATTTGGAAAAATGTGCACAACTCATATCAGTTAAAACAACAGAACAGAGATCTCTCTTTCGCTCTGTAGTCTGTACCACCGTGAGAAGCTTACCATTGCGAATCCGGATAACAGTTCGGAGGTGGTGGCGGTGGCTTTGAGTTTTGCTCTGCTCATATGCAATTGCCTCCACGTTAGTCCGTCGGTGTCTTCGTAAGGTTCTCCGTTGGAATCGGTCGGGCCCGTGTTGTTGCCCTAAACAGAGTACAATATAACAATATTGAACGATATGAATATGTGTTGAAGCTTATGTAATATTGAACGACTTTATTAAAATATGAGAATAAATGATTATGATGCATACGGAGTGCTCGAATGCCGATTAATATCCACAAAATTGCGTGTAACGGTCGGAAGAAATAACATAAAATGTGTACAAATGCGTTTGCACTCACCATGCCGTGCTTGGAAGAATTATGGTGCCACATACTATTGTTGTTTTCCATCATCATCTTACCACCATTGCAGTGGTTGATCATGTGTTGACAGCAACACGTGCTAGGCGTGACCAACGAAAACTGCGATCCCAACGGTGTGCCTGGTGTGCCTAGTTCAACGAGAAAATTAATAAGTATTAAAATTATTACACACCGCGCATTTATGCAAGAGCGCCTGCAGCGATGGCGGTTTGCCCAATTAAATGTGTACAATTTGTTTGTTATATTTATAACTAAATTGTTTTTCTCTTATAACTGTTCACCTTTTTTCAAGTATAACGCCAACGGTACACCATTATTTTATAATAATAAAAAACACAATTCGTGTGCAGCGTTGTATTGTAATTTCGCAGATTTGTTTATCTATTTAAACTACTATAATTATACACAAGTTCATATGAAAACAGAATAATTACTGTATTGTATTTAATTGAAGATTTTTAACATACTGTACAATACTCCTACTATAGTTGAGTACTTAGTTATAAGTACTCTTGCTCTTCATATAGTTTAAATGCATCAAGAGGACACCCGTTATTTTCTTCAAAAAACCCGCCTTGCGCGTATTAATTTTTCAAAGGCTATAATCAAAACTAAGAAACCAAATTTTCCCATAATATAGAAAACAACATTGTCTGTGTTCTACCATCGCCCTTTTTTTAATATTTCAACCAGTTAATGAATAATTAATTAATTAAGAAAGGAATTTTTTAAAAATGTTATAGCGTTGGTTGTATTAGGTATATCGAAAAAATACGGACGATGGAACACAGATAATTTTATCATAAATAATATGTATGAATTTCTTTCCTTAACTGTATATGAAGCCTGAGAAAAATTAATTCGCGCAAAGCAGTTTTGAAGGGAAAAAATTGTAATTTATCCTATAGAAATGTCTGTGATTGTCTGACAAAAAAAAAAAAATGGCAATCAACAAAGTATCCTCATTATTGTATTTATAAGTATGCATTATAGTTCAAACACTAAATTAAGATTTTTCGAAAAATTGCCTATACTTTACTCCTTAGAAATGGTCGGTGTGGCGTCCTCTTTAGTATATAGTATATGGGAATTATGTAAGTAATATATAAGTTGTTTTTAGCACATAAATCATGTGTGTGTGTTAAATATTTTGGTGGTTTTTAAAGTATATTATACTTATGGACAGTTACTAACCGGTCGGCGATCCCTTGGGGTAACTGCTTATAGTTCTGGACCTTTCGCGTCCCAGGCTGTTTTCGCTTCCCGACGACGAATAGAACAAAATGCCGGGTTGCAGGCTCTGGTATCTGCTCAAAGGCTGACGAGAGTTTTCCTAAAAAAAAAAAAACAATATTTTCTTATTATTACGTTATGTGTATATTTTGTATATTTCACCTGTTGTAAAATTACCGAGTCGGTCATGTCGAACAGATTAAAATAAATAAATAAATAAAATAATAATATTAATAACGGCCACTAAAAAGTACTCGAACCGAACGCGCAGTTACATTTTTTTTTTTTTAGTTATTAATACGGTCGCATATTTTCCTATCTGTCTCTATCAAGTCAGGTTAACGACTGAGCGGACAAGTGTCTGAAAATGATCATATTATGATATTTCATTGCAGTCGCCAAGGCGGTTAAGATAGCTGCTGCGATACTGCTTATGTACAGCCGTTTACGGTAGATTTCCTGTAAACCCACAGCTGAGGCTTATTATACTAATATATTATTATGATGATGATCGTGAAAAATACAAGAAGTGGCGACCGTGAACAAAAGGGTTTTGACGGAAATCCGAATATCTGTACGTTTTATGTAAATGTAAAAAAAAAAATATATATATATATATATATTTATTGTAATATTTTAAATAAAAAAAAATGTATAAATATCAATACGTGCATGTTATTGCGGAGGATTATTAATTTTGGTGTTTTGCCAACTCGCCTTCCTCGTGTACGTGTATAAAAAAAAATAACTGTCAATTATTTTATTTGTCCATATTTTTTTAGTCTCGATTAAAATAATATATTATACAGGAAGAATATATTATGATGGGTTTGTTGAAATCTAGGAAACGTGCAAAAATATTTGTTTTGTAATTTTTCAAATCGATTTACCGATTATTTTTCTAAAGATGTTTTTCCAATTTTGTCGGTATAATATTATTTTTAGTGTACCTATCGATGCTGCTTTCTTATAGTTTATCCTATCTAAAGTGCACCAAATGTGTTTGGTGCACTTTAGATAAATCTCTAGTTTTTTTCCAGGACTGTACTTACCAGTAGGCTGTATATTATGCGCATAAATCAATAAACTATTATAGATTTACCATGGATATCAGTTTGATCAAATCGAGGAGACTTACTCCTCGAGATAATAATTTTGTCGTTTTGCTTCTTAGTAAGAAAAAAAATGGCTTAAAAGATAACTGCGTTTTTCTCAATTTGAAAAAATGTAGAAAAGCTACAGCTACAAACAGTTTTCTAGTTTAAATCCAAATTATGTATTTATTCACATACTAGGTAACCGACCAATTGTCGCAACTGACGTTCGGCATGATTGATTATAAATATTTAAATGCTGACGACAACAACAACAGCAAATATAATCGAAAATTCTAATTTGTAAAATATATTTCTCGTACAGCCAATTGACACGATTCAGACTAAATAGGTTGTCCCGGTGGCGTACATTCATAAGGAAAGGGAAGAGATATTTCGGGATAAATCATCCATAGAAAGAAAAATGAACACAATCGGTTGTACCCAGTCTAGTCCATTCTTACCCGTCGCAGTAAGAATTCTAGAAAAAAATGTAATTACATATTATAATATGCTCATGTGGAATAGTCTTACTTTATTTAGGTCAACTCCGTTAAGTATTTTCTGTGCTATTAAAGTTATACAACGCCTATAGTGATATGTATAATATATTTTTAAGGAAGATAATAAATACATTTTTTAATAATATCACATTCTAAAAATGTTGATACCTACGACTACCATTACTTATTTATAATTGGATATTCAAGTAATGCGTTAATTTTTTTTTTAAAATAACTTATTAAGTAATCTCTATTTAAAAATTGGGTAAGCTTTAATCATAAACGAGAATATTCAAGGGATATATTCTTTGGAGAAAGTCAGTTATGTATTGTAATATTTATCTAATAACATCCTACACGTTGTTAGAGATATAGAAGTTTAATTAATAGACGTTATGATATGGCGTAATTAATTTTCAAACATTTTTAGTGAACGATTTTTTTTAAATGCATTTAAATCCCCTTTGGATTTTAGGGTTCCCGTATGTCATCATGATAACGATTAAATTATTATACTGCAATTATAACGTATACGCAGTATGATCATAAATTTACTGACTGCCGATTACATTAATCTAACGTTATGATTGCTAATTACAATTATTGATCGTAATGATTAATTAGATTACATTTCGCCCAACGCCGGACAGTTTGAATCACATCCCCAACACAAGTTAGGTACCTATTGAAATCACCCACAGTCGTTACCGCTTCGCAGGGTGATTAAGTGGAGGGGGGGGGCTCACCCTTAGTAGTAGCTGTCTGGGAAGACTGCTGCTGCTGTCCTGCATGTTCAACATTTGGCTGTTCCGGGTCAGTGCGTCGATAGCTGACTGCTGTTGTCTGATCCGCCTGGCGGTGGTCCTGAACGAATATCTCGGCTTAACCTTGAACCCGCTGCTGCCAGAAGTGACTGGCGAACGTCGGCCGCCAAACGGCCATTGCGCCTTGTCCGCCGCCGTCCCACGATTGCCGTGCTGTTCCACGGCCATCAGATCTTTGGTCGACGGCCGGCTCATCATTTCCTGTGTGCGCGGCTTCGAGCTCATTTGCGGAACGCTCACGTGTCGCTCGACTTTGGGCTCTGTCGGTCGGATGTCCATCGCTGAGTCCACTGTCGCTGTCGCTGCTGCTACATCGGTGGTACCCACGGTGGCCATATGGGACGAGTCACAGTAGCTCCCTACTAACACCGTCACAGTCTTTTATCGGTATCAAGAAAACATAAAAAAAAACAAAAACAAAAAATTCAATAATCAATAATAATTTATGTGCAATCAACATAATAGATTTACATTTAAAATGTAATACAATTACAATAATTACTCATTACACCACCATTAAATAGTGTCATTACATATCATTACATACAGGTTCCAGTGTAATGAAATTATACTTTTTAAATAACGTTTTCAAAAAAGTTATTAAAATTACTATTAAAATAGTGTTAAATATAAGTTTGTAGATTTTCTTAAAAAGAAAAAAAAAATGTTAAGTTGTAGGATCACACTAGATATGTCAAGAGTAAAATTTCAGATTTAACATTTTTCATACTCGACTTATACTACTATGCTAATTAGAATTTTTTCTACACATACATATCTCAGGAGTTGCACTTTTCTGGAGAGCTGAGCAGTTTTAACGTACATAAGTGTAAATAAGTATATCCACACAAAATTAAAGATAATGACTTAATCACAGTTGTAGTCGCTAGTGACATGCTAAAAATAATTAATGTAGATGAAATAAGGATGAAAAATTAAAAATACAAATTAATAGCAATACGAATAAAGTAAATATGAATAGTTTCACTGTTTATTGAAATAATTAGGTTTTTTTGTTTTTAATAAGTTATTCAACATAAAAACACTGCTCCGAAAAATCGTTCCACGACAATGTTCTTAATTAATCTATTTAAAGTTTCCTATAGGTTTGCTGCTGACGTTCTTTTTTATACTTTATTTTATTTTGTTTGTTTAAATTAGACGTTGCTCTAACTTTTTTTGTTTAGATTAATATTCTTTAGACTATTTTAAATGCATACAGGAATCTCAAAAACTACTTATATGCTGTTTAACGCTGACATTTTGTATAGAAAAATAGTATTTATTATTTTTCAATTTCCCTAAGTTTTAATGATTTTATAATCGAAAATGAATGGTATACAATGTAATATTGAATGTACTCAGTACCCATTCTTTTTTTTAATTAATTAAGCTCATCATCAAATTACTCATGTGGTATATGGGCTGTACACATTTTATTTTATCTGTATGTGTTTGGAAATATAATACGATTATCTCCTTAACGAGTACACGGTATTGAACAAACGCCTGTCGCAAATTATCTTATTGCAATGGGACACAATATTATACAAAACAGACTGAATAGTAGCGATAACAGTGATAACATACAAAACCGAAAACAAACCCGTTGACGGCACAACTTAACACGAATATATTTTATTACACACATCGGTCGTGGTTATTATTTGTAATTGAAACCGGCCAATTTTTAATTCCCTCACTCGTGATTACGACCGTAAAATTGTTTTCATCGACCATATTATGATTTGTGGGTAATTGTTGTACTCGGTTTGCATTTTCTAATTGAACACACGATAACATACAATTTACCATCTAAGAGAACGACGTTTTGTGAAACTAATGCTATTCACTAGCGAAACACGGTTATGCATATTGTGTACATTTAATTGTATTATATAATATTTGACTGGCGCCATGCAGTTGTCGTGCAAACATTATACTATTATATAGTATAAATAAACAGCCAAGCGGACGTTGGCTTTACCTTTTCATAATTATGTTAAACCGTGTCCTCCGACTGCTGTATAATGTAGGTGTAGTTAGAGTGGTCTAAACTTATTAAACTTTGTGTAATAATATTTTGTAACTGGCTTCCCCTCAATTTCATTATTATCATTAAACATGTGAGTATAGTATGTTAGAACTACTAACAATAATAACTCTTGATTAGCTCAAAATGCTGAACAGTATTGAAACAACTTTTTCAAATGGACTTGACATATGTCTAGGATTTCGACAAAACTAAAATAGAATGGAAAATGTCATTGAAAGCCCGGGCGTGTTACCCCAACTAGAAATAACAAGCTCAGGGTCAATTTGTTGTGGTATTTTGGGCCAATTAAAAACTATTAGTTGGAATCAATCGATTTTTATTTTTATTTGGGATTTATAATTATAATATTATCTAATGTTTAAATCATAATACCAACAACATATTTTTTATATAAGTTCCAATAAAAACATATCCAAGGCAATTTTAACTTAAATCACTGATTCTGATATTTTTGTTATTTAGCTAGTAGAGCACTATGCTTGTTGTTTCGAAAGTTTCACGGTACATGTTCTTATTGTTTAATTCGGTTGAAATTTGGCTTACTCGCATGTTTAACGATAAAAAAAAAAATTTGAGGGCGCGCCGGTTACAAAATATAAAAAAGCTAAAATTTCGACCAATTTATACCTAAAGTATATAGGTACATAGTACACATAATAAAAAATATTGTAATGGTTTTTTTTTAAGCTAGCTGAAAACTAGCGAACTGCATAGGAATCAAAGATTTCGGTGTCTTTAGCAGCGTTTTAGTTTTTTGTCCATAGCATTGCACTGATAATTTTTAACAAGTTACTATTATTTTCAGTTTTTTCGGTAAGTTAGTTAAAAAAGAAAAAAATGACCATAAGACAATGGTCACTGAAAAGACAAAAGTATTCTCGTGTCAATTTATCAAATAAACCCAACGACTTTAAAGCCTATTTCCAAATAGACGAAGACACTTATAAATATGTGCTGCTTCTAGGCGCTAGATCAATATGTGTATATAATATATATAAACAAAATATGATAACATTTTAATAAAGATAAAATTAACAACAGCGTTGTTTTCTCAAGTCTGAAAACTTGCACAAACATCAAACAATTGTCTGTCTTTATTTATGCTCGCTAAAGTTCTATATTAATTAGGCAGCGAAAGAAAATTCACACAAGATATTATTTGTAGAAATCAAATTTTTGTTTAAATTTTTGTTTACACAATTAAATAATTGCGCAAATCAAATTTGTACAAGTCAGTTTACGCAAAATAAAACTTAAAGTGTAAGCCCTAAGACCTATATACGGTGGAGAATTGATTTTTCTCAAAGTCATCCGCTTTCCCCCCTTCTGCGCGGCACACATTTTCAAACTTTAAATCGAGACATTGCGCCAACGTGACAAAATATATAGGTCTCCATTTTTTATGCCTTTAAAACAGACTTCTCGTCGTGAGCTGCTGTGCCCCACTAAAATTGTTTGCTGTGTCCCAGGGGCGCGCCTAACATTTTCACCTCAAGTAACTTTAAAAGTAATTATTATCTAAAACTGCCAATGTGTCACTTTTTGGTTAATTTTTTTTAAAAAGGTCAAACACTCATTTTTCGAAAAAGTGTCTTTAAGTGACAATCGCCCCTTTTGAACCGACAGGTTATAACCGCTATATTTTTCTGGGTCACCCGGAGCCTGCAAAAAGTGTTACATATAAAGTATTTGAATATATTTTACTGTTTACAACACCCCACTTAGATAATAACGTGATTGCCCCGTGTATTATAATATATACGTTTTGACAAAATAAGTTTTGACAAATTTTCTGAACACTTTTGTATCATAATTGCCTATCCGAAACGCCGGCTTACCACAGTTCGTCAGCACCGCGCAACCGTATTATAAACCAATTTGTGAATTTAGAAATAAAAAAAATAAAAAATAATTAATCTAAATGTACACCGAGGTGTTAATCGGTATTAGAAAGTAGTTTACTGAATTTGATAATTTTTAGTACTATTTGTTCGTATGTCATACCGCATAACGTATGACGTCTCTCTATAAATGACTTGCAAAAAAAAAAATCCCAGATTACTTACATACCAATTAATACAAAATAAAATCATATTTGTTTGTATAATAATGTTTATTTTAAAAATCTATACGGACCAACTTGGGGATATTTGCTGGTAAAATCTCATAGCCTTATAGGTCGAGGAAAAATATTAAAAAAACAAATCAGGTAAGGTAAAAAAAATATTGGTAAAAAAAAATGTTTTTTCTTCGTCAAATCTCTCAGTTTGTGAATTGCCAAACATTTTAATTTACACTTTGATTTGCACGAAGCAAAATAAATTGAGTTTTGACTTGCCACTGACTTAAAATTAAAAAATATATATATATTATATTAATATGATACATTTCTATTTCAGGCGGAACCCGGTAAATAGAATTACTATATAGACAATATATAATGTTATTTTGCAGTGACAGTAATCTTATTATTTTTGTTTTATCTGTATTAAAATCCGTTCCCAGACGTTTTGTAGTATAGTTTAATTGCAAGTTTTATGTTATAATATTTCATCGAGTCTTTTACTATAATAATAATGAATAATAATCCAATATAAAGTTACATTAAAGTTGTTGAATACTTTTTTACAGCAACGGCAGCAATAAACGTCGTTTGAAAGTTTTTGGGAAAAGTTTCGTTTGTGTTAATTACATTACAACTACTGTGCGAGATTCAAAACACAATAGGATACCAACACTCAGCATGTAAAGAACAAATGTGTATTATAGATTTTACAACAAATTCATTAGACTCCACGCAGTCATGTGTAATCACGTTTTCGTGTATTGATCTAGTTCACTAGGTCATAGGCTGAGTAAACTTATATGTTCGACCAGTACAGCTCGTTTGTGAGCGCTTTAATCTAAATGAAAATTGCAATTCGACATTTTGTTGTCTTGACGTTTTCATTGTTATCTAACTATAAAAGATAACAAGAGCTCAATAAAACATTGAGCGTTTTGTTTTGGACCTTCAAATATCTATAATTAGTTGCATTTAACTAGACAAATAAAATAGTGCTAAACTATTGTTATGTTCACCACATTAGTCATATACAGCTCTTCTCTTGGTCATTTAATGCCGTGTGTTAAATATAGACTTTTCATATTATATTATATATTTTATTAAATGAAAGCATGATTAACAGTAAACTGAATTATACCATGTTTTAATGACGATTTTTTTTAATAAACTTCGGGTCTTTTATTTACCGATTCTTTTTTTCTGTGTGGCTGATAGTATATTAATAATTGTTTGTTTTTTTTTTAAATACTTTAACTC